TTTAAAGCAATGATAAAGTCTCCTTATTTTTATCTTTAAAAGGAAATATATAATATTAATAATTTAATTTAAAAAAAACCATAAATAACCCTATTTTCTAAGTATTAGTATAATAATTATATTATTAAAGAAAACTATTTTATTTATAATGTTATTATAATATACTTAAAGCCTATTTATATTTGCTAAGTAAAGTAAAAATAGAGTTTATGCCTAAATAATATAGAAATTAATATAATTAACTAAAGTAGAAATTTCCATTATGCTAAGTGAATTAATAATTATTTTATTATTAAATTTAACTTTAGCTTTTTTTATAGCAATTATATTGATTTAATACTTCAGGTCTTCTTATTGCAATGCAAGAAATTACTTATATCCAGCCATAAATACTAATAATGCTCCTATATTTAGTAAGATTCCTTAAAAATAAGTTTAATTATATTTATTCTTTAAGATGAATTAACTAGCTGCAATAATTATCTTTATTTAAAAGATATTATTTTCCATAATTTAATGCATAAACGCTTTATTAGCTAGGAAATTAATATTTATATAATAAACCTCCTTATTAAATCCCATCTTTATAACATAAATATCGCCATTATAATCATTATTTTAATCCTATTTATCTTTATATTTATAAAATTTATCTTTATTATTTATCTTATATCCCTTAAATTTACTTAAAAAAGTATTAAAATCATTATTACAACCTTTATATTTATATTATATTAAATAGCTTTTTCTTGCTAAACATTGCTTATTAGCTAAATATTTAATTAATTAGCATCTCTTTTTCTTATAAATATAATATCTTTTCTTTTAAAGTTATTCTCCTCTTTCTTTGCAAGCATTATTACTTTAAGCTCTACGGCTAATATTATAAGATTTTAGCTGCCTAAAGCTTAAATAGCTTAAATTTAATTAATTAAATTTTTAATTTCCTTAAAACGCTTAAAACTATAATTATTATCCTTCCCTTAGCTTCCAGCCATTATATTTATAATTAATATAATATTAATTTAAAACTTTATTTATAATGTAAATTATAATTATATAGCTAAGCTATGTTTTTACTGCGGATTTTAAGTTTAAAAATAACTCTTTATATAGTTAAGCTAGCTTAAAAAGAGCTATTTTTAGCTTAAGAATTCCTTTATAAGCTTTAATTATTATTATTTTTAAATTATCCTCCTTAGCATAATTTTAACTTAATGCCTATTAGCAAAGTTATAGCTTATTAAGCATTAAATATAAAACCTTATGCAAGTTTTTATTTAAGTTTTATACTCTTATTTTTATAAATATTATTATTATTTAATTTATATAATAATGCTAATAATTAAGGTTTATATTAAAATATATCTTAATTTTAAGGTATGCTATTATAAATATATTAATTTAATTTATAAAATAAAAATAATAGGCCTTAACTTAGTCTTTAAGCATTTAAGGAAAAACCGCATAAAATTAACTTAGCTAAATTTTAGCATAATAGCAAATATTAAAAAATATCTTTATCTTATTATTTAGCAAATTATATAAATCTTTAATATACTTATAAAAATTATTAAAGGTTTTTATAAACTATGCTAACTTTATTAAATTTAAGCATTTATTAAAAATATATTATAAGGGAAGAATTTTATATAAGTTATACTTTTTATTTAGCGAAGGCATTCTTAGGGCAACCTAAGGTTATGCTAAATATAGTATATATTTTTAATATAAGCTTTATCTTTATCTTTCCGCTAATAATAATAAGCCCTATTAGCTATATTAGTTTTTAATAAATTGCATTACTAGGTTTAGGTTTTATAATTACGTGCCTAAAGCTAACGGCGGTAATAAATATTGCTTTAGGGACTATCCTTTTAGCAATTATTATTATTTAAAGCCTGCCTATAATACTTATAAAGGCTATACTTATAATTGCTATTTTTAAAATTATATACAATATTTATTTATGCTTAACTTTAAGGTTAATAAGGCATTATAAAGCTTATTATTAATTCATTTTAATCTTTCCTTAACTTAAGCTATAATAATTAATTATAATACCATAGGTTAATTATTGTATCTTATATAAATACCTTGCATTTAAAAAAAGATTTTTAGGCATTATTAGTAAGGATTTAATAATGCTTTAAACATTACCTATATTTATGCTATATAATCTTTATAATAAGCAATGAAAAAGTTATTATTATAAAGGTTTTATTATATATAGCTTGCTAAAGTACTTATTAAATAAGTAACTAAGTATTTTATTAATGCTCCCTATGCAAAGGCTATAAACTATAGTTTTAAGTTAATATATTTATGGTAGGCTAAGTTAATTAAAGTTTAAGCAAGCATCTTGTTAATTATATACTCTTTAATAAAAGCCAGTGGCTTTTTAGTATTATTAACTATATTTATAAGTTTTTATAATAAATATTATAAGGAGTAAGCTATTAATAAAATAAGTAATATTTAAAAGCAAGTTAATAATAATAATTTAATAATAAGTAAGTTATAATTATTAAGAGGAAAAAGTTATTAATTCCTTTAAGCCTTAAAAGTTAAGGCTTTCTTTTATTATTAAGTCCTTTTATATTAATTAAAAGTATAATATATAACTTGCATTTATTTATAATATAATATTGCATTAGCTTTAGCAATTATAATAATTACAAGCTTTATTTATTTAGTAATTATAATAGTTATAAGCTTTATTTATTTAATAAAATAAAGCTTTATTAAGTTTTGCTAAGTCTTAAAGAGAATTTAAAAATGGATTTATTTTTAGTAAAGTTTTATATATAATAAATGCATATTTCTTAAATGGCAATGAATATATATATAAATATTATAGGGAATGCTACTTAGTTTATTTAATCTTTATAATGTTTGCTTAAGGAGTTTAATAATATAGGAAGGCCTAAAGAAGTAATTATTACTATATAGCGCTTATTAATAAGGAGGATATAATTTTTAAATTAGGGAAATCTTTATAAGGTTGCCTTTTTTACCTTATTAATTTATGGTACTTATAACCATTAATTAATGTTAATAAGTTTCTTATATATATGATAATCGTATGGGAAGCAATTATGTATTAATGTTATTCTATCTAAGTTCTAAGAGGCTACGTGCCCCGGAGGGGATAACTAAAGTAGCCTTCCAAGTGACGAGGGTCGTACTTGCCAACAGAAACTTCCTTCTTTCCCGTCTCAACAGCACCCGTCAAGCTTAACAGTGATGACAGTGTCTCCCTAAAGTTCTTAATGTTTTAAAGCAAGCCGAAACTGCTTCGCATGTCCTGCGATTAACTTATCGTGCATCGTGTTCAACAGCGAGAGGTAGTTCGGGCTGCTACCCACGTCCCCTCGCAGGTTTTAAGTTGTATTCTTGAACAAAACTGGATCAAATTTTTCCATGTGAAGACGACGGGCACTGGTGCGGTTCTCTCCACCTATCTTATCTAGTTCATAGTGGTGGTCTACGAGGGTTGTACCTGTGCCCATAAAAGTTGTCCATTTCTGACCGTCCCAGCTCTCTGCTTCCTGGAGTATAGACAGTAGCGTCCGGCGCTTTTGGGAACAGACTTTGCCCATCATATCTAGTAAGGAGGCTGGTTGCTCTGGCCGTAAGAAGTTCGCAAGTTTCCGTTCACGAAGCATGAGATCTGATCGGGGAGCGCACATCGCAGGGCAGTACCTCAAGGAGTCATACTTGCCGCCTTGATAATATACTCCGCCGGATTCCCGACTAAGCATCCCCCTCGGTAGTCCATATTCAAGGACTTCAAGAGTTACTGCACCAGCCTTTCGCAATCATCCGAAGGATAAAGAAACTACATGACTGTATCGACCGCCAATGACTCGCCGAGGCAACCCCGGATGACCCGAGAGTTCGCTTAATACATATTACTTCTCTTTTTTTTTCATATTTCTTTTCTTTAAAGCTACCTTATTGAAAATTGTCTTAGTTAATACCCCTATTTTGATAATAATATTTATATATTACAAATAAGCGCCTTCTATCCCAGTTTTGCCAGGACTAATCTCACGCAATGGTGATATCCATCTATAAAGCTACGCTGGCACGCTGTAGGACTCTCATGCTGCAAGATGCGTTTTTCCGTGCAGATTCAACAGAGAGGACGCCCACGTTAAATTTGTTCCCTGCTTCGGTTCTATGCACTCCCAACAGACACCCAGTCGTGTCCGAAATTGACCCCACGAATTTTCTTGGTTAGCATTGATTGGTATTCCTGACTCAGGAGCACTGGGTAACGAGATTGGCCCAATTAAAATACAACCACATCATACTTGGGTAACACTGGTCACCGCAAAGCCCCGGCGGCGTCTGGGTCTCATTGCCCACGCACTCAGTAACACCTACCTCATTCGAGACAATCCGCCAGAGGCATTCCCGAGCTGCCAGTCCATTGGCGGGAGGCGCCAGAACACGGCGAGTTGGCAGAGTCTCCGGATGTTCCCGTCTAGACGCACCCACTTCCGCCGCCCACATGCCGAGGCCAGAACAGTAGCAATGCTGTCCATTTTGTGATCCGGCAATCGGTCTATAGCATGCATACGACCCCAACCTGCCCAGGCACCTCCTGGACACGGCTTGGCGGCCGAAGCTTATCTTAAATAAGCCCTGGCCGACAAGGCCCTGGGATGCTTAATCGACCTCCTTCCAAATCAAGCCTAGGTAATGTCAACATCACGCTTTGGAACGAGTGGGGAAATGCCAAAAGGCATACGTACTTGGGGGCTCACCTCCTTGACAGGGGGAACTCCTCCGGCTTGGCATATACATATATCTATCTTCATCCTTGCAACAGGACGGTTGTCCATGGCGGAGAGCGCCGACCGAGGGGCAGAGAGGATAGGGTAGACGGATCATCTATAAAGCAGGAGGCATTCAAATCTCGCGATGAGAGGTCTTGGACTTATTCCTCCAGCCATCTCTCACCGGCCAAGTCTATCTTTCAGTCAGCAAACATGATTGCCAAAGCGCTGCCCTTCGCCCTCCTTGCTGGTGCTGCCTCAGCCGCCTGCCCTCTCTCTGTCGAGATCACTGATTCAAAGAGCCATGTCATCAACGTCGCAGTGACGAACACGGGCAACGAGACCATCTCGGTCTTCAAGGGCAACACGGTGTTCAGCGATCATGCCACCAAGGATCTCTTGGTGGCCGATGCAGGTGTGTACTAGGGCAATTACAGCCAAGACCGTCCAAACGAGGTGTCCAGAAGACTGTCTAACTATGGTAGACGGCAACGCACTCCCATTCGAGGGCGTCTACGTCAACTATAAGAAAACTGGCCTCGCGGCTAGCTCATTCCAGCAGATCGAGGCCGGACAGACAGTCACAGTCCCGGTAAACGCAGCTAAGAGTTACAAACTCGATGGCGTGCCACAAGCCAAGGTCACGGCTATCCAGGGATTCCGCTACGTAGAGGGCACCGAGGCGCCCTCCTCGCTCAAGGACTTGGCTGCCTGTGAGGATGTGACGTCCGGGGAGGTCGAGGTCACGCCCGACCAGGCTACTGTCGCTGAGTACGTTCTCACTGTCGCAGGTGTTGCTGTCACGGTACTGATGTTCGTGTGTCCAGGCAGCACATTTCGCACAAGCGTGAGCTTCCCGCCACGTCTCGCATCCAGAGGCGATCCATCACGTACTCGTCATGCTCCACCTCGCAGACAAGCACCCTGAAGACAAGCGTCTCCGATGCTATCTCGATGGCCAGTGCTGCGTACACTGCTGCTGGCACTGCAGCCGACTATTTCACGACCTGGTAGGTTACTTCTAAATTCCCACGTCCCCCGAGAAAGGCCTTTACTGACTCGCTTCCCTTCCCAGGTTCATATCGACCTCCAACGAGGCCAAGGTCCGGACGATCTACAACGATGTGGCCAATGTGCAGACCACGTCGCCCAAGATCTCGTGCGTCGACACGTACAGTGACTGCACCGGCGGCGATGCATTGCTGTACACCGTCCCATCGGACAATGTTATCGTGCCGTGCCCCAACAACGGCTTCTGGGACTTCCCCGAGCTTGCTTCGCAGTGCTCGGGCGACGACTATGACAAGGCGGGTAGCATTCTCCATGAGATGACACATTTGTACGGTACCGACGACTGGGCCTATGGTCCGGACGCCGCCAAGGCCCTGTCCGCCACCAAGGCCGCTGCTAATGCGGATACCTACGAGATGTACGCCGAGAGTGTTCGTCTTGGTGGTTGCACCACTGGCTAAGAATGTTCAACCGACACGTGTAGGGAGGTTTAAAGCAGTGGTTGGCCGAGGTATTGGCTGTGATGGTTGAAGACTTTTGGTCTATGTGGCAAATTAGCAACTATGGGTGTCTTCTACGCGGTGCGCCTTATTCGATAGTTTCACCGGTGAACCTTTGTACAAATTTCGTTATTCGAATGAATATAAAAAACACAGTGGTCTCCCACCTAGATGAGTATACATGTATAAATGTCAGGCAAATCTCAACACCACTGGTTGCAAAATTAGAGGGTTGTCATTCAAAGTGACGCGGATGAAGCCGGATATGCCTAAAATCAGAATAATGCTGTAGGAATACTTGGTAACATCCATACTGTCACGGTGCCGTTACAAAGCTGTTCCGGGGATGTTGGGGTGTTAAGCGGTGCAGTCACCGGCTTAGGGGGTCTAACCAGCAGGCAACTAGGATGGGAAGTTGAATCGTTTACTCTAATCCACCGCTTGGGAAGAGTAAGTGGTTTAAAGCTCAGTTAATGGCTTAGCCTCACTTGAGCAGTTTTAGCATGGTTTGCACACACACACACACACACACACACAGAGAGAGAGAGAGAGAGAGAGGGGGGGGGGGGGAGAGAGGGGGAGAGAGAGAGAATATAGAAACAAGAGGAAGTCGCTCCTTCCACGCAGAACTTGAACATACGTAACTGAACCAGTAGGGCAAAGAGAGAAGGAAAGGGATTGCAGAAAGGCACTCCGGGAAGGAAGCATTTCAGAGAGAATGGCTCGAGAATATAATTCCAGCTTAGAATTTGAGTTTTCTCAGACAGGTTTCATACCAAGGCCTTCCAGCCAAAATACCCTCCTCCCCTCCTACCAACTGCTCTGGTTTAAAACGCTCGGGGATCTTAAACTGCTCAATCTGCTAAACAGTCTACCTTCCCTTCCCAATTTTGAACCACTTACCTGCCCCAGTGTGGCCGATATGGATTCCAAGCGATAACTCGCGCGGAGAGAGGAAAACTTAAAGACCATGAGCCGCAGGTTAAATAGCAGGCCATTGTAGCGGGTATTGTAACATATACTGTTGTCATAACATAGCGCAAGTAGCAAACATAGCCATCTTTGGCCTTTTAAGTGATAGTCTTACTCTTCAATTCTGACCTCAGTGGCCACGTGTGCGGAGCGCGTTTGTTTACATTAAAAACCCATGGCTATCTCTGGGATGCACCCAGTAGTAAGATGAAGAGACCAGTGGTGTCTGTTTTGTTTTTGTATGAACGCGAAAACCACAGAGTGACCAAGTAGTGTGGAGCAGAACCAACGTATAGAATACTCAGCAGATAACTATGTACAATGAATATTCTACCTGACTGCTATGAGGAGCTGCTCATACCGTTCTCAAGCTCAAACTCAATACCCTCAGACCGAGGGGTGGGAACACTATCTCAAAGTTAGCTGAGAGGCGATGCATGCGCTCTTCTGGGCTGCACTCACGTAATAGACCCTCAAGAAGCTGGGATCCACCGAAGTCCCGATCGCCGCCGTCTCGTTCTCCTGCAGCGTGTCGAAGTCGATCTCAGAAGCGGACATGAAGGCCTGCTCGGGCGAGGTAAACCAGGCGACCTGCGCGATCACCGCGTCGACGCTGGTGGCGCCCGCCTTCTCGGGCTGGAAGGTGGCCGTGCCAAGGTTCCCGTCGGCGTCGGCGGTCTCGAGCAATGCCACGTCGACCATCCTGGGTGGGTAGGGGGAGCCGAAGCCGATGCTGCCGGCAGGCTTGAGGACCAGCGAGGCGTCAAAGGGGGCGACGGGGAGCTTGAAGTCGACGATGCCGCTGCCGACGGTCGTGCCAGTGACAGCAATCCGCCCTTGCAGGGTGATGTCGTACAGGCTGGCATCGGGGCAGCCTGTCAGGTTGAGCTGGTTAGCAAGCAGGCCGCTGCATCAGGTGACATGGTGGCACACTTACGAGACCAATCCGCACGGACAGTCCAGTTGCCATATGTGATGCCATCACCCTTAACCTGGGGAGCGGGAATGGCAGCGGCGGTGCCGGCCAGGGCAGCGAGGAAGACCGGGACAAGCATTTTGTTGATTGTCGTTGACAGGGAATGAAGCGAGCGTGAGGCTGACTGGTGCTACTTGTTGGGAGGGCCGGCTTGGAGGCAGCAGAAGGACAAAGTATTCGAGTCGGAAGGTGGTGAGTACTTATTGTTGTGATCTCAGCGAGCACTTCGGCTAACCGGGGGCCGTGGCGCCCCCTTTCAGCCTGGCCAGGCGCAGTGACAGGAATAGCTCGGGGGAAGGAAAAAAAAAGAGGGTGGGAGCCAAGGTTCGTGTTTGCCCGTCTTGGTGGAGCAGTGTGGATTGTACCAGCACCGTTTGGCTTGGCCATTCCTGTTGCCAGCACAAGGATACGAAATGAAGACCAGAACAAGCTTTGACCAGAGCCTCCCCGGCTACTCGACCCCCTAGGCGAAGCGCCTGGCCCGATGCACGTACTGACTGTATCTATGCTCGAAATGCGCCCTTGCAGACCACAGTAGACCTGTTGGTCACATCATCGCCGCCCTATACACCGTCAGCGGCATCGCCGGATCGTAAACATTGTGGACCGAACACCTCACATCAATCACATCACCCACATCACCCACATCACCCACATCGCTCCGACCACAAGCCGGATGTCCAGACCGCTGCCTTCAGCTTTGGCTGAGTAAAAGACCACTCCATCTCAAGCCTAGACACCCCAAACCCCATCGACTCTTCTCCAGAATGCGTCCCAGGTCCAGTGAGCCTGGACACCTTGTCCACATACAACATCAAGATCTCATAGCCAGATCAATCCCTTGCATATGCAACATGTCAGTCAGGAGGAAACTGGCTGGGGCCTTTACACACACTATGTAGATCGATAGAGAAATACCCATTAGGTAGTCTGGGGATCTGATCAAACAAGCCTGCAATCGAGTCCCATCTGCCCGATGCCTCACATTGACGCAGACAATATTTCCATGTCAGCCCCGCAGTTGGCAGTTGGGCCCGACCTTCCGGCCACTCCGTGTCTGTCCTCGCCCAGCAGCTATTCCCTGGCCCTCCTCCCTATTGTGTCAGTCGGATATAGACAGCATAACATAATACAACAGCCCGTGGGCAAGAGGACTAACTGCATCAGTTCAAGCCCGCAGAACATCCGCAACGTAATCGTTGACATGAAAGAGCTCCCAATGGAACCCTCACCGTATTACACACCTTGGCTTTACAGCCATCCGCAACCTTGCTCTTGGCCGCTGTTGCAAGTCAGTCCTGAATTCCCTATTCATGTTCTCGTTCCTGCTCCGGGGCTGCTGCTTCTTGTGCACGAAATCATTACTTCGAACCTCTGGCCTGTCCAAGTCCGTCCACTTGGGCTAGTGTGATACCTGGATGTGCAGGATCTGCTAAGTCATGGATTCCGGCCGACCACACCCAGCCGATACCCGTCCCCAAAGGTACTCTAATAGCACCGATATATACATGCAATGGTCAAGTCAGACAGCCACCCTGTGGGCCGGACAGTGTTAAAAAGCTTAGTTTCAAGATCGCCCATCACAGTTGTGCCGGCATTCGCCCAGCTCATTCTATTGTACACTATTGACACTGGCTGCCCGTATGCTACCACAGACACAACCCGCCCCTGCACCAGCTACTTGGCTACCCGAAACCCAGTTCCTGCCAGCCCTACCCTGAACTCGCCAGGGCTTACAGCAGCATGCGCCTGGGGTCCTCAATGAACTCCTTGATCTTGACCAGGAACTGGACGGCCTCTTTGCCGTCAAGCAGGCGGTGGTCATAAGTCAGGGCGAGGTACATCATCGGCCTGGCCTCAACCTTGCCGTTCACAACAACAGCCCGTTCCTTGATGGAGTGAAGACCCAAGACGGCGGTTTGTGGCAGGTTGATGATGGGAGTGCCCATGAGGGAGCCAAAGACACCGCCGTTGCTGATTGTGAAGGTGCCGCCAGCCATGTCCTCGAGAGTGAGCTTGCCGTCGCGCGCCTGTTGGTGATGGTTCATGTCAGACGTCTGTGCAAACAAACTTGGGTTGAGTGCGGGTTTCACATACCTTCTTGCCAAGATCGGCAATGGCCTTCTCGACGCCCACCATGTCCATCTTCTCGGCGTTCCGCACGACCGGTGTTACCAAGCCCTTCTCGGTAGCAACGGCAACGCTGACGTCCACGTAGTCCCTGAAGACGATGGTGTCGCCCCCGTTGGGACCCTCGATGGACGCGTTGACAGCGGGGATCTCCTTCATGGCCAGACAGGCGGCGCGTGTGAAGGCGCTCATGAAACCAAGCTTCACGCCGGTCTTCTTGAGCACCTCGTCCTTGTAGAGCTTTCGGAAGTCCATGATGGAGGACATGTCGACCTCGTTGAAGGTGGTCAGAGAGGCGGCCGTGTTCTGAGACTGCTTGAGGCGCTCGGAGATTCGCAGCCGCATCCTGTTCATCTTGACACGGCGTTCCTCGCGGTCACCCACAGAGGCAGGGGCAGGCGCATCCTTCGTCTCCTTGGCTGGTTTTGAGGATGGGGCGGGCTCCTTCTTCTCGGAGGCAGTAGGGGGCTGCGCGGGCTTCGCGTCTTGTTGCTTGGGCGGCGGCGTTGACTCGGATTCGGGCTTCTTCTCTGGCTCCTTGGAATCTTCCTTGGGCTGCTCCTGTGGGGGCTCCTTGGACTCGGACTTGCCGGCGCCCTCGGGAGGGGCACCTCCAAGCTCCAGCCGGACAATGTCCTGGCCCACGGTGACAGTGTCCTCCTCGTTGACGAGGAACTCCTTGATTGTGCCGGCCTCGGGGGCGTTGACAGCAACATCGATCTGCCGGGCGAGGATGGTCAGCGTCGTTGTCGACCATCCAGTCAATGCACTTGTAGGCAGAGATAGACGAGCTCTCAGGGGTAGAATAGAGAAAAGGGGAACAAGGGCAGGGCGCACGAGGGCTGACGCACCTTGTCGGTCTCAATGGTAGCAATCTCCTCGTCCTGCTCGACGAACTCGCCAACCTGCTTGCTCCATTGCTTCAAGGTGCCTTCTGAGATGGACTCGGCCATTTGAGGGACCTGGACGACCTTGTCGGCGTATGTGCGAGCATGTTGCATCAAGGCAGGCAGGGGCAGGATGTTTGCTTGGTGCTGAAGGGATTGCAAGGGGCGCAGGTGAACAGCTCGCGCTGTCGTGCGCAGAGTCCTGAGCATGCTGGGCAACAGGCTGTCGAGGGCGATGGCGCAGGCGAGCTAGGAAACAAACAAAGAAGCAGGCAAGCAAACAAACAACTGGGCGACGCGCAGACGAAGCCGGATGCGAATAGCCTGGTAGAGGAGAGGAGTGGAGAGGAATGGGAGAGGCGGAAGAAGGTGGACGGTCTAGTCACGGCGGTGGGAGAAACGCAGCCGGGGCCAAAAATGGAAGCGGATTCTGAAGCAGCAAAATGGCTCCCTCTACCAGGATTGCGAGGCAGGTGGCAGGTGGCAGGTGGTCAAGGTAGGACGTCAGCGGTCCTCGCCGTGGCCGGTCGGGTATGGGCCCCGATTTCAACCGGGTAGCCGGGAGGACGGGCGTCGAAACACGATGCGCCTGGAGCTGTCGCGGCGGCCAGCCAGGCGCCAGAGGACAGAGGACAGCGAGACAGAGACCTGCAGATGTCTCTTCTGGACAACGAGGGCCAGGCTCTTTCTTTATGAGGTATATACTGTCTATATAGGCATGTGGTGGTGTGGTCATCCTGCCGTGTCTGTCCAAAGCTTCAAGGTGCCGATACCTAGGATGCGGTGCCTTTTCTCCGTGGGAGAGCTGCAGGTCGCGAGCACGCAGGTACTGGGTACCTAGGTACCTAGGTACTGGCTGGCTCTGCACCAGCACCAGAGCACGCCGCGTGTCTGGGCCAATCAGAATTTGATCCGCCAGGATGACCAGCAGCAGCCCGGCAAGCAGAAGAGCTCTCTGCCTGCCAAGCCTCCTCAAGGTTCCAAGTCCCCATCGTCTCTGCTGCTCGCCGCCCTGCCGCAACTCCGGCCTAGTAATCGAGGCATCAATTGAGACTTCGAGATTCAGATTGGCACCCTGCCTGTCGACTTCGTCTGTCCTACGTATCTAGCCGGACAGCCACCGCATGCTCCGTCTGCCCCCAAGCCTCGCAAGGCAGTACGAGCGCTCGACTCGATCCCGCTCGGGCACAACACGTCCAATCCAACTCCAATCCAACCACCAGGAACGCAACCCGGTCTGCCTCGCCCATCATGTCGTCCCGGCAAGCTGCCCTGTGAGCCCTTCCCCCCCCGCTATACAAGCACCTTCCGCCCTCCGCCCTATACCTGTGAAGGGTGAGCGAGCGCATATCGCTGGCTGGTGGCTGGTGGCTGGTGGCTGCCGTTGCTCATCACCAATTGCTGATCGGTTTCTCGCCTACAGCTCCCTCTACCGGCGCTCCTTGAAGCTTGCCCTCGACTGGGCTGTTCATCGACACCTCTGGCGCGGCCAGGCCATCTACATTCGCTCTCTCTTCGAAGCCAACCGGAACATCACCGAGCCTAGACAGCAACGGGTATGTCACGTCGCGGCGGATAACCACCGATCGTCCTGCACGTATGTCACCGCGCAAAGGCAGGGCCCAGGCTGACATTGGGGGTGCTCTTGTTAGGCATTGTTGAAAGAGACAGAGAAGATCCTGGATACGTGGAAACACCCGGATCCCTATGCTCCTCCCACAGCACCCGGAGGTATGGGCTCCTCGTTCCAGTCCAGAGCCGTCACTGGCCTCGTCGACACCGACCAAAATACTGACTATGGGCTACCTAGGATCCAAGTACGAGAGAAACCTGCCGGCCCCAATACTCGACCGTGAGTTACCGCCCTCTCTTGCTGTGGCGTCGCTGAAGCTAACCTTGGCTGCAGCTCCTCCACCATTAAAATACTAGACATAAAATCGGCATGCGCAGGTGCAAACGGGCATTGTGTACATAGCGGTGCAGGTGCAAGGAAATCAATGGGAAACAAAACAAATGCAACTTCGTCCTTCATGCGGGTCTCCGTCGCTCGTGAATTTTGTTGTCCGGGACGGTCGTCTTGCGCAAAGACAGACTACTGTGTCAAGCTGCGGTCACCACCAATCTCGACTAAGCAGGGGATCTCGCGTCTATACAGTGATCTACATTTTGGAGCAGGGGAGCAACGTCCAGTTCGTACTTCTCAAGGACTTGGAGCGCAGAAGGCCCGTCCTCATATGCGTGCCCCAGAACCAGGCCCATGCTATAACTTGCGAAGTCGCCAAGGTATACCAAACTAGAGCGTGACCAACTATGAGAAGGGGTCACTAAGTCCCGCGCGAGCCCTCGCAACACGACCACACACACGGAACCCGGGAAATAAAGACCGAGACAGCCACAAGCGCGAGGGAATCAATGGAGCAGTGTTTGTTGTTCTTGATGTGGTATTCATTTCATGACCATGATGATCCCTTGGGAATTAATGTACAACCCAAACGTGCAAAAACACAACCGTAAAAGTGACCCTGTAACCGTGACCCCGTGTCATGAACAACCCAAACGTGCCGACCGGAAAATGAAAAGCAAAACCGCAAACACCTCAAATCTACAGCTCTTGGCTCGCGTTCTTGCCCGTCTTGCCGGTCTTCTTGGGCAGGAGGTCTGTGAGGTATGTTAGACGACTGTGGGGCGCGGGGTGGTGCGTGGTGTGAAGGAGAAGGCAACATACTTTGGTGAATGTTGGGCAGGACACCACCCTGGGCGATGGTGACGTGACCCAGGAGCTTGTTCAGCTCCTCATCGTTCCGGATGGCGAGTTGCAGGTGGCGGGGGATGATACGTGTCTTCTTGTTGTCACGGGCGGCGTTGCCAGCCAGCTCGAGAATCTCAGCAGCGAGGTACTCGAGGACGGCGGCCAGGTAGACGGGGGCACCGGCACCGACACGCTGGGCGTAGTTGCCCTTGCGGAGAAGACGGTGGACACGGCCGACGGGGAACGCCAGACCAGCCTTGGAGGAACGACTGCAGAGTCAGGGTCAGCAGCTGATCGGTCGAGGCGGAGCACCGTTGAAAGACGCGACAGGACGCGTCCAAAACACGGCAGTCGGGTGGACTGAGCAGGGGAGACTCACGATTGCGCGCTCTTGGAGCCGCTGGCCTTGCCGCCGGACTTGCCGCCTCCAGTCATTTTGATGGTTGTGGGTTGGGGTGAGTAGTTGGGAATGAAAAGTTGATGTTGAGGCGACGTAAACGTCTGGGATCGATGGATGCAAAAAGTGGTTGGTTATTTGTGATGATGTTGCGAGATGTGATGGGATCTGGTGGAAGTGGGAGATGGTGGGGGACTTGTGTGGATTAAGTACTTGCCTGCAGCAACGAGCGATCCCCCAAATCACAAGCCTGCAGCGCGTGCCTGCCATGCTAGGCGGCGGAAAATCGACCTTTCCTGATTCGGCGGCTTTCTTGTTTATGGAGGGAGCTCAGCTCCACCAAGAAACGAAAACCCCCCAGTGAAGGTCGTCGGTTACATTCACTGTGTCAAAAACGAAAAACACGGCGACGCATCGAAATCTTGGCAGAATTGACGCCATACCTGAACGGGCCGTGTAAGTTTTCAGCCCATACGATTCAACATCGCCTTGCTAACCGGCTCGCAGCCCCAGACAGCGTCCAACCGCCAGGCTCATCAGAGATGCAATCTTCGCCGGGCCTGTGCGTGGTCTTGAGCAATGGGGCACACTTGCCGCGGATGACTGGGCTGCTGTTGCCGCCCTGATGGATGAAAATCCGCACTGGAACATCCAACATGCCATCGAACACTTCATTGGGCCTCGAACCTCGCCTCCTCCAGTCGAGCCTGCTGCAGTCGTGGAATATCCACCAGTGCCAGTTTCCTTCGGAAGTAGTGGGCCACGCAAGAAGCCAGTCCCTGCACACCTGCCGCCGGTCCTCAGATTCCAGCCGCCAGTACTCGAATGGAATTTGGCAGCTGAGGTGCAACAGGAAGATCAGGCACGGGAACATTCACTTGGACTGTCAGTCCTCGCACCCAAGCCGCCAGCACTCGCACATGAGCTGCCAGTACTCGCACCTGAGCCGCCAGCTTGGTATGAGATCGCAGTCGAGGCGCCCCTTACGCCCGGCCACTTGCCGGGAACCTATGTTCTCCTGCCAGTTCCTCTATGGCAGGCTCGTCACGATCTGGCACCCGACGTCTGGCCCACGAAAGTCACTGCACTGGTGAAGGCGTATGGCCCCTTTCCGGAGCGGACTGTCATTATCGTGTCCATAAGACACAGCCGCGGAACCGACATGACCAAAGAGCAATACGACCGAAACGTGGCACGCTGCGTTGAGGCTGCTTCGACCCTCATCCGCCACATCAGATCGCTAGGAGGGCAAGAAAACCGGCAGTTCTTGATCTACCACTGGATTCGAACCGTCATTGGCAGCGCAGATGATTGGTTCATGATGTCCTTTTACCTGAACATGTTCCGAAATGGAATACCTCGCACGATGCTGTCCAGTTGCAGACTTAAGGAACTCGAGTTCGTTTTGGACAACCTCCAGCCCAACACTGCGGTCTGGTGGCTATCCATCGGCATTGACGCGCTCACCACCGACATCGAGAACCTGAGAAAGGTGCAGATTCGCTAGCCATCCGTCGACTTCACCCTGGCCGTCATGGTGCATGAAAAGTTTTTGCCGGATGTTTGGCAATTTGGTCGTAAAGACATCTGCCCGCCTCGCACTGCTGCATCCGGCATGAGAACTAGAATCTACTCGTTTGCCAGATTGTTGACAGGAGCTCGTAATCTCGGATACGGTCCTGCCAGAACGCTGCTTGCAGTCTGGCAGTACATCAATGATGCGAAGCTGAACAAAACCCCGTACGACAAGAACCTGGCAATGAACCGCAACACAATGCCAGTTTCGCCGGCTGGGCTTTCTGCGCAGCGTCCGTCAAGCGACAGATTGTAGGAGGAAAACTGGCACCAATCACACGAGAAACTTGCAGTATCATCATCAATGGGCGGAGATTGGACGTCGTCCAATATTGTTTTCACGGAGGAATTTGAACTGGGCTGGCACTGGGTTGCTTGAATTCAATGGGACAAATTTGCATTGGGAATCTGGCTGTCGGTTACAACAAAAAATGGGTGAGATATTCTGGCTGTCACAAAAGAAAACGGACATCTAAGGTAGTGAGTGAGGCGCACATTGCCAGAAAATTGAAATGTTGCGTCACACACCAACTGCACTGGCTGTGGCTGTTTGCCAGGGTGACTGAAAACCAAAATGACACGGGGGGAGCTGAGGCACCGGGCCCCGTCGTAGATCATCCACTGATCCTTGCTGAGATCCTTGCTGACGGTTGATTTAATCACTCGCGCCTGCGAATTTAGCCAAGCTGTAACTTTCACTGGCGTTTTTGTTTTTTGAACTAGATCCAAATTTTCAAGCACGACCCTTTGGTGCGGTCGTGCGGGCCAAAAACACGCGCTTGAGAGTTGGACGGCAGCTGCCCCAAATCAGAATCACACGGGCAGTCAAATCAGCAGCCGCTGCAGCTCCAATACATAAACCATCCCTCTCCCACCTCCCCAACTCTTCCCGCCTTCCACTACTCTCCCATCTCATCAACATCCCAACGCACAACCCACTTACTTTCGACAACAACGTCTTTGGATTCTCCATCCATCTGCATCTGCACTCCAGCTTGACCACTTTTCCCACATCCTCAATCAACATCACCAAAATGCCTCCCAAGGCCGCCGACAAGAAGCCCGCCTCCAAGGCCCCTGCCACTGCCTCCAAGGCTCCTGAGAAGAAGGATGCCGGCAAGAAGACCGCCGCTTCTGGCGACAAGAAGAAGCGCACCAAGGCCCGCAAGGAGACCTACTCCTCCTACATCTACAAGGGTGAGTTGCATTCCCAAAAACGCGTTCTTTCGCAACCCCTCGTGTCGCATCCGTCGTCGGTGGTGGAGCCGCGCGCTCTGCTCCCACGCGCGACCCGTGGCCCCTCCCAAACCCCAGCACATGACTGACCCCACGCGTCGCAACAGTCCTCAAGCAGGTCCACCCCGACACTGGTATCTCAAACCGTGCCATGTCCATCCTGAACTCGTTCGTCAACGACATCTTCGAGCGCGTCGCCACCGAGGCCTCCAAGCTTGCTGCCTACAACAAGAAGTCGACCATCTCCTCCCGGGAGATCCAGACCTCGTGAGTTCCCATCCCGTCACCTGGTCGCGCGCCTCGCTAACATCCCCCGCCACAGTGTCCGTCTCATCCTGCCTGGTGAGCTGGCCAAGCACGCCGTGTCTGAGGGCACGAAGGCCGTCACCAAGTACTCTTCCTCCACGAAATAAGCGGTGTGAGCAGGGTCTGGTTTTCCTTTTTCTCTATGGGCACAGGATGAGCTTTGGCATTTGGTACTTGATGAGATATACCAAGGCCCATGATCCTTGGGTGTCTTAATGCGTCACGGATGGTCTTGATTTTGGGGCAATGCTTTTTCACACGGTCAACGGGGTTCGCGGCTGTACAAATACTCCTTCAGAATAGGGTTTCGGAAGCAATGAAATCGTGCATATGAACAAAGAACTCAATCCTTATTCTGCCCTGACGCGTTCGACTCTGTTTGTTTGTGCGACGTGTCTGGCTGTCGCGCGCGCCATGCCGAAACGACGTTTCATACTATATTCCGAGGTGATCCAGCAGGAGCCACGCTTCAAGAGCGATGCTGGTCTCGACTCGAGAGCCCTGGTGCCCGACGCGTCGTGTCACAATCAAGTATACCATCGGGCGGTCCAGGAATTCTAGTGCCTGTGTCTGCTTCGGCTTTACGAAGCTTTAGAAGCTGACGCCCGGGACTGGCCTCTGGCTGCCGTGACCGCCGGGACGGGCACACGTTGCTCTACGTCGGGCCTCTAAGGTGGTTCTATTACTAGCAGGAGTGCAGCCGCTTGTCCACGGGACAAACAAACAGCCTTTCTAACGGGGGACAGTAGTGCTTTGTACAAGAGATGCCAACGAGCAGATGCCAAAGGCCAAGGCCACACTTCAGTCGTGGTAGTGATATCAAAACACCATGGTGGCCCCTCCCCTTTCTAATCTCCCACGTGCGGTCTGATCCGACGCGCCCGACCGATGTTCTATGCAGGTGACTCCCCGTCGGACTCGGCGCTCCAATCAACCCAGGCCAGCCTTCGTACGCTTGACGACCTAGATGCTTCGAATTAGCCACGTCCCTTCTCCACGAGTTTGTTGAGGATGAGGAACAGGTAGCCCGTTGCGGATGCGATACTGGAGGCTGCCTCCCGCCGCCTGGGCAGTCTCCACAACGTAGGAAGTAAAGTAAACACGGCACTACTTACTGAGGCGAGCGGTTGAAGAATACCTTTGTTCTCCTACAAAGTAAAAGCTGTTAGTGACGGCTGTGCTCCAAGATGCCGGCATGGATCCTGCTAGGTCGCCCATGCCGCTGGACTCCCACAAACGTACCTGTGATCCAAGGGCCATGCCCGTGGACCAGCCCATCTTCTCAAGCATGGCCCGGCCCTTGTTGGCCTGGTCTAGCTCGGGCGCACCACCGCCCACCACTTCACCGTCCTTGAGCGTAAATGCTGCGTGGTTGATACCACGACTCGACCTGCCCATGCCGCCACCGCCACCACCACCTCTTGGCGCCTTGCCCTTTTGGTCGAGGCGGGGGAAGTATCGGCGTCCAGCGCGGGCGAAAACCTGCTCAAATGATGGCTCGGAGTACCTGACTGTCCTCTTGGTCCGGTAGAGTGATGGGCGGCGGGTCTCGCCGTGGCCGGCGGATTTGGATTTGATATTAAATTTGTTCGCCAGCTCATGAATGATCTTGCGCGCAGAAGCATCCATGGGAGGAAGCGTCAGGCTGTAGGGTAACAGGTCAGGTCAGCTTGCGGCACAACTCGGTCTTGGTGGTGATCAACTGCTTACGTTTCATCGGTGCCGCAGAGGAAGGTTCGCATCTCCTCTTTGATCTGGTCCAGTGTCATCCCAGTCTGGTACTTCACGCGCGGATCGTTCGGGTCGACGTTCTTGCCGAGGAGGCCCTGGGCACGCAGCTCCTCGCGCTGCTGCTTCTTCTCCGTCTTACGGAGACGATCAGCCTTCCAGGTCGCTTGGAGCGTCTGTTCCAGCTCAGAATCTGAAATGTCAAACGTCGGCTGTCCGCGCTTGCTCTTGGGCTTACGCGGCGGGTTGTGCCGGCCCCAATCCATCAAGTCCAGATCGTCGAACGCATCTGCGACTTCTCTCGCACTCGGTACCGGCCCACGTCCGCCCGTCTTGGCCGTCCTCTCAGACTTGAATTTAATATTCTCTTTGCGTGCTTGCGGAGTCTTCTTTCTCGATGAAGGCACACCGCCGAATACACTTCCGGCGAGTAACATCATTTCGTCGTCGTCCAAGCCAAGCTCTTCTTGTCTAGCGAGGAGTCTAGCCAAGGCCTCGTCTGTCATGTCAATGTCCTCAGCAGTTGTAGACTCGCCTGTCTTAAATACCGCAGGATTTCGTTTTCCGTCAGGGTCCTCAACACCGTCGGAAGCATCACTATCGGACTCGTCGGCAATGACCACGTCGCCATCGGAGCCGCCTAGATCCCGCTTGCTCGAGAATGCTGCAAACAATTGGCCCCTCTCAACATCGTCGTCGCCGTCACCATCATTGTCCTCACTCATGTTTGCAACATAGTCAGCAAATATTGCGTCCTCGTCGTTGTGGCCACGTAGTTGCCAAAGCGGTGGAGAGTCGGAACGCGCGACGGGGCCCTTGGGTTGGCCTGGTTCGTCCAGGAATATTTTCTGGACTGTTTTCTCCACGGCTTGAACCTGGATTGTGATATTATGGGCAACGGGCGGAGGTGCATTGTCGATGCGAGCACCGTTCCTTCCCTTGAAGAGAACAACATCCTCGCTCGAACTCGATTCATCGCCCGACGAGTGAGGCTCAGGAAATGCAACGTGCTGGCCGTGGCGGCGAGAAAGGGCCTGGTTGCCGCTGGTGTCAATGAAGAAAGACGGCTCCTGATCACCTTTCAGCTGCTTGTCCGGGTCGGCGGGTGCGGCATCTTCGGACGTGTCGACCACGTCATCGGTGTGGTGCCCCAGCTGGTCGAGTTCCTTCAGAGGCTCCACCATCCCGGCGCTCACGAAGGCAACGGGCTGGGCGCGGAGCTTTGCCAGTGCATCCCAGCCCTTCCGGTGCTCAGCCGTGTTCCTAGCCTCGTCCGCGAGAGAAAAGCCTGCAACAGAGGTTCAGAAGGAGGCGCTGCACGGGTTTTCCCCCATAAAGACTGACCGTGAACTTTGACGGCCGCAGCCCTTGGCACGTACTGAGAGACAATGCTCTGCTGTTGGCGATCCTGTTGCTGAGCAGGGGCTGCCGTCATGGCTCGGTAGCGAGCTGCCTTTGCAGCCCTTCCTTTCTTTCCCTTTGCCATGTTAAAGTGGTGTTGGTATCAGTAGTGCGTCGGTGGCCATGTGAAAGTGTTGGTCAGTGAGCTCGCGCCTCTATGTCGCATGCACTCTCTCACTCTGACCCTCACCCTCGCTCTTTCTCTCCCCCCTCTAAACAGACAGCGGCTACCGAACGAAGAAAAAATGCTTTTGCTCCTTCGCGGTCACAGTTCAGAAGTCAAGAAGAATCACGGTGGGTCTGAGTGTTAGGAAGCCCGGTGCAGGGAGTCAGAAGAAGTGTTGCAACTCCGTCTTTGAAAAGCGCTTTCGATGGTTAGAGTGATGATGATGACAGGGCCGTCAAGCGGTCGCCACCAAAGTGCCCACAGGAAAGGGTCCATGCCTTGGGGCTGACAGAAAGTACCTAGGCAACAACGCCCCGCTTACTTTGGTGCGATAACTTGTACATGTACTTGAGTTTCAGTAGCTACTTGCCGGTCTGGGCTGCCTGGGCACACCCTGGAACATGTACCCGAGTACCTGAGGTCAGTACCCCCAGCCATCCGCCCTACCGCTACTATGTAGAAGGTCAGTCAGGCTTGGTGGGGACCCGGGGCAGTTGGTCAAGTGGCTAGCTAACCTGGGAATGACATGTGCTGCTGCCATCCATACATGCCAACCCAACCCACATCGTCGACGGCCAGCCATGCCCTTCACGCCCGCCCTCTTCTCTCTTGCATGACCTAACACCAACCATTCCTACGCTTGTTCACGATAACACTTTACCTCTGCATCCTGCTGCAGTTCTTTCTGCCGCCTCTCTCCCAGAGACCCGACTGTGGGCCGGCTTCCGGGACCCCATGGCTGCGTGAGGGAAAGCCGCTCAGATCCACGCAGGCAGGCAGACATCTTGCCCTGTACTAATCCAACAGAATAGATCAAGGTACTCGTTCGCTCCTTTTATACGCGCAGGTGCTGCCTCAACTTCTCCTCAGCTGCAAAAGAAACACCATTTCGAATTTCCACGTCCGTACTCGCACCGCGGCGACTCAAAATGGCCGACATGTCCCAAAGAACCCAGCAGGCAGTGGACACAGCCAGGGAGACGGTCATGGCCGGTGCCGCCGAGGCCGGGCGCGTTGGACGCCGCATTGTCAAGATGATATGGGATCCGCAACCAGTCAACGACCGAACCGCCAACAAGCCTGTCTGGTGCCTGGGATACTCTTATACCCACGAGTCTCCCGCCCGCACCGAGTCCGCCTCGGACGCCGCAGCTCGCTCCGAGGCCGCGCCCCCGACGACGCCATCGGCCACTGCATCCCGCCCAGCCCCAGATGCCGCCCCCGAAACCCCTCCCGACTCGGGTTCGAGCAGCGTCTCATCCTCGTTGGCTTATGAGCCCTCGGCTGAAGACAACGGATGGCCTCCCTCTTTCATGGACGACTTCGAGTCCCGAATATGGATGACCTATCGTTCTAATTTCGAACCTATTGCCAGGTCTTCGGACCCAAAGGCTTCTGCCTCTCTCTCCTTTGCTATGCGGCTCAAAAGCCTCGCCGACCAAAGCGGGTTCCCCTCCGACACAGGCTGGGGTTGCATGATACGCTCGGGGCAGAGTCTGTTGGCCAATACTCTATCGATCTGCCAACTCGGCCGCGGTGAGATCCTAGTTCCTGGTCGTGCGCGTCCCGTCGAGAATCCTGCTGACCACACCCCCGTTAGGTTGGCGCCGAGGTACGGCTGACCGTGAGGAGCGTGAACTCCTGGCTCGCTTCGCCGACGACCCGCGGGCCCCCTATTCTATCCACAACTTCGTCAGACACGGCGCTGTGGCATGCGGGAAATACCCCGGCGAGTGGTTCGGGCCATCGGCAACAGCACGGTGTATTCAGTGAGTGACGGTGCCCAGAATGTCAAATATCTACGGGAGGGGGCTGATTCCTGTTTAGGGCTCTGGCCAGTTCAAACGAGCCGTCGCTACGTGTCTACTCGACAGGTGACCTGCCTGATGTCTATGAGGACAGCTTCATGGCAATTGCGAAGCCCGATGGCGAGACGTTTCATCCGACTTTAATACTTGTGGGAACACGGCTGGGTATCGACAAGATCAACCAAGTCTATTGGGAGTCACTGACGGCTACGCTCCAGCTGCCGCAGTCCGTGGGCATTGCTGGGTATGCAGCCACACCATCATGTCTCCACGAAGGTGTGCCCTCGCTAACATCTATCTTGACACAGCGGCCGCCCGTCACAGTCACACTACTTCGTCGGGGCGCAGCAGGCAGGCGACAATTCCGAGCCAGGGTCCTACCTTTTCTACCTCGATCCGCACTTCACCAGACTTGCCTTGCCCTTCCACGAGGACGTTGAAAAGTACTCAAAGGAGGACATCGACTCGTGCCATACGAGACGACTGCGTAGATTGCACGTGCGCGAGATGGATCCCAGCATGTTGATCGGGTTCCTGATCAGCGATGAGGACGACTGGGATGCGTGGAAAGACTCGGTAAAGTATGTCCAGGGCAAGGCCGTCATCAGGGTCTCGGAACATGATCCCGCACGAGGTCTCCCCGTGGAGCGGGAGGGCGCTATTGACGAAGTTGAAACGCTGAGTGATGATGATGACGATAATTCCGCCCTCGGCACGTGATACTTCCCTTCGGTTCAGGTTGGTCCCTTTTGTCTTGCCGGAGTTCTGTGAAGGATGTATGGGCGTGCGTTTTCAGGCCGCCCTTTTGCATACACCTTGCAAATTTATGGGCGTTCTCAAGCGGCTGGGGGGGCATCATCTGGGAGGGCGTTGCTGCTTTGACGGGACAGGAGCACAGCCAGGTATACTCAGTAATAAGAGAACAGTCATCTCTTTTTCTTACCGGATTTACCAGCTTGCGTTGCCGGCTTGAGTCCTACGTGGCTTTCGTCCTTGATGTGCTTGAAGAGTTTGGTGCGGGACTCGAAATCCTCGCCGCACACTGCACATTTGTTCTACATTTGCGCGTCAGTCAGCTCTGCCCAAACGCCAACAAGATTGGTAAGCCTCTGTCATACCGAGGGGGTTTGGGCCGCTTGGTTAGCCGCCTTCTTGGCCCTCTTCAACTTGGCTTTGTTCAGCTTGGCCTTGCCTATTTCTTGCTTGGGCACTGAATCATCGTCGAGGGTCACTTCTGTCATTTGTGCCTCGAGTTCGTCGCTGCTGTCTTTTTGGTTCGGACTATCTGTCCTTGATCCCGGCGCGAGACGTCTCTCAACAACTTCACGCGGTGCATACTCGTCATTCCATTTCTCAGAAGACGACCCAGCCGACTCATCTTCCACATCCTCTTGTGCTTCACTGGTCACCGTGTCGGCTTTGGCGTCGCTTTCCACTGGCTCTTGCGCGGCTTTCGGAGCTGGGGGTTCATCACCGCCAGCCTCTGTCGGTTCCGCGGGCTCGTCCAGGTCGAAAACCAGATCCTCTTGCTTCATTTGTCTCCGCAACTGCTGCACGGCCTTGACATGCTTCTTGCTCTTCTCGTGGGCCTCGTATTGTTTCTCGCTCTTGAACGTCTTGTTGCACACAACGCACTCGAAATGTTCCACCTCGGACTCCTCCTCGCTGGTCGCGAACTCGTCATTGTACTCGTCATTGTCTCCCCTCGACTGCGCCCAGTCCGCGACGTAGGCCTCGCTCAACTTCTGCTGGTTCGCTGCACGGGCTCGTTCAGCCTGGGCAATGGCAGAGTCACGTAAGACCTTTTGCCTCTCCGCTTCGGACTGCGTGTTGGGCACATATCGGGGGTCACGCTTCTTGACGAATGCGACGAGCGACCTGACGGCGTCGTTGAAATCCCGTATGGCGTCGTCGCGAATCTTCTTGTTCTCCTTCTCCATCAGCCGGCGCACGCGGCGGTCAGGGGCGTCAGACAGCCGCCACTTCTCCTTCCAGCTGAAAGACTTCTTGGTGGAGAAGCTGGACCAGGCGTTGTAGAAGGGCTTGGCGACGAGATCGTAGTTGTCGTCGCTGGAGCCGAAGGGCGGGTACTCGACTGGCGCGGCGCCTTCCCAGTTACAGGCCGCCTCCTCTTCGGTCGCGAGCTGGCCAAATTTGATGTCAAGTATGCCAAAGAAGCCATTGGGACTGTCGTTGAAAGGAACGGAGCGGCTGAAGCGGCCCATGAGGGTCATGATCTCCTCGGTGGTGGTCAGGCGGACATTGTAGTGCTCTGGAGGGACATCGTCGGAGTCGGCGTCGCCGCGGAGAATGGCGTCACGGTGAGAGTCGTACCACGCTCGTTCCTGTGGATCGGAGAGGATCTCGTACGCAGTCTGAACCTCGGCGAACTTCTTGGTAGCGTTCTCGACATCGTTGAAGTTGCGGTCCGGGTGCAGCTCGAGGGCCTTCTTTTTATACGCCTTCCGGATTTCCGCATCGTCGGCAGACCGGTCTACTTCGAGAACTTCGTAGTAACATGTCTTGCGGACAGTTGCAGACCCGTCATTGGCGCTGCGGGCGCCAGCGCCGTCTTGCGATGATTGCTGGGCGCCCATGGCGATGTGACAGGACTGACAGCAGCAGCTAGTCGAGACGGGGCCAGGTGACGTTGCGGGCGAGCGCGAGCAGCAGGTTCTGCAGCAGACGTTTACGAATCGTCGTCGCCGCGGTCGCCTGGGGAGCGATGAGACTCTGCTTACAAGACTGACAAACAAGGTCCTCTCACAAAAGTTCAAGTTCCCCCAGTGGACTACACAGCGAGAGTCTAGACCCAGGCCGAGTGGAGCATTATCTAATCTACTCATCTGGGTACTTGGGTACTCAGATAGTCTAGTACGCATATTGCCTGGTGGCGGGGCATGTTTAAAGCATTTGGGACCAGACCACCACTGGCAGGGATTGGCTCTGCCTGGGTCTTGGCACACATCTTCGAGTCGGCCTTGACGCAGTCTCACGATGACAAGATGGTGCCGTTGAAGGCCAAGAGGTGTAAGCGGCAAGACATTTGGGGAGCTCCATGGATGCTGAGGATTTGTACTGCAAACAAGTAGAGAGTGGTTAGGTTAATCCGTCCCATCTCTATAGCGTAATATCTACCAGATCCAGTCACGATTTGGTGGTCTACTGCAATCACAGCAAGCGTGGCGAGAGGCTAGTCACATCCGCCAGACTCCCCCGGTGGATCTACTTGCAAAGTCCTGGACTGGCTGGCATTCCAGACTTCGACTGCCCAGGTCGCCATGTCCTGACTCGAGCTGCTTCAACCAAACCAAGGAACCGAACCAAACCGTTGGGAGAAAAGCTTGTGGTTGTGGTTGCCTGTTGGTGACTGTCTGGGTCTGCATCAAGGCCTTCCGCAACAAAGCCGGCCTGACCTGCAAAGGGGGGCGACGGCGCCAGCTTCCGCCGCGCAGGGAATTCCCACCACCCTTGATCTTTTTGCTCGCCGTCAGTATCATACACACATACAAACAAGCCAGCAACTGCACTGTCATTCGGGCCTTCTCGTACGTATCGTGCCTGTCACTCACGGTGGGCCAGGCTGCAACGAGACACCAGCACCCTCCCTCCGCAAAGACACGCGGTCGCCATCGCTTCACTGGGCCGAGATGCATCTCCCGGCGACGCTATCACTTGTTGCATTCCCCATTTCCAAGCTGCGTTCATAGTTGCTTGCGCCCTGAAGCGTCACGGGCAACCTCCATCACCCATCAGCCTTCCGTCAACAGTGCCGGCCCGAGATGAAGTTCGCTCACGAGTTCAAGGAGACCCTTGAGCGGGAGGCCTTTCCTGACCACTGGCTCGCCGCCGCCATACCTTATTCGCAGCTCAAGAAATGCCTGAAGAAGGTTCAGCGCGAGCTGCAGGAACTCGGCCTTGACAAGAGCACCCTGCAACAGCTCCAGGCCGCTCAGACCGTGTCTCCTGATGGCGTGCCTGTCCCCATGGCCCGCTACAACCTCGACCAGGCCCCCTCGCAGTCGCTGCGCCCATGCCTGTCCGTCTTCGTGCACCTTCAGGACGGCCAGGCTGTCGATGCTGCCCTTTCTCCTGCCTCGAGGGAGCTCCTGCAGAGGTTGTCCGGCAAGCAGCCTCCCCCTACCCCAGCGGGCGACGGTCCGGATGCCGTGGCTCGGGATGACGCATCTGAGTCGGTCAAAGGGCAGCTGGCGATAGCCGAGGCGGGACTCGAGCGCATCGAGATTCCTCTGGTCTTTGATGGCGAATTTTTCAACATCCTACAGAGCGATGTCGATAGCCTAGACATCCTTCAGCAGCGAGAAGAGAAGTCCATGGAAGGGGACATCACCGCGCTTGGTAAAGATGTCTCGGCTGTGACCAGACCCGCCAAGTTCTCCAAGTCGGACCTCAACCGCTGGCGAGAGATTTTCGACCTTTATGTTGATGCTCAAATCTTCTTCTCCTCCCATGAGATTGACCATGGCTCTCGGTCGAGCGCAAAAGCCGTGCAGAACCTCGTATGGTTCCAGAAGGAAATCCAAAAGCGGGACCTGCTGAACAAGTTCAAAATGCCGTCCAGCAGGCTTACTTACAACCGCTTCCTGCAGCTCAACGCCACTCTGCTCCAGAACCTCAAGTTCCAGGAGATCAACAAGACAGCCATCAACAAAATCCTCAAAAGTGCGTGAGACAACTCCCCCGTCCTTCCGACACGTTCTCTTGGCACGCAATAGGCACGTAACAGCCACTAAAATGAAGACAGAGTTTGACAAAAGGACGAGTCTTGGCGCATCTGTCTCGTTCCGCGCAGCTGTCCGGTCGCAGAAGTTCCTCGCCGGGAACGTGGCCAAGAAGATGTGTGCTCAACTCGCGCAGGAGGTCGTCTCGGTTGTGCCCCGGGTCGATGACTACACGTGCCCGATCTGCTTCTCTATCGCCTGGTACCCTGTCCGTCTCAGGTGCTCTCATATCTTTTGTGTTCGCTGCGTCATCAAGATGCAACGGGAGAGCAAGAAGCAGTGTCCCCTCTGCCGCGACGAGGTCGTCATGGAGGCTGACCTGTGTAAGTACAAGAACGCAGCCCACTCACCTCGCCGTGTCCACAGGCTTTTGATGGGTGTTGGGAGTCGTACTAATGATCGTTGGCAGCGAATATCGACAAGAATCTGGAGAAGTTCATGCGCTTGTATTTTCGTCGCGAGACGGACGAGAAGCAGAAGGCGAACGAGATCGAGAGGGGCCGAGAGATATTTGGTGATGAATACAAGCACTCGGCTTGTAACGTGATGTGAAGCTAACGGACAGATACCTTGATACCCAAGCCACGCAGTATACAGTATGCATGCAGCGATTCGGCGTCGATTGACGCACTTATGAATAATAACAGCGTATTGCAAGACCAAGTGCAGCTACGGCGATGAATCTCGCTGGTGACAATCACGTACCAATATGTCTGAGATGGGTTCATATTCTCAAGCTGGAGAGTGTTTCCAGACAAACGCAGGACATTGTGTCCGGTGCTAGATATTGCAGTAGTGACGGCTTCCGACGGAGCCTTTCTATTGAGCCAAGCGTCTCACGGCGTGATGAGCAGAGTGGCAGAACGTTAACATACGTCTTCAACGTGACAACCCCTCCCCCACCCCAACCCCAACCCGCTCCCCATAGCCTCCAGGCGAGGGTGAAGCGAGTAAGGGCTTAACCCTACATCACCAGTCCCTGAACACACCAGGTGGCTGGCATTGAATTTTCCATTCACCTACGCCTGTTTGGCCTCACCATACCTGCAAATCTCACGAGGCACGACAGCACTGGTCAGAATGGCGGATTCTAACAAGAGGAAAGCTGGCAAGGACACGGCAGGTGGCGCTGCTTTCAAGAAGAAGAAGGTGAGTCGCGGGGTGGGCAGACCCTCGCGAGGACCCCTGGTCCAAGACTCAACATGGCGCCTCAACATGCTGGCCTGATGTCGGGGCAGCCCGGCCTCGATGTGCCTTGACGAGCGAGGCTGACCATTTCCACAGAAGGGCAACAATGGCAAATGGAAAGTGCCGAGGGCAGATGCGTCAGACAGGCCCAAGGCCAATACCATCGAGCCGGGCGACATGGGCATCTGGGTGACCTGCCCCATGCACGTGAAGGGAAAGGCCGCGAGGGAGATGGAACTCCTGTTCGACGAGGTTCGTAGGCCCCTGTGGCTCTCAGGATGGTGGTGAGCCCTGCTTACAAGGGCTGCAGTATGCCGACAAAATGTACGGGATCAAGTCCGGAGAGGACTGCGATGCATCAGACGCGGAGGACGAGGACATCGAATCCGCCATCCAGAAGGAACTTGGTGCCCTGAAAGACAAGGGCAAGCGAGCATCTGACCATGTGCTCGCAGAGGTCCGAATCAAGGAGGAGTGCCTGCTTTTCACGAGATGCAAGCCTCCAATAGAGCCCGTCGAGTTCTCCAGGCGAATATGCCAGGACGCGGCTAGTACTGGCCATGGAGGGGCCAAGGCCCGGTATCTCAACAGGCTGACACCTCTGACTGCCATCGCAAAGGCTTCTGAGGCTGGTCTTGACGAAGCGGCCAGGAAGGCCCTGGCCGGCCACTTCAAGCTCAAGCCTGCAGGCACTGATGAGCAATCGAAACCCGAAGCCGCAGGCACCCTGTCGGAGGCCCAACATGATGGAGTGGATCAGGAGGCAAAGCCAGCCACGGTAAGATCGCGAGTTTGTGCGGTGCATATTTCCGCTGATCACTCTGCAGTACGCTATCCGGCCGTCCATCCGCAGTCACAACACTCTGAAGAGGGACAATGTGATCAAACGCATCGCCGACTCCATTGATCACGTGCACAAAGTGAACCTTGGCGCCCCAGACAAGGTCATACTGGTGGATATTTACCAGGTATGGCCACACGTATTTCTCGCAATGAGGAGTTGCTGATGAAGCCACGTAGACGGTGTGCGGTTTGAGTGTTGTCCCGGGCGACTGGGAGTCCCTGAAGAGGTACAACTTGACCGAACTCTACAAACTGTCAAGTGAAAGCAAAGGCGAAACTATAGAGGCGGAAGAGAAGAGTGTTGGCATCGAGGCACCTTCAGCGACTTAGGACGGACAAACTCCAGCCGACAGAAGACACAGCGGGCATCGCCTCCTGCGTTGCATTCAGGACCCGGTTATTGCCCTCGGCGTGCACGATTGTTTTGCCCATGTCTCATCGCCAGGGCGTTTACTGCGCTGGACAGACATTACCTGGTCGCGAGCTGCAATTGAGACATGCTGGCTCTCACGTGCAAGTAAATCGAAAGTCTTGGGTTCTCAACTGTTGCAAGCCGGGTAACAGAGGCAGAAACCGTCTTTTGAAAGAAAAAGGCAACCCTTGAACTCCCGCACCGATCCATCTGACCTGGTTTGTCAACCATGAGCGCGCACTGGACCATTCCAGTGTTCATGTCAAGGCTTCTTAGTTGGCCACGCTGGGTGAGGCCGTGTTGGAAGGGGCCACAAATAGGGAGGCTAAGTTAACTTTTCCATTTTGGCGTCGCATCGACCCAGATCAATGCAAAATATTTCCCTAGTTTTACAGCAAAAAAAAGTGGTGAGAGCCTAGGAAAGGAGACAGCCAGACCCTTCTGTGGAGGTATCAAGATATCGCCAGAGTTTGGTTGAGTCTGTAGACCTCGCAAGACAAAGTGACCTTTTTGGACCGAGCGAGACAAAAGCCCCGAAAAAGGGATGCGATAGCCAAGAAAATATGTGAACCAGTAATGCATGCGGATGATTCGTCGCATTCTTGGCCTGGGCGAGTTGCACTTATGACAACCTAAGCCAGGCAAAACCCCAGCCTGATTGATGAAGATTAAATGTGCAGGAATGGGTCTGGCAATTTATTCTTAACATGGCGTATGATTATTCGATGCGGTGAGCTAGGAAGAGCAGTGAGCACGTCTTTTGAGACTTTAATTACCAATCCACGATATCTGAGCTCCCGAAGCAAGATTTCCTCAGCAAATGAGGACGCAAGAGAGGAAACAAATCGGTCGTGTCATGGGGATTACGACAGGGAAACAGGGTTTCTATACTGTTTCAGAATTACACTTAATTATAAGATAGTATTCATTGCGGAACACCACTGTTAAATCATAGTGAGCGGATAATAAAATGGTGTATTTGGAATTAATACACCGCCCCCCCCCTCCAAGTCTCACGCAGTAATCTGATTTGCTACAGGGGAGAAAATCATATTCGAACTTTTGATGATTCTCTAGGCAAGACTCGGATGGGGTTTTACCTTCTTAAGTTGATCGGGTCATCTGAGCGGTAAAATAGTATCCCTTGCTGAGCGAGGCATTGAGACGTTTGCCATATTTGAACCAAGTGTTATGGCTCTGTTTAACGCACCGTGCCATGCATCATCTTGACCATCTCATCGTCGAGCTATTCCCTGCCAATGGGCTCAGGGACAGTGCCCCCCCCCCTCTACTCAACCCCCCCGCGGGTCTTGCTCATAACCTTGACAGTTTCAAACTAGCTTTAGTACTCATATTTCATCTACGCCGACGGCTCTCCCTGCAGATTCGGAACGTGTATGTGTCTCTCGACGGCAGCTAAGAAGATCCTGTATCTGAACAGATATTTTGCTCAGTAGTAGGAAAGACCTTCCTACAGGAAGAGTGGGAGGGTCGCAGTTGAACGTCGGACTATATGACTTGCGTGCATGTTTATATACATACCCACACATACACGTTTGACGAGCCTGTGAATATTGCAGCACTGCAGACGACAAAGATGTTGTATTTCTCTGGCAGGCCTTCGAAGCCAGCCCCTAGGTGTGACCACTCTCTTCCTCACCTTCGTCTCGAGGGAGCCGCATGCCCATGCCGGCAAGCATCGTTCCGACAGGTCCAGCCATACCAGCCTGGCCCTTGAAGCTTTCGAGGATGTTCTTTGCCAGGTTATAGTCGATATCAACTTCTTCATCCTCACTTTCGTCATCGATACCTCGAAGGACTGTTTCCCCCGAGACTTCTCCGGCCTTTTTCTTGCCCTTGTCTTTGAGAGACTTGGGGTTGTCCGCCCCGAGGCCCAGACTCAGCGCCCCGTGCTCATTCAGTTCTGCCTCCATCTGCTCTGACAAGTGCCTGATCTCTTCATCCTCATGGTTTTTCCTTTGTAAGTCCGCATCGGATGCCTTCCCGCTGCCTCGATGGGTTGACTTGCTGGCGTCCGCCGGCAGCCCCATCATCTCGCGCATCATGCGGGCGAATTCCTCCTCGTCGAAACTGATTTCACGATCCTCGCTGTCCGTATCCTCTTCGTCGTCGTCGTCGTATTCGTCGTCATCATCCTCGTCCATCTCATCGTGCTCGGCTCCGTCAAGACCCGCCTTGTCGTCATTGAGAAAGGCCTCGAAGCGGGATACGATCTTGCGAAGATCAGCAGGAGCACCGGTGTCACCGAGCTTACCCGCCTTGGAGGTGTCACCCCTGCCGTCGAGCTGCTTTTCGAAATCTTCAAAATTGATGTCCATCCACGAGTCGTCGTCATCGCGCGAGCATTCCTTCCAAGATGCGATCTCCGCGTCTGTGGGAAGGACCGAGTCTCCATCCTCCGCCAAGTCTTCCAGTAACAGGGCGATTTCCCGGACCGTGCGATTGTTACTCTTGGCTGCGTTTGATGCCAACATTTCAAAGCCGCAGGTCACTTTCATGCCCAGCTCGAGCATCGTGTGCTTCTTTTGGGCGACGCTGCCACCGTCGGCGGCGGCCTGTCTTTCCGAAGACGAAAAGACGTCATTCCAGGACGGAGGAGCTGGGAAGACCTGCGACTTGAGCTGCGCATAGAGCACCTTGGTGAACTTGACGCTCAGATCAACAAAGTCTTTCGGCGGGAAAACCAGAGAGACGGCAGAAGGCGACATCAAGGGCTTCATGGCGATCGGGTCTCTGAGGTAGAACGCCTCCACAGCCGGCGCGATAGCCTTCGGGGCCTGGTGAATCAAATAGGCAAGCCGTCTCGGTATGGGGACAATGGCATGGTGCATGGAATCTTGGATCTGGGCGGGATATTTTTCGAGGCGATAGAAGGCCTCGGCCTCGACGAAGGGCGAGTGCACAAGTGTGTGGGCAGTAGACTCGAGTACGCCGAATGCTTCGGATAGGGTGATGCTCCGAGGCTGTGCACCACCATCCGGAGCAAGAGGTATGATGCGCAGTTGGCCGCCGTGTATCCAGGCCCTGTTGGCATCGTTCTCGGGGCTCAACCACTTGGGCAACACGTTGGCAGCCTCGACGAGCAGGAACTCGCCATCGCTGTCGGAGACCCGCACCCACAAGTCTGGGAACTGCCTGGTCAGCTCACGCAGGATGTAGACAATGAGCCATTCATCCTCTACTGAGTCTCCGTAGTCGGTGATACCGTGGAGATGTACGAGGCCTGCTGGGGATTGTCAGTGAGCCGGAGCTCGCGGTGACCGGGTGTCGTGTGGCGCGCACCTTTCTCGGTTGCAATCTCGAAATTGAAGGCGTCGCGCTGCCAGATGTAGCCACTTGTGAGCCGGCTCGAAAGCTGCACGGCGGCCTTCCTCACGGTGTCGAGGCGCGAGAAGACTTGCTGAGGTTGAAGCTTGGCGTCGATGATGAACAGCATGTACTCGACACAGTTCTCCGGCAGAGATCTTTCGAAGCCCTTGAAACCGCCATCTGCAGGCTCTGCGGGGTTAGGACCAGATGTTTCTGCCATTCTTACCCAACAGCTCGTCCTGAGGCGGTGGTGGCTGCTCTCGTCGGCTCAACCTGCTGGTGTCAATGAAGCCTTGCCTTGCCTTTTGCTTCCCAAGTACCTACCTAGGTAGGTGTAAGCTTACCTTGACACCCAAGTACCTGCAGATATAGGTGAAGTACCTAGTGGGGGCCCAAGACGCCTCTGGGTCGCAGGGTAAGTGGCCTTGGATATTACCTAGGTACCTAGGCACCCACCCAGCTATCCATGGCGCCCCCAAATCTACAATTTCCAGATTCCCGCCTGCACCTTGCTGAACTTGACAACCTTGCAGCCGGTTGGGCTGCTGCGGATACGGGCTTTCGTTACCCGCCGGAGTGACTCAAACACTGTGACTTCCAGGACGACCTACTGGGATAGATACAGTACCTCTGATGGTACATCACGCCCGCGCTAAGTACCCTACTGCAGCTGTCTCAAAACGCGGTGCGCGTCTCCCTGTAATTGTGCCAGCTCGCGATTGCGACAGCGACACTGTACAAGCACACACTCGACACATGTCCACACTCGCACCTGGCCCCTTGCGCCACCGCAGCCTCCCCGATATTCCAGGCTGATCTTGACATCGACACCCGTGAGGTCGACTGTCATTGCTAAGATGCCTGCACCCACCACGGTCAACAATATCAGCGGCGCGTCGCGGAAGCGCAGTCGACGCGAAGAGGCTGCTGCCTCCGACGACGACGCCGACGAGGATGAGCTCGTGGATGTTCGCCAGGCAAGCTCCCAGTTGCGTAGTGAGCCAGTATGTTTTGCCGTTCCTCCACACTCTGTCAACCGTCCTCCGGGCTCGTCAGCGAGCACGACACACGGCACAAACCTGAACCACAGCTGACATGAGGTGTGCAGCAGAGGAAACGTGCCCGTGTCTCGGAGCCATCCAGCGCCCACAAGAAGGCTGCACAGCCCAGGGTTGGAGGTAGAGCCATCCGCGAACTTTCGGATGCGTCCAGTGAGGAGGACCGCGATGTCCCGATGGAGGAGGCTGCGGATCGCTACGATGAACCAGCGGCTACGCAATACGAGATCATGCGAGACGCAGGCTTCAAGCACCTGGAACATGCCGATGAGGATGACCGACGCGCCACCCAGAGGCTGCAGCAGAAGAGCCTGGCTCGTCGAAGCAACCGCCCCGGGGACCTTAACCACGCGGCTGAGAACGGTATCCTCGAGAGCATCGACTGCATCAACTTCATGTGCCATAAGAGGCTACACGTCGAGCTTGGTCCACTCCTCAACTTCATTGTTGGTGAGAACGGCAGCGGCAAGAGCGCCGTCCTCACCGCCATCACCCTCTGCCTCGGCGCCAAGGCGAGCTCCACGAACCGTGGCGGAAGCTTGAAAAATTTCATCAAGGAAGGAGCAGACAGCTCCGTGTTGATTGTGAAGATCAAGAACCAGGGCCATGATGCATATCAACGCGATACGTACGGCGACTCCATCATCGTCGAACGACACTTCAATCGCAACGGTAGCAGCGGCTTCCGCCTCAAATCCCAGACGGGCAAGACCGTATCAGACAAGAAGTCTGAGGTGGAGCAGATCGTTGAATACTATTGTCTTCAGGTCGACAACCCATTGAACATTCTTTCCCAGGACAACGCGCGGCAGTTCTTGAACCAGGCATCTGCCAAGCAAAAATACAAGTTCTTCCTTCAAGGCGTCCAACTGCAACAGCTTGATGACGATTATCGCGTCATTGAAGAGTACGCGACCTCAAACGAACACAAGGAGGGTGACCTCGAGACCAAGCTTGACCACGCGCAAAAGGAGTATGACAAGTCAAGAAGGGAGTACGAGATCTATTTGCAAGCCGAGGGCATGCGCAGCGAGGCACGGCTGCTATCTCAGAAGGCAATCTGGGCCCAGGTGGTCGAAGCCGAGCGCGAGACTGAGCGGAATGAACAGAGAATTGCCCAAGCCGACGGGCAGGCCGCGGACGCACAGCATGTGCTCACGCAGAGGACCCAGGAGCTAGAGGTCGTCGATGATCGGGTTACACAGGCGCAGGAAGCTCTGAGGGGCACCAGGGAAGATGAGGAGCTCCTGAAAGGCAACGTGGAAAAAGCCCAACAGAACTATGATGATGCTCATAAGGACCTCCAGAAAATCCACAATGATGAGCGTGATGCACGCTCTCGCGGACAAGTCGCATTGAATAGCGTCAAGGAGTATGAGAAGAAAATACAGGAGGAAGAACAACGACTGCAGGACCTGAACGGCGACGCACATTCTCGGAAAATCGAAGAATTGGAGGCGGCCCAGGCCAGGTACCAAGAAGTCGAGACGGAGTCCGAGAATGCGAGACAGAGCGTTCCTGGTATCAACCAGACCCTAGCGGCCGCAAACAAGGAGTTCCAAACCATCGACAAGTTCATCGAACAGAAGCGAGGCGATATCAAAGCGACCCAGAACAGGATCAAGGAGCTAGAGCGAGGTCAAGGATCGCCGTACGATGCATATGAACAACAAGTGCCGAATCTGCTCAGGATGATCGAACACGACGCGGGGTTTGATCACAAGCCTATAGGACCCATCGGTGCACACGTTCAGGTCAAGAAGCCCGTCTGGTCACCAATCTTGGAGAGGACATTCGGAGAGACGCTGAACGGCTTCATTGTCACGAGCAAGCGCGACCAACAGCGGCTCAGAGACATGATGAAGGGTTTGCAGCTGACCAGGTGCCCCATCTTCATCGCCAACAACAGACCGATCGACACCTCGAGGACAGAGCCTGACGAGAACTTTGACACTATTTTACGAATCCTCAAGGTTGACAACCCACTCATTCGATCCCAACTCATCATCAATCACCGTATTGAACAAACCATACTTGTCGAGACAAAGCAAGATGCCGATCGCATCATGGTGGTTGGCGCTGCGCCGCCACGCAACGTCGCTGCCTGCATTCACCTCTTCAAGGAGAGGGGATTCGGATGGGGTGTGCGTGTTGTTGCTACGGCAAACAGGATCAACTCCTCCCCAATTCGCCCTCCAGACCGAAACCAGAAGCCTCGTCTGCGGAGTGACTTGCTCCAAGAGACATCTGTTCAGAACGAGAAAATGAAGCATCTTGAGTCGGAGCTGAGTGAACTCGCGAATCAGAAGCGGGAGCAGCAGCAGCAAATCCAGCAGTGCCGGCGAGAATTAGCAGAAGCTAAGAAGACCGTGGAGCAGAACAAACAGAGGTCGCGGGAGATCAAGGTAGAAATCGACGAAATCCAACAGGACCTTGACTCCTTTGACGGAGCGGATGGGCGGCTAGAGATACTTCGCGAGGACCTGAACAAATCTCAAGATGACTACGAATTCCACGGCGGTCAATACGGCGCTCTTACCCTGAGAAAGACGGAGCAGAATGGCCGGGTGGAGGAACTCAAGACAGTCCTGAAGAACGAGAAAAAGAGCCTGAAGGAATTTGAGGCGAGACTGAAGAAGGCCGAGGACAAAGTCAAGAGGTGCACCGACTCACGCAGCATCTCGGTGCAGAAGAAAAACGAGGCCCATGACAATCTACAAATGGCGCAAAACGAGAAGAGGAGGCTGGAAGGCAAGCGACCGAGACTGGAGGAAACAGTCCGCGAGTATACCGCGGCAGCAGCATCGGCGTGTCCCCAGCGGGTCCACGTAGGCGAGGGCGAGACTTACGAAGCCTTGCTGACCAAGTACGAGTCTTTGACGAGGACCCTGAAAGAGCGCGAGCGCAGGCGCGGTACGACCGACGACCAGGTGATACATCGAGCGAACATGGCCAAGGCAGATCTGGAGCAACTCAAGAAGGAGATCGAGCTGGTCAGGTCGGCCAACCAGGGATTCAAAGCCCTCCTCGGCAATCGGCTGGAGAAGTGGAGGATGTTCCAACGCTACATCTCTTCGAATTCCCGCGCCAACTTCATGTTCTTGCTCAGCGAGCGTGATTTTAGGGGCAGGCTCATTCTGAACCACGAGGCCCACACTCTCGAGGTACAGGTCGAGCCTGATAAAACCCGCAAGAATGCTGCCGCTCGCAACACCAAAACGTTGTCCGGGGGCGAGAAGTCTTTCTCGTCAATCTGCTTGCTGCTCGCGATATGGGAAGCCATGGGCTCCCCCCTCCGCTGTCTGGACGAGTTCGACGTCTTCATGGACAATGTCAACCGTGCCATCAGCACGAACATGCTGGTAAGGAGTGGATTCTTAATGTGGGGCCAGGAGCAGCCGTGACTAACACGATCTAGATTTCCGCTGCGCGCAGTTCGATTAGTCGACAGTACATACTGATCACGCCCAACGCCATCGAGGGGCGGGCGAGTTTGGACAGGGACGTGAAAGTCACCAGGTACGCTAGGAGGGTGATTCCGTCCTTGGATCTCATCAGAGACTAACAGACTGCTTCAGATTGACCGACCCTCGTCAAAGGCGACTTGCAGACCCTTAGACACGGGATCTGTACATTTTGCAGTGACAGTGTGAGTCTGTTCCGCATCATAAATAGGCCATGTTCCTGCCCGTCTTGGGACAGCGTCCATGTGTATTGGAACCCGGCGGAGGTCCTGGCTGCCATGCGTTGGGCTGGCATTGCAGATCACCATCAGCATCATTTACGTCTCCGGGCCTGAGTGCTATCGTTCCCGGAATGCATGGCAGCGCGCCAGGGAAGTTCCCATGATCCTTCATACTCGTTTGACACTTGTAGTAGTACATAATGAGTGCTTTGCGCAGGGCCTTTCCCTTTGGATGGCAATCACGTCTCGGGGCGTGTTCCAGCCCGCAGCTAGGCAGTCAACTTAAGTAGAGAGTTCTCCATGACCGTGCTATATCCGTAGGCCCTTACTCCTGAGGACGTTCAAGCCCGCACTCGCTGTGAAGCCCACCCAGGTCCCTATCGACCTCAAGGTGCCGCCAAGCTCGTGCGTCTCGGCCAGCCTCCTCTGGAGGAACTTCCTCGTCTCCTGAAAGCCGCTGGATTGATCGGTGGTCATGAACAGCTCCGTTGACGCGTAGATGGCGGACAGGGACGCGCGCTTTGTGTACCAGGAGGGGTCGACGGCGGTGTCGCCCACGAGAAACCATATCTCGTCAGACAGTTTTGCGAGCTCCGCAAGAGATGCCGGTACGTAGGACGGCTGGGCCATGATTGCGAGTGCCTGTCCCGTGGGTCCCGTCAGCAATTCCAAATACGTTGACTAGGCCTCAGGTGCTGGATTCCCCTCGACTCACCTCCTGCAGTTTTCCGATGACATTTCTGTTGCCCATGAGCCTCTCCCACGTCAACAGTTCGACCTTTGCTCCCAAGCCGAGGCCCTGGGCCTCGTCGCCCTCAAACATGGCCCTCGCCTTTCCGGCCAGGGCCTCCCGTTGCGACACAAGGTGCCATTGAACCAGGGTGAAAACTCCGTCGGCGAGCAGGTTGGCACTTATGTCGAGGTAGCCAGCATCCCTGGCGCCGAGGGCGAGGGTCTTTTGAGTGAAGCCGTGCTGAGGAATGTGTGCGTAGGCTGCGGCCAGGATGGCGCGCTCGGTGGGGGAGAAGGGTCCAGCGGGGGCGGGGTGGTCGTAAGAGTGGAACGAGCGGCGATTTGACAGGAGAGGCGACGGGCTCCCAGGCGAGGGGCGGCGTCTTGACCGGCTTGCTGGTGGTAGAGTTGCGGGAGTGGTTGGTGGCGTGGTGGCTCGGTCGCAGCACTTTTGACGGATCAGGGCGACACCAGCTGGAGAGGACGAGCAGGGCGCCCATGGTGGCAGCGCGTGAGCAAGGGTCCGTGGTGTGCGGTATGAGGTCGCGCAGGACGTGAGCCCGCGGGCGATGGGAGGCATGATTGCTGGCAATGTTGAGCGGACCCTTCTCTGGCAGTTGGTGGGCGTTCGTTCACTGCAAGCAGATCATCTCACCTGGAGACATGCAGTGTGCCTTGGCACTGAAGCTCAGGAAGCGAAAGAAAAGTGGCTCGTCCACAGACAGATAGGCGCGCCGGAATACGGCTCGCTGGGTACAGTACAGCCAATGCGGATGTCCGATTACCTGAACTACTCATGCGTCTACGGGATCGGGTGGCGTATGGTCTACAGGGTTGCTCCTGTTTCTCCAACAGCTATCGCAAGCGAGCTGTGCAGATTTCTTCCCGGGTACTTTTCTGGAGGATACAGAGTGCGCGTACATAGGCACACCTTGCGAGGCATAGTGACAGACAGCTCTGTTCACTCTGAGTGAAGCACCGATTTCTTCTTCTTCTTCTTCTTCTTCTTCTTCTTCTTCTTCTTCTTCTTCTTCTTCTTCTTCTTCTTCTTCTCCTCCTCCTCCTTTTCTCTACTCTTCTTCTCAGCTTTGTCGCCTGATCACAGAATGGCCTCAATCGCCACATTGTTGACTACCTGCCGGCATCGCGGCTGTACGTGCTGTGGCAAGCATCGACTACCTAGGTGTGTACCTATGTACCCAGGTATATAGGTGCCCTAGTACCTGTATACAGTAGACTACCTGCGTCTGCTCGTCTGTGCACCTATGGGAACTCTGGGGCTAGAGGTCCGTGTTCCCGCCCTGTCAGGCTTGGGGTACCTAACGAACCTTGCAGGCATTCAACGTCGAGGGGGGCCCTAACCACCGGCAAGGCGATGCCTCGTCTCACCACAATACCTCACATGTTGTCCATGGCCCTTCCGAACTCATCTCCGAACAACTTCTTCTTCGCCCAATGCCGTGAACAGCTCATGCCTGGCCTGAGTCCAGCCGTAGGCCAATACTCGCATGCATTGCTACACAGTCGTGCAGTGTTCAATGCTGCGGTGCGAGGATTGTTTTGCTGTAGCCGTTCTCCTCAATCGTCCTATGTCTGGCACGGCTGCATGCAAGCCTTCAAACTACCTATAGACACACTGATACCTCATCAGTCGCCTTCACATCATAGTCACCAGCTTGCACAGATGGCTCTTTCCTGTGGCCTCCAGTATTCAGCATCGCACCACCCCTTTTCGTTACCACCACTTCAACTCCAACTCCTCTTTCCTCTTCCTTCCCTACTCCTCATCGTCGATAAGTGCTAATCAAATCTGTATGAACTCCACCGCGCCTCTGCTGGTGCCGGCGCAAGACTTCCTCAGAAACACGCATGGATCATAGATGAGGTGAGTAAGTCTGGACTACCCAGAGCCAATCGCCAAACTATCTCCGGTGACAGGTCATTTGTGGCTTGGCCGGGGAGGTTGCACAGACACAGCAGTTCAACCAACAGACACTGTTAACAGACTCGAACGACAACCTTGGTTGCATTGTATCACCTTGTCCTGTCCGCTCCAGGGAAGGGATTGTCCGCCCGAGTCTCAAAAGAGGCAGCGAGTGGGCCAGGAGCTATCGCCGTAGACCCAGAGATGTCTACCCTGAGCAGGATCGTGCTAGAGCCCATACAGACCGAACTCATGGGATCATAGGCGCCTTGGGGAGACGGCTCTGTAACCACTGGCGACCCCCTGGCGTCCAATCTCGTGTTCCTTGTCGAGCCCAGGGCCCATGCGAGGAAAATTCGGCGGTGTGATATGCCTATCCTTTACTCCCATCCCTCATCTCACTCTCCCCAAGTCCAAATCGTATTCCATAGAACTCCCTGAAGTAGGACATCATTCTGCTCGTGGTGGTTGAACCAATTCAAACCAGAGCAGCTGTGTGGCCGTGGACCAACCTCGCAGTGTCTGGACGGAGATTTCTACGCCCCCAGATCAGCTGGACAACGTGAATTTCGAAGCCGGGGGCAGCCCGGGGCTTCCTGGCAGAGTCTGCGCGATCATCCTCGTCTACAACAAACAAAAGCACGATACTTAACTGACGCTGTATGTTCTCAACCCACTCGAGCGCTTAATAAGTGTCCTGTGCTACTATCGGTGGGGACCACAGCCTGGTCACTGATGTTCCTGGTCCGGTCTGACTCTCGATTCTGTATCATTTTGACCCTGCTTGCGGTAGCGTCACATTGCCTTGGGGTGGGTGGCATTGGGCGCTCAAGATGATTTGGAGTGCAGGAGGGCGCAAGCTGTGATCCGGGGCTTGTAGCAGCAGTGCTTCCGTAAGGCCACTGGAGCCTGTGTTCTGGCACGAGACTTGCCCACAGAGGCCAACCCTTGGGGTCCGCTGTGGTAGGTAATTGGGCTCTTGGACAGGTCTCGAGGTGCGACATGCTTTATGCATTAAGACTTGTGCATGGCTTGCATGAAGAAACGGCTGGTTGGAAATGTTCAGGTCCAATGGAACCCGGTGAGGAGCGAGCCCAACCCCGTCTTACATCTGGATAGCGGACAGTGATCTGTCGCTCTGTTCCCATGTTTGGCACCTAGGCTTGCAGTGGCATTGACGTGGGCAGTTGGAACGGGAAAGCACTCTGTGTCTCACGCCGTTGCCGAATTATGGAGGCCACGACCAGCGGGTCCAACTGTGAAGCCTGCAGCTCTCGTTGACCCGAGACCCTCTGTACTTCACCCAAGGGCATTGTTTCCTTCGACGTAAGATGTGCATCTCTGAGGTTGCCAAGGTGTGTCTCTTGCCGGATACGTCGAACTTAAAATACGGCTGATGGTCAGTGTATAGCTGATCCTGACGGACCCCTTGGCCGGGCGCTGAGACGCCATGGGGATGCTGTCTAGTCCCCGAAAAGTCTTCAGAAAGCGAGTGCCAGGAAGGACAGCTGTCGGGTCAATCAACGTGTAGTCCGCACACCAGTGGCTGTGGCGATGTCAGTGATGGCTCATCAGAGTCATCACAACCAGCTAGCCAGACAAGTGAGTGCAGACAGACGTCTTGATGTCTCCTTCGAAGCAACAGAGGAGTGAGATTTGCTGGTGATACAGCTCGCAGAATGATCAGCGAGTGCATGGATCACATACTCGTTTTCTTCACGGTCCTTGTAGGCCCTGCACAATAGGGCCGTGAGTGTTCGTATGTGTACATAGTACACCAAACGATCGAATGCTAACGGCAGCCCAGGTGGACACCTTCGAGTGACTCCAATTGTGTTAGACCCCCTCCAGCTTTCGAGCCCTGCCGCACATGACGCCCTCCAGGAACCAGGTTGCTTCACGAGCGCACGAATGATTCGCTGGGATCCTTCCTAGTGGACGCTCCCGGTTGGCGCTTGTATCAGCCCTCGGTCAGTCTGTAGACTCGGTACTGGCGACTTTTTCCGTGGCAGAGACGAGGCCGACTCACGCAGCAAGTACGCGGGTCGGGCTACCTTCTTGACGGGGTTCCTTTTCCGGCGTGTTTGTCGGACTATAGACGTTCCAGGGACACTTTTCTGTGGCTCTCGAACTTGATCTCCGTCGTTGGGGACCACAAGGTCGGGCTCTTGTCGAACTGCATCTGAACCAGCACAATGGCCGTCCACTCAATTGCAGCCTCGCGTCAGATGTCTTTGATGAGGCCCCTTGCGTCCGAAATGACGGACACAGTGTGACCCGTGGACACCAAACAATTTTGTCCTCGTCCTCCTCGCCAGCGCTGACCCTGCACCAAACTCTTGCCAGTGCACCCTTCCTGACCATGCTTTACTCCGGGGAGCGTGGCTTGCTCGGCGCTGCTTGAGCTCGTGACATTTGTACACTATCCAACAGGGTTGTGCAGTGTTTCGCCCGTCAGTGGACAGGAGAGTGGTCGTTCAACGTCCATGGGGGGCTGAATGCATGGCGAGGAGGCAGCCAGGCGACGCTCCGAGCGTGTGGGAGAAAGAGCGGACCACTGCGGACGCGAAAAATGTCCGACCATGCTAAAGTGACTCTAGCAAGTTTCCTCCAGGGATCGAAGATGAGGCACAACGTTATGCTTGCCACGGCTCTCCAGCTTCGAAGTCAGCCGCGAAAGGCAGTATCCAGTTGGCAGACCGGACCCAGTGAACCGTGGCATTGTTGTCGGCCCGGCGCAGTGGGAAAAGGGACCAGGGACATTGTGGAACGGACGAATATAGGACAACAGAGTACAGTACATCCCGTGGGGCCTTGTAATCCGCCTTGGACTGCTGATAGGACAGTGAGCTGTGATGTCCATGGCTGCACTTGCATGTGGGTAGGTTGGAACGCGTTGCATGGTAGAGTTACATGTTGGCCAGACTCTACCGGATTGTACATACGCAGTATGCACTTATTAGGTCGTACATGGCTCACGGCTCGCGACCGGGCAAGATGCTCATGAGCTCATCATTGGCACGACGAGGTTTGCAAGAGCACGAGGATGACATCGCTCGGGTTTACTGTAAAAATAGCCCCCTCCCACCAAGCCGTCCCGTCCACTGGCCAGCTGGAGAGCTGGACGGGCCGTGGCACGACAGACGCTGCTTGGCATCTGGAAGGAATGATATTGCATGTGCGTGTGCCCGAGCCTTCGCACCGGTCAGAATGCCACTTTGCTCACGGGACTCGTGGGCGGCGCAGACAGGAAAGTCGGCTGCTGGCTGCTGAGAGCTTGGGAGCGTCAAGCTCCCTTCTCTGTTCGGTGTACTGGGCAGCTGGGGTATGGCGTTTAAGCAGCACTCAGCAACCGGGGTCCTTCGTTCTTGGCCTGCAGCGCTAAGGCGGTGCTAAAACCCCAGCACGGATCAAGAAGCGCGAACTGCGACCTTCCGTTTTCTATATGCCCTTGTTGATGTTGACGGCCCAGGCCAGCGAGGGGAAACCAATGATTATATTGGTGTCAGGTCCATCGTCAAACTCGGAATTCGACCAGATACCGAGCTCTTGACCTGTCTAAGGTTTTGATGGCGGATAAAATCCATCGGCTCCAACGCTAGGAGAGTTGTCAAAAGGGAGGGCAGCGATCACCTCCTGCACCTACCAAGGCGACGCACAAATTGCTTGTCATAGAGGTGATGAATCAACAAGTGTGATGAAGTCGCGATTCCATGAGCTCTCAAAAAGTGGGAAAGCCCTTCCTGAGTGGGTATCGCAGCTCGGTGCGCAAGTGCCAAATGCAGGATAGCACTAGAATGTACAGAGGTATCGACGGATGTGCCCCACTCTACCCTTGCTCGACCACAAACCAACCTAAAGCACTGAGCCAATCAAACGGCGTGGCGACCACGGTACAGTAGACCGAGCTGTGCCTGCCTTAACCAGGCAATCAGGATGGCCTGGCAGCAGCCGGGAAGGTTGGATTGCCTGTGGGAGAAAAATCCGAGCTTGCGCCTGTCCCGTCGTGTCCTGTCCAGGCCGGAGCTGCACATGTGGTGAACCAAGAGACCTATCCTTCCCTCCCTCCTTCCTACCTCTTTGTCGACGGGCTATTGGCACCAACGCGACGCAACGCAACGCAGCGCAACGCGACCCAACCACCCCATCTGGTCCCAACCCAGCCCAACCCGTCCTATCCCAATCCGAAGCTCGCAAGGCTCGTGCCGCGACAAGAAGCGCCAGCCTGGTCTCCGTCCCTCTAGAGTCCCGGCAGGTTGGAGCCTCCCTGGAGATCCAGAGATCCAGCTCCAGACAGACCCAGGACAGGTCCCGCCCCGGGCGCCAGACCACATCCAGTCAGTACACGGTACCGGCCAGACAGACGACTTCTGTCTCTGCGACTCAACCGGGCCTTGCCTCGTCAGAGCCTGCCTGCCTGTCTGCCTGCCTGCCTGCCTGCCTGCCCGCACCCTCCTCGCTCTACTATCCACACCCGAACAAGGTCCATCTCCTCCTCATCTTGTGCTATCCTGCCCTGCCCTGCCCTGATCCTGCATCGCATTTCTGCACGCTACACGCCGCGCCGCGCCGCGCCACCTGCCTGCCTGCCTCAGTAGAGCTCCGAGGTACACAGTCTCACAGTCCCACCGTCCATGGGCAGCCACCACGCGGTTTGCCCTTGTCCTGCCCACTCCTGCCCTCACTGGACCCTACCTCGTGTCCCCGTCTCACCACTTTCTCCTACCTTCCGGCCCAGCAGTCTACGTACAGCCTGCATAATCCGGCCAAGCCTGCCTTAGCTGACACCTCGACTGCAGCAGGATTGGAGTTGACTGGACCGATACTAGCGAAAAAGACACGCGCGCATACAAGCAGAGACAGAGAACCAAGAACCAGGCGCAGAGAGATCGAGCAGCAGCACCAGCAGCAGCACCCTGCATTGCATTCCTCTCCCGCCCTGCCCAGGTGGTGCTCTTGATCCCGCCACAGCACACCTCCTTTGTCCATCACACCAGACCCTCAGCTCCCGACGTGCGTGTGTATCCTCGCTTGCGCATGCTCTCTACTCCGCCCCTCGAGCGTCTGCTTACTTGCCATCCTCTAGCCACGCGTCTGTTCTCCTTGTCCAGCTCGCCGTCCCGTCCGCGAGTACCAGAGTCCGCGAGTACCAGAGACCGCCTCCGCAGTAGATAGCCCCCTCGTGCTCGTACCTGACCAGACGGGCAACCCTGCGACTGAACACGGCGTCGAATACCAACCGGTCGACCGCTCCTCGCGCTCAAGTAGACCACGATCTATCTGCCCGACAGTTTGACAATGGGTGAGTGGCTTTCCTGGTTCACATCGTCAACCCCCCCAGTCAACGCCTCTCCCTCGCCCTCCCCGGAGCTGTAACTCGCTGTGGCTTTTGACTGCGCTCCCTCCCTCCCTCACTGTCACCAGAGGTCTTCCCGGCCCTCTCTGAAGCCCGGAGTGAGACAGATGCCCGCCATCCCATTGCGTATACCTCCGTGTTCCCAGCGGCCAGAGGCGCTCTCCACGCCGGGCCGTGTCCAGTGTGTCCATTTCTCCATCCAGCGCTTGCAGCTGCGGCGTCGGGCATTCCACTACTCTCTGTTCCCTGACCCTCATGCCCTGAGTGGCCCTCGCCCTCCGCCCTGCAATCCCTCTCACATGCACCCTTTCTTTGCACGTTGCCTGCTTCGGGCTCGCATGCTGCTCTGGGCCATGTACCTCGCCCTGCCTCGCCCTCCCTCCCACCACTGCCGCTGTTCTTCCCAGTGCGCATAGGTACCGCTACCTCGACCTCCCTCACCACCCTGCCCACCTGCACCTTGCTGCTGCCGCCAGACGTTACCGGCCCCATCCCGTGGCGGGCGCTGCAGCAGGTGTGCCTGCCCTGCCCTGCCCTACCTGCTTCAATGGGCTCAGTCACCCCTCTTGATGCATACACATGCGGTGCCTTCACACTATCGGGTGTAATCCCCACGCCCTCCTCGCAGCCGGCGGCTGGCCCCCAACACCAGCTGCTACTCCTCGATTGCCACAGCCTACAAATCTGACCCTACATCTACCCACCACGCCCCTCCCGCTTCCCTCCAGTCCACTCATTCTCATCTTGTTCCATTTGGCCCCGCGACCGTCTTAATTACTCCCAAGCTCCAGGATCTAACCTTGAATATTTTATCCAGCAGATTCTGGCGACACCTACCGTCCCGTGAGTATTGCACCCTCTCTCGCATTCTTTCTCTACTGCTCTCTGCTATTTCTCTCTTCCACGTGCCTCGTTCTGGCTTGCGTTGCCCCCGACTTCAGGGCGATGTGTTTTTGACGGTGTTGGCGCCCCAACACCATCAAGGTTCTCGACCCGCCGCTAAGTTGTGGGCCAACCCATGCCACCAAGCGCCCGGGCCGAGTGCGTTTTCAAGCTCTGGCCCTCGCTCCCTTCGAGCTGCCCGGCTTGGCTGCTTGCGAGACTACATCGCAGCGCCGCCAACAAATATTGGCTCCGCATCTTGATATCCGATCAGCCAGCTACGGAGATAAAGGAGGCTGACAACACATGCAGCGCGAGAGATCCCGATCTCGTCGTCGATCACGGAGTCCGGTCCGGTCTGCAAACCGCGGTCACCGTTCCCTTTCGCCACGAAGCGGCTCTCGCAGTCCTAGGCAACGACGCTCACGAAGTCCCATGACCGGCCAAGGCGCACCTGCGGGAGGATCGGGTCAGGGTTACAGGCAACCACATCAGTCCTATGAGGATCGCCAGCAAGCGAGAGAGCAAATGATGAGCACCGTCCGGGAGAACTCGCAGCAAGACCGCCGCGTCTATGTCGGCAACTTGTCTTACGATGTCAAATGGCATCATCTCAAAGATTTCATGAGGCAGGGTGGGTCTTCCTGGGACAGGTAGAGAGAAGATCGCGGGACCATGGCACTAACGGGGTTGATGTGCTTGTAGCCGGAGAGGTTCTCTATGCCGATGTCTTGCAACTTCCCAATGGAATGTCGAAGGTGGGCGTCTACAAGTAGCTTCTGGCTGGTTTCATTTTATTTCCCTTGCGGTCTCCCCTCTCATGGCACTTTTGATGGAACTGTTGGATTGACGGGTTGGGACGTTGTCCGCTGGTGCTTGTAGGGATGCGGGTAAGCCACGCCACCACCTCCCCCGGCCAACACCGGCACATGCTGACCTTGTCCAGAATTGTGGAATATGCTACGAGGGACCAAGCTCAGAATGCTGTCCAAACTCTCAGCAACCAGAACCTCATGGGGCGCCTGGTCTATGTCAGAGAGGTGAGATCAAGCCCACCTGTGCGCCTCGAAAGCCCAGGGCGGCATATACTGAGATTGAAACAGGACCGGGAAGCTGAGCCTCGATTCAATTCTGGTGCCGCTGGGGGCGCTGGAGGCGTCGGCCGCGGCGGATTCGGGCATGGTGGCCCCATGGGCTTCCAAGGTGGCCACGGTGGATATGGCGGCGGCATGGGCGGTAGCAACGACCGCCAGCTCTACATATCCAATGTTTGTAGCTTTCCGGAATGGTTGTGTCCCCCAGCATGGAACTACTGCTGACCATGTCCCAGCTTCCCTACACTGTCGGCTGGCAGGACCTGAAGGATTTGTTCAGGCAAGCAGGTACGATTGGGACACATTAGAGTGCCAGGCTCCCCTTATTGGTGCTCAATGGAACGCTTACACAACATCACAGCCCGCACTGGCGGTGTCATCCGCGCCGACGTCCACCTGGGCCCCGACGGACGACCCAAGGGATCCGGCATCGTAGTCTTCGAAACCCCCGACGATGCTCGAAACGCTATCCAGCAGTTCAATGGCTATGACTGGCAGGGTCGCATTCTCGAGGTCCGTCCCGACCGCTTCGCAAACTCCGGAATGGGCTTTGGTGGTCGAGGAGGCTTCGGCGGCCGCGGCGGCTTCGGCGGCGGCTTCGGTCGCGGCGGCTTTGGCGGAGGCCGTGGCGGCTTTGGCGGGGGCTACGGACAAGGTGGGCGTGGCGGTGGCTTCGCCGCTGGAGGTGGCTTCGACAACAATGCGGCTGCTTCTGTCCCGCCCAACCCCTTCACCGATTTTGCTACAGCGGGTACCGAGAGGAGCGAGATCATCTACGTGCGGAACGTGAGTTCAGTCGCCAAATTTGGATTACTCCACTGTTACCTCTCTTGGGTCGGACCCGCTAACTCTTTCTTGTAGCTTCCCTGGTCCACCAGTAACGAGGACCTGGTCGAGCTGTTCGGGACGATCGGTAAAGTTGAGCAGGCCGAGATCCAATACGAACCGAGCGGTCGCTCCCGAGGAACTGGTGTTGTCCGATTCGATGCTGCCGAGACAGCTGATACTGCCATATCCAAGTTCCAAGGATACCAGTATGGTGGCCGTCAGCTCGGGCTCAGCTACGTCAAGTACCTCCAACCCGGCGGGGGTGACGCAATGGACACCGACCACGGTGGCATGACCCAGAGCGACATAATGTAGTCGCCCTACCAAACGACACGAATACTTGACACCTGCCAGAAGCAGTGTGTCCTGACAAATAAACGGCTTACACATGTCTTCTGGTCCACTCGTTATCCACGTGGTTTAATTCTTCATCATTGACGTTTTCCCTTGTTGCGTTCTTTTTCAATTATCCAAAGGACCCTTTTGCGCGCCCAGGTTTTGGTCGTCTAACTCGATGGCTCGTTCGGTCTGTCGACGAGACAAGTCGGACCGGCCCCAAAACAGGCACGCACGCACGCACACACAAAAAGAGAGAGAAAGAAAAAGGAGTGATCGTGGCTTGGTCTGAGATTGATACGCTCGGAGCGACAATGAGGCAAGAGCCCGATGCGCTTCGATTCGGTGGACTTGGTGGAGGATCGGAACGCTCTAAGTTAGATTGTCGAATAGCATCTGATTCTCATCGGGAGGCGTTGCTGGGGTTGGCGTCGGGCAATGGCGTTTTGGTGCACGGGTCGACACGGTGATATGATCGCGTATGATTGCTCGCAAGGGGCTTGTTCCGGGGATTCTCATCGGAAATGAGAACCAGGGCTGTAGGATTGTTCGGTGCCGTATCCTCGGCTTGTCCGTTCCCGAAAGACGCATCACGCGGAGACCAGGCCAGCTTGGCAATTCCGCATGCAGGCTTAGTATGAAAGGGTGTGTTGTGAGATGTGACGGGTGGCTTGACCCGACTGCCCAACCAACTCCTGACGGGCAGCGCATTGAGTCGGAAGCAAGAGATTGCAGAACCACAGATACCAGTTGAAGTTTTATCAAGTAGATAATATCAAGGATAATTGCCACTGGAAGGTCATGGTTCCACCGCACTGAATACGCTTGCGGCGTCCAGTGTCCTCCGGGCGTGACTTGGGTGGGCCGACAGCCTGCCGAGACAACTCTGAACAGGACTTCTGCATCACTGCCATCTGCTGTTATGTATTTTGCGGGAACCAGGAGCCATGGTGCTTGCATGCCGCCGCCAGCCACGACGGCCTGAAACGAATCATGTCTCCGTTTCAGCAAACATGCAGTTTGCTGTTCCTGTCCTTCCGAGTGACTGACTCTACGCGGTCGGCTGCTAGGGCCCCTGAGGGTTGGTTACAGCGCGTCGAAGGAATATATCTTGGGTGAGCATCCCATGACAATACGCGAACCAGGTCTCGTGTGCTACTATCGTTTCTATCAAGGAGTCTGTCAAACCCTTCCAGAGACAGGGGAAGTGAGGGGGAGCACAGTCCATGCTTAAGGTATACATCAAGCTGGCTACGTGTATGCGGACTGCCCAGAGAGGAACCGCAGGAGGCAGGCAACTAAAATTCGGGCGAAGCACGGCCAGCACTGGCCTTCGACTGAAGGGAGACCAACTAGACAGACACATTGCCTACGTGCGTACTCTGGGAGGACTCCACGGTATTGTAGAACAGGATCCGGACTGGACAAGGGGTGGGGGGATGTGCGAGATACATTACTTGAAGTGCACCAGCTGCGGCAGGCGGTGGGAGGCACACAAGAAACTCGCCAGCTGCGAGGAGCCTGATGAGGACGCCAGGTGTCCGGACAACCTGGTCATGTACGTTGGTATTCCAAGAAGGCCCGAAAAAGGAGAATGCGAGGATTGCAGACGTCTCAGGGAGGTGATGGAGACTTTGGAGGACGGTGATGAGTAGGGGGTTGATATGAAGCCGAGGTCGTCAATGGAAGGCAATCTCAGTTCGGCAAGTTGATAATGTCTTGGTCTGCCCGCTGGCCATTCGTGTCTATTTTCCCTCGCATTTAGCGGCAGCACCTCTCTCAAAATTGGTGCTTGTGAATGTCTTCCCCAGCGGCCCAAGGCTACCAGACCACCGCTGGGCCGCTGCTCTGGAAGCCATGAGAATCCACTAAATAGCTCCTTCCAACGGATTGGCTGGCCATTTCTTTCCCAGCCAAATGTCCTCAGCGCCCGCCATCTTTGAAATTCTTCTCGAACCCCGAATACTAGCCAAGAGCTCGGCACCTTGCCGGCTCATCAAGCCGTGGTCTTCTTCTTCTTGGACTTGGCCTTGCGCTTTGTCCGAATCCTGGGCTTGAGCGCGAGCATACCGGCCTTGCAGATCTCGGCATAACGTGCGTAGAAGGCATCCAGGTCACCCGACTGAACAACGGTAGCCAGCTTCACCCTCCTGCCGGCTTTCCTGTCGTCGCCGGACTTCCCATTGGTGGCGCGGACAATGACGGGGAAGGAAGCTCCGTCTGCTGGGTCTTTCAGATCCGCCAAAGGATCCTCGACCGTTGGCACAGGGGCACTGGATCCGTGAACAACTACAAGAAGGGATTAGCACTTACCACCCCGGTAGATATTTGTAATTGCACCTGCTCTACAGCTGGGTGTACGGCAGGCGCGATGTCCGCCGGGGCAAGGATGGGCACCACAGCGCGAAGGTGAGAGGGTCGTCATACCTCGTTTCTGGCTCAGGAAAACCGAGCCGTGGTCTTTGCCTTTGCGAGCTGTGAAGAGGTCGCCGAGCTTGTTGAAGAACTGAATGAGCCGTTAGAGAGCAGGCGCGGACGGGGTTCCCCTGCTAACGAAGACATACCTCATCGTGGGAGAGATGTGTCTCGGGCATGATGATGGGGAGTCGAGCCTCGACGGAGGCAGACTGTTTTAAATCCACAAGCTCCAAGACAATCTAACCGAGTAGTGAGGTCGCCCACGGTTGCATGAGTGGTGTGTGGTCTGCCAGCTTCTTTGGCAATTATCCTAGACACGTTGAAGGTAGGGGGGGCTGATGGGTAGTGAGCGGGTGCGTGAGTGAGGCGTGAGGGTGCCAGTCTGTTGAAGTCGGTAGTGGGGCCCGTGCAGGCAAATGTTAGGAGGACTTGGATTGGCACCCCACGTTTTCGCAGTACACTAGATCCCATGCTAGACCGCGCTGCTGGAGGACAAGGGCCCACTTAAATTTCAGACTGCAACTATGTTGTCCCAAAAATCCCCGTGCTTTTTTGCACATGCCTGTATTTCCACGTAGCAGAACACCATGCCTCCATCAAAGAGAGGTCGTGAACCGCTCCGGCCGTCCCTCCCAGCCAGCCTCCTGAAGGACATAGGCGGCACGCCTACAACTCCCCGCAGGCCATCTCAAGCCCAGACCCGCAAGGACCGGCGGAAAGCAGAGAGGTCTCAGAAGCGCCAGCGTTCTGCTCCCATAACCAAGCAGAAGTCCACTGCAGTCCCTGCAGCTCCTGCTGGTAGTGGTGTTGGTGGCAGTGGTGGGAGACGGCGGCGTGGTTCAAGTGAATCTCTTGCACAAGAGCCTGAGGCCTCGAGGAAAGCTCCCAAGATCAGCAAGCCGACTCAGCCCGTGTCAGATGACGATGAATTTGACGGCTTCTCGGAAGAGTCTTCCGATGAGGAGGAAGAGCCCAGCAACCCGGTCCCTTCGAGGGTAACCAAGGATAAGCTGGCCGAGGATGATGCAGAGATCGCAGCTCTTGAGAAGAAGCTGGGCATCAAGCAACGGAAAACCCTGCCTAAATCTTTCCACGAGGATGGCCTCGACGAGGTGCTAGGCGAGTTAGCGGATCAGCAGGACGATGAGGCCCTGCTTGCGCGGAGGAAGAGGAAGGCTGAGGCGGACGAATGGCTGGCGCAGAAAAGGAGAAAGGCCACCCAGCAGCCCACGGCGGACAATAGCGGCGAGGGTAGTGACGAAGACGACTCTCTGCTCGAGCTCGAACTTGGAAGCGACCTTGGGGAAAGTGACGATTTCGACGACGACGAGGACGCTCTCGATTCAGAACGCGAGGTGGAAGAGCCGACCGTGCGGCGACGTGAGAACCCATATGTGGCTCCAGTGCCAGCTCCCGCGGCCGCACAGAAGTACGTTCCTCCGGCGCGACGTCAAGAGAGCGGTTCAGACGCAGAGTTGGTATCGCGCATCAGGAGGCATGCACAGGGTTTCATCAACCGTCTCACCGAATCGAACCTGATCGCGATACTCGGCGACATAGAAAGCCTTTACCGGGAACACCCACGGCAGCATGTCACATCCGTACTGGTGGATCTCGTCCTGGTCCAGATCTGCGAACCTACCAGCTTGCCAGATACCCTGCTGATCTTACATGCGGGATTCGCAACTGCGGTTTACAAAGTCATCGGCTCGGATGTTGGAGCCCAGCTTATCCAACAGGCCGTTGAGAGGTTCCGCGGCTACTACGCCGAGGGCCCCGGTGATGGGTCGCGGGACGTCTCGAAACAAACGTCCAATCTGATCACTTTCCTTGCGCAAACGTACAACTTCCAGCTCATTGGGTGCAACTTGATCTTTGACTACGTTCGGTTTCTATTGGACCACCTATCGGAGCTCAACGCAGAGCTCCTGTTGAGGATTGTCCGTATGGCGGGACAGAACCTTCGGCACGATGACCCGCTGGCGCTCAAGGACATTGTTGCCCTGATACGACCGGCGGTCAACAAAGTCGGGGAGGCCAACCTCTCCGTCCGAACCAAGTTCATGATCGAAAGCATCAACGACCTGAAGAACAACAAAGTCAAGGCCGGAGCGAGCGTATCGGTGGTGAACCAGGACCACACGACGCGCATGAAGAAGCTTCTGGGCTCGCTCAACTCAAGGAAGCTCAAATCCACAGAACCCCTACGCATCGGTCTGAAAGACATGGAAGAATCGGACAAGCGAGGCAAATGGTGGCTCGTCGGAGCGAGCTGGGCGGGCCGCGACGGTCCCTCTGGGAGGCAGGCCAAAATGGAAGGAGCCGACGGCGGCGCTGAAGAAGACGATGGCGAGGGCGAGGACGAGGACGCGAACAGCATCACACTGGACAGTGACGAGGAGGTGGTGCCGGACCTACATGAGCTTGCGAGGGAGCAGAACATGAACACGGACGTCCGACGGTCGATATTCATAGCCATCATGTCAGCAAGCGACTACGAAGACGCGTACATGCGTGTGACCAAACTCCGGCTTGGAAAGCATAGGCAGAAGGAGGTGGCGTACGTGGTGATGCAGTGCGCGGGAGCAGAGCAGCAGTACAACGTGTACTACTCCCTGGTGGCGCGCAGGCTGTGCGGGGATGGGAGGATCAGGTTCGCGTTCCAGGACAGCCTATGGAAGCTGTTCCGCCGGCTAGGCGAGTCGATATTCGGCGAGGACGCCGAGGAGGAGCAGGACGAGGACGAGGACGACGAGGGCGAGGAGACGGCGGTGCGGCGCGTCTTCTGCCTGGCCAAGGTGTTTGGGTTCCTGATTGCCAACGGGGCGCAGGGGCTGGGGGTGCTCAAGTGCCTCAACCTGCGCTATCTGAGGCCCAAGACGCGGGACTTTGTTGAGGTGATGCTCATCACTTTGTTCCAGGAGCTCAAAGCGGCCGGGGGCAAGCCCACAAAGGTGTTCGCGGCGGTGGCTGACATGGAGGGCCTCTCCAAAGGGCTGCAGTGGTTCCTCAGGAAGAAGGTGCGCAAGTCGGACCTGCTAACTAGCAAGAAGGACAAGAGACGGGTCAAGCAGGGTTGCGACGAGGCCATCACGGCGCTTGCCACCTACGAAGAGCGTGCAGCTACCTAGGTGGATAGTTACTTAACAAGTAGTTTCCTTATCTACTTGGCGGCACACAGTAATGTGGAGTTGATATGGCTTAATTGGTTGTCTGACTGTGGGATACCCTCCTTTGCGACAACCTCATAATTCCTGTGGGGTACTCTTCCGTGGGATAACCTCTTGTAGAATACCGTCTTTTAGGATATCCACCTGTGGAATACTCTTCTATGGGATACCCTCTTGTGAGATAACCTTCCAAGGATGACCTCCTAGTTTGATACATAATTCTCATTTCTACTTAATGACACGCAGTAATGTGGGGCTAGAGCAGCACGCGATGTCCTACATAATACGGTAGTATCGACTAGATACGTACTGTATATAGTAGGCGATCAGTCATCAGCACTCTGCCGAAGCTGGGTGGCTCGCCCCAGGACCGTGGGACTCCAACTAATAAGTCTGCACGTAGGTTGGCAGACAGGAGGCCAGTACCCGGCCGGAAAAGAACGGGTTTGGGGGGCGCCAGGCCAGGGTTTTAAGCCGACCGGGCCAGCCCAATTGGCAGGCGGGCCTCAGCACTCAGGCCTCAACGGTTGAACCGAAGCTCCAAAAAAACGCTCACATCAAACACATGGTTGTAGCTATAACAGTAACTGTCAGATCGTCTGACCGCACAGCTACGCCTACCTAGTAGTCTACAGTACATACAGCCCAGGTTGAGGTGACGTGCAGCCGTGTGCTTGTGCAGAGGAGACCCTCCCAATCCATAATCCCGCTCCCAGCTCGCCTTTTGCCCCCCCCCCCCTCCAGCGCCCGGAGACCCGAAATCCACAGTCCAGAGTCCACAAGCTCCATTCTCCATTCTCCAGTCCCGAGTCCCGCTTGCTGCAACGCAGCGCGACCAATTCTTCCGCCTCACTCCTTTGCTCCCGACAGACAGACAGACAAGACTCGTGCCAGTCCTGTCCAGCGGTCCTCCAGTCTGCTCGACTCGCCGATTACTCCGGGTGGCCCCTACAGAACTACCACACAAGCACAGCTCACCACAGCGTCCTCACCATGCTCGCAAGCCGGTTAATACCGCGGACTGCGGTTCGCTCTGCCTTCACGAGGTCCTCCCTCCCTACCGTCGCAGTGCCGAGATGGCGACGCTCATACGCTACCGAGGCTGAGGAGAAGGATCTCGTTATCATCGGCGGTGGTGTCGCTGGCTACGTCGCCGCCATCAAGGCCGGCCAGGAGGGCCTGAAGGTGCGTGCTCCCTCCCCGCTCCCACCCCTTCCTTCTCTTCCATCACTGCCTTGGCCCCGTCCTATGGGTTCGTCTGCTGAACAAGCCCGCCCCCTGAGCAGGTCGCTTGCATCGAGAAGCGTGGCACCCTCGGCGGCACATGTCTGAACGTCGGCTGCATCCCGTCAAAGTCCCTCCTCAACAACTCGCATCTCTACCACCAGATCCTCCACGACACCAAGAACAGGGGTATCGAGGTCAACGATGTCAAGCTGAACCTGGCCAACCTGATGAAGGCCAAGGACACCTCCGTCGCCGGCCTCACCAAGGGAGTCGAGTTCCTCTTCAAGAAGAACGGCGTCGAGTACCTCAAGGGCTCCGGCTCCTTCGTCAACGAGCACGAGGTCAAGGTCCAGCTCAACGACGGCGGCGAGACGAGCGTCGTCGGCAAGAACATCCTCATCGCCACCGGCTCCGAGGCCACCCCTTTCCCCGGCCTGGAGATCGACGAGAAGCGCGTCGTCAGCAGCACCGGCGCCATCGCCCTGGAGAAGGTCCCTGAGAAGCTCATTGTCATTGGTGGCGGCATCATTGGCCTCGAGATGGCCTCCGTCTGGTCCCGCCTGGGTTCCAAGGTCACCGTCGTCGAGTTCCTGAACCAGATCGGCGGCCCCGGCATGGACTCCGAGATCGCCAAGCAGACACAGAAGATCCTGAAGAAGCAGGGTATCGACTTCAAGCTGTCCACAAAGGTCGTCGACGGTGACGCATCGGGCGAGACCATCAAGCTGAACGTTGACGCCGCCAAGGGTGGCAAGGCCGAGTCTGTACGTGTTCCCTCCAAGCCCCCGCCCAGCCCCCGGGCTCTCTGACCCGCCGCGCGTACTCTTACTATCGTCGCCACGGAACGAGATTGCTGACCAGACATGCGCGCGCAAAATAGCTGGACGCCGACGTCGTTCTCGTTGCCATTGGTCGCCGGCCATACACCGGAGGACTGGGCCTGGAGAACATTGGGCTGGAGCTCGACGAGCGTGGACGTGTCATCATTGACCAGGAGTACCGAACCAAGCTCCCCCACATCCGGTGCGTTGGAGATGTCACCTTCGGGCCCATGCTGGCGCACAAGGCCGAGGAGGAAGCCGTTGCTGTCGTCGAGTACATCAAGAAGGGCTACGGCCACGTTAACTACGGGTGCATCCCATCGGTCATGTACACGTACCCCGAGGTCGCATGGGTGGGCCAGAGCGAGCAGGAGCTCAAGGCGGCCGGCACCCCCTACCGCGTCGGAACCTTCCCCTTCAGCGCCAACTCGCGCGCCAAGACGAACCTGGACACGGACGGCATGGTCAAGATGCTCGCGGACCCCGAGACGGACAGGCTTCTCGGCGTGCACATTGTCGGCCCCAACGCCGGCGAGATGATTGCGGAGGGAACGCTGGCTCTGGAGTACGGCGCTTCGTCCGAGGACATTGCGAGGACGTGTCACGCGCACCCCACGCTCGCTGAGGCGTTCAAGGAGGCTGCGATGGCGACGCACGGCAAGGCTATCCACTACTAAGTGGGAGAGGATGTATACTAGGTGTCTGTTCGGTATTGTACATGAAACCCACGCATCACTGCTAGGACGGAAGGTCTAGGGCCCCGGTGGTGTGAAGGAGTAATGATAGAGCAGGCAAGGAGAGGAAATCAGAGAGAAGAGAGCGACAAGAGAGTGAGAAAGAGAGAACGAGAATAAGTAAAACGTCTCAATGGTCGACCAATGTCCAAGTTTGCGTGTTGAAATAGCGCCTATTCCCCCGCCCGCCTCGACTAACTTCGATATCAAAAGTGGACATTACAAGATGGGCAGCTGAACCTATTCAGATTGATCTGAGCCCCGAGGCCAGCGCCGGATAGATGGGCGTTAAAGCCATGGGGGAGGAAGCCATGGGGGAGGTTCAGGCCACCGCCGCACCCGGAACTGATGCCACCACCCAGACCAAGTCCCAGACCGCTGAGGATCATGTTGATATTATTAAGGTTCCCAGTCCCTCCCGGCCCGGTGGCGCCCACCTGTGGTTGCTGATGGACGAGGTTGGCGGGGATGACGAAGACATTGTTGGTGCCCATGTAAGGCTGTGTGGCGCCGGGACAAGTGTGGACACAGGGAAGCTGGCACCTGCTGTTGACCGGGGCGGCGCCGTGGCAGTGAGGAGCCGGCGCCGGCGGCGAGGAGCTGCACCCCCAGAGGGCACCGCCGTGGCAGCCTGCGTCTCCGAGGCGGGCGAGGTGGTTCTGCAGGATGAGACGGGCGACGAGGCCGGAGAGGCCGTCCAGGCTGATGCTGTTGTGGTCCACGCCGCTGCATTGCGAGGTGAAGCAGTCGGTGTTCCTGTAACGGGGCGGTGCCAGGCGGTCAGATAAAACATCCAATGAGTATTTACTCAGGCTGCGAGGCTGCCGATGCTCATGGGACCGAGTCAAGGGCGGGGATACGACAGGAGACCAACGGGGGGAAGTAAAGCAATAATGGACATACAACCTCCCGTTTCGATTTCCGTATCCGGCACCGAACGCTGGACGAGCATGTCAGCACGGTGGAGAGGGCTCAGGAACAAGCACAAGTCAAGGAGATATTACTCTGCTCAGCCCATCCGCCTGGCTGGTGGATGAAGGCGTAGGGCCAGAATGCGCCGCCGGAGTAGCGAGGCATGGTGGGTAGATAGGTATGTTGGCAGTGGAAAGCCAAACCTCAAGAGAAGGAGATGCTGTCGTGGGAAGCACGTGGATGATGGCACTTGAAAGGGGACGAGACATGTTATACGTGAAGCCGTGGCTCGTGGTTCTCGCATACGATGGGAAATGTGCCATGTTTGCTATCAAGGTCACATTACGTTAAGCACTTGGGCGTCTCACGGACCATACTCGAGACACGGAATCCCATGGATAGGTGGCTCCGGCCGGACAAACATGCATAGATATTCGTAGAGCAGGTCACGGAGGAGCTTTTATGAGATGAAAAGGCGGTCACTGAGGAGGCCCAAGACTGTGTGTTGTGGAAAAGAAGCCGGAAGACGACGTACAAATTGCCATACTGTGAGAGGTCCTCTTTTTGTAAACGAAGTTAACTCAAGACCGTGTGCATACCCGTGTCGCCTAGCATGTAATCGGCATCCGGTGATTGGAGTCGGAACGGCCTCGGCGTGGGGCCGGGGGACCGGGGCCGGGGTCGGCCATCAACACGCCTAGATAATCCGAGTGTCCGTCGGCTCGACTCCGCAACACTTGCAGATGCATATGCAGATGCAGCAACAGCACACCAGCAGCAACAAAACCGCTGCCACAAACACCAAAAATCCACAACCAGCGACACGGGAAGCACACCAACCGTCCGATGCGGTAACGTGGAAGCAGTGCATTGCAGGCCGATAAGCGCTTGCCCGAGCCCAGCAAGGCAAAGCAGAGAGACAGTGAGCCAAAGTCAAGCCAGTCAAGCCAGTCAAGCCAGTCAAGCCATCCAGTCGTACGATCACCACCGCCATTGCCCACCGCCAATCCACCAGAATCCGGCTGTTTGGGCTGTCTATCGTCTCATCCCGCCCTCCCTGTCATTGGTGGTGCAAATCCTGCCTCCCCTCCACTCCCTCTCCTCTGCTTCTCCTCTGCTTCTCCTCTGCTTCTCCTCTGCTTCTCCTCTGCTTCTCCTCTGCTTCTCCTCTGCTTCTCCTCTGCTTCTCCTCGATGCCAGCTCAATTGACAATAGCTAGTCTGCCCAACCTCAACACGACGCGGTCGCATCCCCGCTTCGATGTCGATATAGAACGACAGCCTCAATCACCCCCCCCCCGAACTCCCTGTCCCGGCCTGCCCGATCCGAATTGACTCGATAACAACGCGACGCCCGCCATGGACACCACCAAGCGTCGGGTACCTGCCCGTCAATACCCTGTCATGACCAGGCGGGAGGTCGAGCAGCTCATAGCAGACGGCAGGACCATTGTTATCCTGGACCAACATGTCCTCAAGGTCGATGCCTGGATGAAGTACCACCCTGGCGGCGACAAAGCCATCCAGCACATGGTCGGGAGAGATGCCACCGACGAGGTTAACGCGTCCGTCCGCCCTCTGCCGCTTCCCCGCCTGTCGCGCTGCCTGGCTCCCTTCGACTGACTGAGACTCTTCTTCGCAGCCTTCACTCCCCCGAGGCACGGGCAATGATGAATAAATTTAGAATCGGTCGCATCGACCACAGGTGGAAGAACATGTTGCCCCCTATTCAGGGCGGCGTCTTCGCACCCCAGACAGACGCCGACGGTGGCTTAGATGACCCCGGGGTGGCGTGCCCCGCGAGGGACTCCCCGACCTCTAGTCATGCTAGCTCACGATCCGCCTCGCCTGTGTTTGATACACATGACAGCCATGGCCAAGCTCTACGCAGCCGCAAGGCTGGCGCTGCCTCTCCCTCGTCCATGCGGCCGTCGTCCTCGACCTCGGTCACGTCCGCCGACGACGATGGTAGTGATGAGCCGGCCGACGGGATGAGCCTCCTGGACCGCAGGACCATGCAGGAGATCAAGCAGGACCTTGAGATCTACCCCGCCTTGGACCCCGCCACCCAAGACAACATCGTGGACAAGTACCGCCAGCTGAACGAGAGGATCAAGGCCGAGGGGCTCTACCAGTGCAACTACTGGGCCTACGCCGTTGAGTGTTTCCGCTACACCCTGTTCTTCAGCCTCTTCGTACTCTTCCTGCGCTGGAAGTGGTGGGTCACGAGCGCGTGGTGGCTCGGCTGCTTCTGGCACCAGCTGGTCTTCTCTGCCCACGACGCCGGTCACATGGGCATCACCCACAACTTCCACGTCGATACCGTCATCGGGATCATCATAGCCGACTTCGCGGGCGGCCTGTCCCTGGGATGGTGGAAGAGGAACCACAACGTGCACCACATCGTGACCAACTCCCCCGAGCACGACCCGGACATCGAGCACATGCCCTTCTTCGCCATCTCGCACCGCTTCCTACAGAATCTGCGCTCCACCTACTACGAGCGCGTCATGGCCTACGATGCGTTCGCCAAGGTCATGTTGAAGGTCCAGCACTACTCCTACTACCCGATCCTGCTCTTTGGCCGCTTCAACCTCTACCGTCTCTCATGGGAGTACCTCATCGGCCGGCAGGCCCCTCGGAAGGGCCCAGCCTGGTGGCACCGCTGGCTCGAGCTGGCGGGCCAGGTCTTCTTCTGGTACTGGTTTGGCTACATCGTGGTCTACAAGTCCATCGACTCGAACTGGGCCCGCTTCGCCTTCGTCATGGTGAGCCACATGGTGACAATGCCTCTGCACGTGCAGATAACGCTGTCCCACTTCGCCATGAGCACCGCAGAGTTAGGCCCGGCCGAGTCCTTCCCGCAGAAGATGCTGCGGACCACCATGGACGTGGACTGCCCCCTGTGGCTCGACTTCTTCCACGGCGGGCTCCAGTTCCAGGCCATACACCACCTCTACCCGCGCATCCCGAGGCACAACCTGCGCACAACGCAGAAGCTGGTGCAGGGGTTCTGTGAGGAGGTCGGCATCCCGTACGCGCTGTACGGCTTTGTGGGCGGGAACAAGAAGGTCATTGGCCGCCTGGCGGATGTGAGCAGGCAGGCCGCCATCTTAGCCAAGTGCCAGCAGGTTCTGGCTCAGAGCGGCGACCCCCTGCACCATCACTGATGTGGCATTCGAAATGTATTGAGATGATCTGAGGTGGTCCGGTGAATCCATCACGTCGTGCCATTTATAGTGGGACCCGGGAAGTAGCGGTACTGGGTTGTACAACACAGAGATGAGCTGTACTCGTGCTGGTGTTATACTTCATATAGACGCCTCATTTGGCTTGTGTCTCGTCTCTGGCCACGAGAAGACATGCCAATAAACGGAGATGAAGGAAGTCCTCGGGATTGCGCTTTGTCGATATATTCGAGGCAGAGCGTGGCGTGGTTTGGTCAACACATAGAATCGATTGATGACTTGTGAATCCTGCAGGCCTCCCAGGATCCAAATCTCTTTTTGAGTTCTATTTTGTCTCAGCGACCCCTCTCGCGAGAAGCAAGTCGGTGGTGATCATTATATGCCGGCAGATCAAACGTGCGCACTTGTGGGCACGATTTTGCGGAAATGATAGGTCGCGTGGCAGTGAGATATGCAGAGACGCCGTGCTTGCCAGATAGGCGAGCCTCAGACAGGTGCAGAAAGGTGGGCATTGGCAGCTCGCTTACGCTCGGCAACCGACCCTCTCTCCTCCCTTCCCTGAACGCCCTGGCAGCCCTGCCAGCAATGTCACTCGTGCCATGTGGCTCTCGGATGCACGAGGACAAGGGTTACAGTGGGCGGATGCACGCCATTTGCCCGGTGAAGGGATGATGGGTCGCAACGCCCGGATGTCAGGCACGCCCAGGGCCCCAGCAAACGTCATGTGACATGAGGATTGCCTTGAGCTTGTTCTCCTTTACTTTTTTCTCCCACTGTACTTATTTGCGTACTGTGGGAGTGGGGACAGACTCCCGGTCGATCTTGCTGCAGCCCCGTGGCGGAACTTTAGACTTGAAACAAATGAGTAAAGCGATCACCGTGTGCTCCGACCGGGGTTCGCCAGAGGGCCGTGGGGGACAGGGCTCGCCGACACAGTTGGACGTCAGCCACATTTTGTTTCTTTTCTTGTTTTATTCATAGTCGCTGCCAAGACCAGGGAACTGACTGGGGAGGAGGAGGTTCGGCTCGCCAGACGGCTTGTCCGTGCTATATTTGTTATCGGAAACACCATGTCGTTTACCTGCAGTAATAAACTCCCGGTTTGGTTTGAATAAGATGCAATACGAACAGGGGGCAGGGGAAGTTGGACGGTGACTGCAAATCTCGAGTAGATCTGCTTTTTTTTGTTTTCGAAAGGAAAGGAGGAGCACAAGAAGCAGGGCGAGCAGCAAAGGAGATGACCGGAGGGATATGCTTCGGTCAGATGGGAGGCGCACGCGCATCAGAGTGCCCAGACAAGGAGAGGGGGAGGGGTCATGTAGTGACGTGAGACTCTGCGCGTCTTTGTCGTGCGACTTTCTCGCTTCCCCGGAATGGTGATCCTGAGCTCCTGAACCTTGCCGTCCAGGCTCTATGGCGAGCCCCTCAAGACAGCGAAGCGGTGAGCCGCCATGTGCCCTGGGCCCCTTGCACCTGAAGACCCTCGATGTCGCAATGAGGCTTCAGCACCGCTGCGAAACGTGCGCTGCGACTCACGCATAACTATGGAATAGCTTTTTAGTTCCTCGCTGCGCATCCGTATCCCGCCGCCGCAGATTTGCGCACATGGCACAGCAGGGTTCAAGCACCCAGCCTACCATCGAGGCGTGGAACACGCAGAAAATGACAGGCCGGGGTCCCGGTTTATCAGGCCCCCACACCGTTTTCCCTGGCCAAATACACTAGGCGTGTGTCGGTTCGTGAGGGAACCATGCATGCTGCGCGTTCCTCGTTCCGGGACCTAATTTGCTGCACTTTGGTGCGGCAGTGACGAAGCCCATCGGAACATTTTCCTCGTGGTCTTCCTGCAGTGTCCCGTCTGATTGACGTAGCAGCCGGAAGCATAGTCGACGTGTGTGAACTCATAAAAAAAGAGTGTGGGCCGGGTCGTGGCCTCCCTGGGCCGTGACAATGTACTCTCGGTGACAAGGCATGGGTTGTCCGCTATGGAGCTTGATCCTCGCTCCAGCTCACAACTCTGCCTCTGCTCGGACCAACAAAGCAACGATGCCCAGGGGACGTTCACACCGAGTTTTCTCGACATGGCCACCGTTGCTGGCCTTGCTGGGCTGAAGCACACCGTATATATCAAGGCTGGAGGACGCTCATGTACGACATCTGGTTATCTCACCCCATCCGTCACCTTCCCGAAACGAGCCTCTGAATCTCGCGACTAGGCCCACAACCACCACCGAAACGCAAAGGATACAAGACCCTCACCTCGGTCTGCTGTCTGTTTCTTCTTCCTCCTCTGTCCTGCCCCTTGGGTGCTATTGTGCATCCGAGGCCGGAGAAGCCGTCAGCCTCTTACAGTCAAGATATTCACGTTCTGTCCGGTTACACATCGGAACCATAAGCCAGGAGGCCATCATGGGGAGAGGCAAGATGGATGAAGCCGCCGCGGCGCGATACGCAAAGCAAGGGGAGAGAAGGTTGGACCACCCCCCTGGCAGCTGTCTCAGATGTCTGGTCTCTAACAGTCTCGCAGGACGACTTCGCGAGGCGAGCCGCGATGGCTGCAAGAACAAACAAGGACAGCTCGGGGCAAAACGGCCAGAGTGGAGGGCAGGGCGGAAGCGGCAGTGGAGGACAGGGCGGGGGAGGGAGTAAGAAGTAAGTGAGCCTGGCAGTAGGTTGCAATTCGGAACAAGGGCCGACGTGCTCAGACATTGACATTCTGGGGACAAGGTGCAAGAAAATCCGGGTCGCATGTTGGTCCCTGGAGCTGTGTTATTTGCAAGGTTGTCGACGTGGGGAGTAAGGTTTGCAGAGGAAGTTGGACGTGGTCAGGTCGCAAGCATCCGGTTGGGCGCACCCGGGCAGCGAGTGGAGTTTGGAGTTCAAAGATCGCCAGCGCAGACTGAGAGTGCCGGGGTTTCCGTTTGCTCCGTGCAGAAGAGCGCTTTCGTCGAAGAGATGGGTGTGCATTTCAGCGGTGGCCGTCCGATGTCACGCTCAGACACATTGCTGCGATGCCATTGGGAACCTTACCCAGAGACGACGGTTGGATCACCGAGTCTATCAATTGGGGCCGGATATCTGGCGGGAAAAATACCAGTATGAATCCCGCATCTGATTAGCACATGAGCACCCAGCATTTTCCCAGAGAGTCACCTCACACCATTGCAATGAGCAATTTGCCCTGCGAAAGGGGGTTTCGCCGCTGTGACCCTACGAACCACCCTGCAGACCGCATGGGTTTTGGTGACGGAAAATCTCGAGGTGACACAGCGCCGTGCCTGCGCTTTGGCTGAAACTGAGCGCGACAGCGGATCGCTTCCGAATTGGCGCCCGTCCAACGCGCTCAGGGTCGGGTGATTGTTCGGGCCCTCCAACCCTTGGCCCCCTTGGCTGCAAGGAAAGGTGGAGGGAGACGGCGAGTGACCATCTGGAGTCGGCCCCGAGCACGCCTGGGTTAGGGAACAGCTTGGTTGGGGAGCTCTGGGTGGCCATGTTGCGGGTTCTTAATAGCAGTCGGGCTTTGCCTGTGGATGTGGCATCCATCCACTTTTGTCAGCCGGCTTTACTTCCTATTGTCTGGGGAAAAGAAGAGGTGGCAGCCGGGAGGGAGAGCCAAGGCTGCTGCGACAAAGACCCGAGGCCGGCTCGGAGCGCGGAGGGCCGTTCCCGCAAGCCCTGGGCGTGCATGCTCGTGCGTGCGTGGAAGGATGGAGCCGGGAGTGAAGGCGAGGGAAGGCGGCACGGCCTGTACAAGCGGGACGACGCGTGTGGCATGTTCTCGGTGGAGACGAGCGCTGGGGCGGAGGTGCTGAAATGCGATCAGGAGTGCACTCATGCACTGGCAGACTGGACGACACAGGGCCAGGCAGAGTCTCCCGTGTGTGATGTTGGATACAGGGACACAATTTAAGGTTCTGGACCACCGGCCGACGTATCATCGCGTGAAAGCCAGGGGAAAGGGGCCCGGGACATGCGAAATTGTGCAGAAGTCCAGGCCAGTCGCCGAGACTCGGAGCAGAGTTGATGGAGACGATGAGACGATGAGCCGAACAAGGTAGTCCTCCTAACGAGATGCCTCTTCTGCGCGAGACGACTCTGCAGCGGCTGTGACAGCACTGTGGCACGACCAGAGGCGGTGCCCCATTGCCGGCAACCTAGGCGTTCAGTATCCCTCCCGGGCGACATTCGAGCGCTGGTATGCAGACTGGTCGGAAAGCTCTGTTCGCTGGGCTGGAAAGGGCGCGTGGTGTCGTGTGTCCCCCTTGCCCATTGACGACGACTGCACGCAATGCCCATGCCAGACAAGTTGAGCAATTACATGCAGGAGTAAGGGAGAGCATTCATAGAAGATCAATGCGTCGTCCTTACGACTGCCGTCGCTATCGACGACGACGCCATCGCTGCGGACAGCGTACATACAGAAACAATGCTGTGCATCGTGAGAGGAAGACGAGGCCAGAGAAGCAGGCGAGTGCTCGACGCTGATTCAGCAGAAACTCCCAAGTCCCCAGGACCAGAACAACAGCAGAGCACCAGGTGCGGGGCCAAGTACCCAGGTACCCCGATGGCGACGTCATCTCACACACACTGCCGTCCAGGCCAGCTCAGCTCAGTCTTATTGGTGTGCAAGCTGCGGTGTCCATCTGCAGCTTGTTGCCTCGACCCCACATACTGCAGCCAGCCAGCCCTGCAACCCTGCACAACCCGACGACAACTCCAGCCTTCTCCAACGTCAACAGCACAAGCAGATACACTGTAATGAACTAATATTGCTGAGAAACAACTCCCCGTTGCTTCGCGCCACTCCACTCGCACCATCCTCTCTTGCCCGTCGCGTGCCTCGTGCCTGTATACATTTGATCCGACTTCTGCGTGTGCTGGCCGGTTCGGTGAGGGGCCGCCCCGGGTCGAGTTCGCCGCCAGTCCACACGGCAGCACGGCTTCCAGCTGCCGCCACCAAGACCAAGCACAGCTCGTCTCGGCCATTCCCCTCCTTCTGACGGCTCATATGATCTGGGAGGCAGCTCACTGACGCGGCCTGACGTGCTGTGCCGCTCTCTGCAGCGGCCATGGATCCCAACGTCCAGCGTGCCCTGAACGACAAGCTATACGACAAGCGCAAGGTCGGCGCTCTCGAGTCTGTAACACCGTCCTCCTCCCTGAAAGATTGCCAGCTGCTGACCCTCCTCACAGGCTCGAACGCGTGATCCGTGAGCTCGTCGCGGCCAAGGACTATTCCAGAGTCAGTGCTGTTCTCGACCAGCTCTGCAACGAGTATGCCTATGCGGTCCACCAGCCTCATGCCCGTAACGGCGGTCTGATTGGCCTGGCAGCCGCCGCCATCGCCCTTGGCCCGGAGCTCCCTCGCTATCTGGAGGTCATTGTCCCGCCCGTGCTGGCCTGTTTCACCGACCAGGACGCACGAGTTAGGTATTATGCTTGCGAGGCCATGTACAACATTGCCAAGGTCGCTAAGGGAGAGATCCTCAAGTATTTCAACCACATATTCGACGCCCTGTGCAAGCTGGGCGCCGACTCGGAGCTGTCCGTCAAGAACGGCGCAGAGCTGCTTGACCGCCTCATCAAGGATATCGTCTCCGAGTCTGCCGCGACCTATGTCAGCGTCCTCGAGCTCCCGTCTACAAAAGGCGCCGGTGGTGATGACGAGATCAGCAACGATAAGGACATTGTCGAGGAGCCGGCCGATCTGCCTACGGCCTTCTCCTTGAGGCAATTCATCCCATTGCTCAAGGATCGGAGCTACACTATCAACCCTTTCACCCGCACATTTCTCGTTGGCTGGATAACTCTGCTCGATTCCATCCCAGACCTCGAGTTGGTCACATACTTGCCCGAATTCCTCGGCAGTCTGCTCAAGTTCCTGAGCGACCCGAACCGGGACGTACATCAGGCGACCCAGGCTTGCCTCGACAAATTCCTCAACGAGATCAAGCGTATAGCTCGAATAAAGAAAGGCATCGCCGACAGCAAGAAGTCAAAGGGTGACGGCAAGAGGAAGCGTGAAGAGTCCATTGACAGCGGTAGCGTTCAGGCTGGCCTCGAGGAGGGTGACGAGGTTGCCTCGACCCTGGCCGCCGAAGAGGACGAGACCAGCAGCGAGGATGACTGGGTCCCGGGGCAGGACGTCCAGATCAACTACAAGGCCGTCTTGGAGATACTGACCAACTTCCTCGACCAGTCGAATACGACTGCGGCCCCTAAGCCGGGTGAGCGCGCACCATTGTCAGCCACAACGGACGAGGATGGCTTGCTCGAGTCCTTGAAATGGATCGTCGAATTCCTGGATATCTGCCCTGAGGAGGTCTTGCCATTCACACCAAAGATACTGGCCCACCTGCTTCCAGCCATGGCCAGTGGCGTTGAATCAATTCGACTGGCAGCCGCAAGGGTCAACAATGCGCTCATGAACTACGTCGTCTCGCTTTCAGATGAGCCAGAGCTGTTTCTGTCGCACCATCCCTCAAGGGCCGCGGTCGCGACTGAGCACCAGGATGGGGCGTCTAGTAACCGTGCATCCCTCTCCAACTCACGGGAACTCGATACTCGGAGCCCAACACCGAACCTGAACAAGGGGCAGTCACCCGCCGAGGGAACCCCGAGGGGACCAACACCTGCGCCATCGAACCATCCGCAGGCAGACCTGGACTATGCAGCAGCCGTCAACTCCCTGACTCTACTCTTCCTGAACGACCACGAGGCCACTCGCGTCGCGGCCCTCACATGGCTGATTATGCTTCATAGAAAAGCTCCACGGAAGGTCCTTGCCTTCAACGATGGAACCTTTCCCGCGCTTCTCAAGACACTTTCGGATCCAGCCGAGGCCGTGGTAACCAAGGACCTGCAACTCCTGTCCCAGATATCCAGGAACAGCGAGGACAGTTACTTCACAAATTTCATGGTCAGCCTGCTCCAGCTCTTCTCGACTGATCGGAGGCTTCTAGAGACGAGGGGGAACCTCATCATCCGGCAGCTTTGTGTCAGCTTGAGTGCGGAGCGCATCTATCGCACCCTAGCCGATTGCATCGAGAAGGAGGAAGATGTCGAGTTCGCCAGCATTATGGTTCAGAACCTCAACAACAACCTCATCACGGCCCCAGAGCTCTCCGAGTTACGGAAAAGACTACGAAACCTCGAGTCTAGGGTACCTATAATGTCTGTCATACCTCAGGGGGACAAACGCTGATGAATACTTTTCGGCAGGACGGGCAGACTTTCTTTGTCGCCCTCTTCAGGTCATGGTGTTACAATGCCGTCGCGACGTTCTCGCTCTGCTTACTGGCACAAGCCTACGAACAGGCATACAACCTGCTTCAGATATTGTCGGTCAAGTCCCGTCGAATGAGTTTGTTTCGGGCGTCTTGCTGACACGGGGGAATTAGTGCCGAGCTGGAGATGACGGTTAACATCCTCATCCAGATTGACAAGCTGGTCCAGCTACTCGAGTCGCCTGTCTTCACATGTAAGCGCGGGCGCCGTATATGCCCTGGATCGGAACGCTGACTCCTCTCAGACCTCCGACTTCAATTACTGGAACCAGAGAAATACCCCCACCTCTACAAATGTCTCTACGGATTACTGATGCTCTTGCCACAATCGTCTGCCTTCGCGGCGCTCAAGAACAGGTTGAACAGCGTCAGCTCTATAGGATACTTACACATCGCACCAAGACCGTATGTTCCAACGAATGCGCCTCTCTCACACTCTCGACAAGGGTCTGTGGTAGAGGCGATTCACTCTCTTCAAGCCCCTTCTTCCCGTCCAAAATTCAGTACAGGATTTGATACTCATGCTGCACCTCTCAGTAACGCCGCGACACCAAGTTCGGCGTCGTTCGACAGGCCGAACCGGCTCAAGGGCCGAGAAGAAGGCATCATCCGCTGGGCTGAGCTGCTCGAGAAGTTCCGCAGCGTACAGGAGCGCGCCAGGCGGGCGCAGAGGCTGGGGGGTGACCGCGACGACCAGCCGACCCTGGGGGTGGGGGATCTGCGCATCCTGGACGCGGCCGAAATGGCTCCTCCCAAGACAGTGGTAGGCCGCGCCGGGGCCGGACCGCCCGTTCCTGTGAAGGACAGCCCTGTGCCTACGCCACCAGCTGCTAAGCCCAAGTCCGGTCTCGGTAGGCAATTCGGGAGGTTGGGCGCTTCGGTTTCGGGAAGAGGGAAGAGGGGTCCTCAGTAATACTGTATTGACTGACCGTTAGGTATGGTGCTCTAGCTGGCCGGCTTGCCTAAAGCCGGCGTATCCAACGTTGAAGACGGCGAGGGCTAGATCGTTCGTAGCCGAGGATATTATACTGCATAAAGTGTTGGGTGACAACACCCCGGAGCGTGTCATACCATCATCTTGCCTTCCGCGGGGTCTCCCTCTCGACGAGTCCTTCAAAGACGGCGTCACGCCGCTCTGTGATGCTGCGCACTTCGTCGCGGAGCCGATCCAGCAGCTGACGAGCACGACATCCGCGGGCAAGCCCTCAAACTCGTGGACCTGCTGGTCCAGACGGCGCCGTAGATCGAGAGACTCCAGATACTTTCCCTCTTCCTCCCTGACTTGCTGAATGGTTGGGTCCGGCACGCCGACCGTCCGCGCCAGAGACGCCACCTTGTCCTGCACCTCGGGCAGCCTCTTGGCCATGGCTTTGATCTTGCGCTGGAGGTCGAGGTTCTGTCGTGCCAGGTCGGCCGGGGGCCGGTACTCGTCGCCGCGGACCTCCGCGAGCAGTTCGCCCAGCCTGGCGGATTCGGACTCGGCCAGGCTCTGGATGGTCCCCACGCGGGCAGCAGCTTGTTCCAGGTCAAAGATGCGCGTCTGCAGGTCGAGCATGGCCTGGGCCAGCCTTGCTGGCTCGGGGTATGCCATATCTAGGTGCGCGGCAGAAGAGGCCATGGCGTCCAGTGCCGTCCTTCCTTCTGTCGTGAGATTGTCTTCGATGGCGGCGTAGAATTCGTCCTTGAAAGTGGCGAGATCTATTGGCACTTGCTCGTCCTCATCGCCTGCCGCATGCTTGGCATCTCTGGCTGTCTTGATGTCCTGAAGAGCAACGGCGTCAAGCTGGCTGACTAGGTGGCGGTTCTCATCGGACGTCTCGTTGAGTGTAGCCAGAGCGAGAAGCGCCTTGAGGGTTTCTGGGTTGCGTTCAAATTGCGGCGGGGTGCGGCCGTTGTATTTGGATGCAAGCCAGCCGTCGACGTAGTTCCAATCCTTGGCCGTTGATGCGGCGAGGCGGGCGATTGTTGGTGAGAAGATGGCTGCGTCTGGCGGACGTCGGGCCATGGCTGTCTGTCTGCAGCTGCTCTGTGCTGAAGATGCGAAATTCACGGAAATCAAATATCCCGCCTGCAAAGAAACAGACAGACGCCCGTCACGTTGTGAAGGGGAGGGGAGTGGTTTGGCTCAAGGGTGTACGTGCGTGGTCGTGAGTACACTGGTACCCGGGTATCCACCACCTATCTGATGGACATCGGTACCTGGTACAATGCCTGTCAAGTAGGCCGCAGGCCGTCTCCAACAGGCCACATGTCTGTCCGCATGTGGATGTACGGAGTACCCAGGTACTTAGTCCATCCATGTAAACATCCGCCCGTGTCCTCTTTCGGATCTAGATCCGGTGCATCGACTAATGAATTCCAGCGCCTCGATCCAATCCGCAGCGACACGGTCCGAGAGGCCAACTTTCCCTTTTGACCTGCCGCCCTTCCTCCTTGCTCTGCCATAGTTGTACGTGAGGATAATTACTGTCCTGGCACCTTTGTCGCCTCGGTGACTGGCCCATTACGTTCTTTGTTCTCCATTCTGCCTATTGTGCACTCGACCTGTCTGCTTCTCGACCTTGACTGCCCGCCACTCGTCGCGATCCCGACCTCACGCGGCCGAGTGACACTGCACCACCACCACCACCACCACCTTTTGCCTACCAAGGCCTCTCATTTGCCCATCCGCGACAACCATGTACGTCCGACTCTCGACGCTGGCCCTGGCCGCCAGCCTGCTATCGCTATCGCCCTCGATCGCCATGGTGGCCGCCCTGTCGGCCAAGGACATACCCTCCGACACTCCCATCTCCGCCCTGCTCAGCTCGGCCCAGCAACATCTCGCCAGGGGGGAGACGGGCGACGCCCTCGTATACTACGACGCCGCTGTAGCCAGAGACCCCAGCGACTACCTGACCTACTTCAAGCGCGCGACCACCCAGCTCTCCCTCGGCCGCACCTCGCAGGCCGCCGACGACTTCCAGAAGTGCCTCCAGCTCAGGCCCGGCTTCGAGGGCGCCCACGTGCAGCTGGCCAAGCTCAAGGCAAAGTCGGCCGACTGGGATGGCGCAAAGGAGCAGTACACACACGCCAAGAAGGGCCAGGGCTCGCCCGAGATGGACGAGCTGCTCGAGGCCCAAGGCGCCGCCAGGCTGGCCGAGGAAGCCCACGCAGCCGGCAACTGGGACGAGTGTATCAACCAGGCCGGCGTCGCCATCATGGTCGCGAACCGCGCCGTGTCGCTGCGGGAGATGCGCTCGGCCTGCCGTTTCGCCAAGGGGGAGGTCGAGGAGGGCATGGGCGACCTGCATCACATTGTCAACCTGAAGCCCGGCAACACCTCCCCCCACGTCACCATCTCGGCCATCACATACTTCGCCCTGGCCGATCTCCAACAGGGCATGACGCAGATCAGGAAATGCTTGCACTCCGACCCCGACTCCAAGGTCTGCAAGAAGCTGCTCAAGGAAGAGAAGGCCATCGAGAAGACAATCGCCAAGGTTGAGAAGGCTTTGGGGAAGAACCAGCCCATGACGGGGACAAAACTCCTGATCCCTTCGGCAGACGACGCGGGCCTCATCCAGGAGGTCAAGGAGCAGGTGGCTGAACTCCGACAGCAAGGTGTCATTCCCGCAGCCGCACCAAGCCTGCTCGTGGCGAAACTGGTCGAGCTGGCTTGCCAAGGTTACTACGAGGTGAGCCCCCCCCCCCAAAAAAAAAAAAAGACTTCAGAACCCACAAAGGCGTGGAGACGCATGGTGCTGACTGAGACGATCCTCCAGATGAACGGCAAGAAGGCAGAAGAGTACTGTGCCGAGTCCCGTGCCCTGGACGAGAACTCATTCTACGGCTTGCTCCACGACAGCAGGAAGGCGCAGGAGTCGGAGGACTACGAAGGCGCCGTCAGGCTGCTGGAGAAGGCCAAGGAGGTCCGGCCCGAGAAGCAGGAGGTCGTCAACCCCCTCCTGCGCGACGCCCAGATCGAGCTCAAGCGCAGCAAGACCAAGGACTACTACAAGGTGCTCGGGGTGACCCGCGACGCGGACGAGAAGCAGATCAAGTCGGCCTACCGGAAGCTGTCCAAGGTGCACCACCCGGACAAGGCCGCCAAGCAGGGCCTGACCAAGGAGACGGCCGAGAAGAAGATGGCGTCCATCAACGAGGCCTACGAGGTGCTGAGCGACCCGGAGCTGCGGGCGCGCTTCGACCGCGGCGACGACCCCAACTCGCAGGAGCAGCAGAACCCGTTCCAGGGCAACCCCTTTGGTGGCCAGCCCTTCATGTTCCAGCAGGGCCACGGCGGGCAGCAGTTCCAGTTCAAGTTCGGCGGCGGCGGCGGGTCACCATTTGGCTTCTGAGGCTAGATCTATGGTGGTGTTTTTAACAACTTTTCTTGTACATGCATGGCGTTAGTCGATGGAGCGGGACCCTAACAAAGGGGGCCCAACAAGCTGGGCTGGAGTTCAAGATATCACGCAGTCACAAAGACGGGTTTGAAACGTAAAAGCGCTGAGAGAGACTTGCTGGCTGCGCCCAAGAGATAGTGCATCAATATGCGTAGCTAAACATCAGGTCAAATCATGAGCTGACTCTCGGACCCGACATTTCAATTTGCTCACTCCTCTGCGGCCTCACTGAAAGTCGAAGTACCGAGTCCTAAGAGCAGCCTACTACACATGTCGTGCATAGTTCATAAGGTGCAGCCAAAGGCAGACTAATTCCAAGACAGACACGCACTCGCATCGTTAGTATCGCAGACAGGAAACAAAACGACAGACGCTTGCGACCTGCTCTATAGATCTAGTAGTACCCGCACATCCATGTCATTCATACATTGCAGCCTCGCGTTTTATGTACATAAGGGCGCTTGGCCCTCGCTGAACGCCGAATGAGATCGTCGTCAAGAGACGCCCGCCCACGAGACTGACGTCTGTCTATGGTCGCCCCATCGTGCACAGGGCCAGAGCTCCGGTGCAATGCGAAGCGGGCGGGACCGCGCAGCAAGCGACTGATGCTACTACATCAGCAGCGAGATGCGGCAGAGCCTTGGTAGATTTGGGTCGATGCCGACCAGCGACAAGACGGGGCCAGATTCGCTGCGTCCCAAGACCTGTGCAAGGTCTTAGAGGTCCGAGGCGACAGGTTCCGATCTCATACTGGTGGTGCCCTCTCATGACGCATCGTTTGAGCGAATGAAGTACGCCCTAGAGTGTAAAGCAAATCAGCAAGTGGATCGGCCCCAGGGCGCTGGAGAGCGGTGGCGAGAGCGCACGCGGCAGCGCAAAAGGAGTTTGGGTTCGGGAGAGAGGAAATGAGTGAGCCTTACTTTGAGAACTCGTAGGCCGACCAGCAAATGGCCGTGCTAGGCATGGTGGTCACAATCCTTGGCCGGACGCCCTTGAAGAAACCCCTGAACCCTTCTCTCCGGTACAGCAGCTGGCACCCTGCCTTGAACCCGTTCACTGTTCTCAACTCGGAATCCGATGCTGTGCCCCTGGTCTGAAGCATCGTCTTGATGACATCCATGGGCGTTGTGAGACCGGCAGCGAAGCCACCAGCAACAGCACCAGCCACGCAGTGGGTGAAGGGATCGTATTGCTTGCCGGGGTTCATGGTGGTGGATATCGACTCATAGGCGAGGAATTGGAGGGCGGTGAACGGCACGGTCATGGAAAGCGTCGTCGGGTACGAGACGTAGAAGGCGCCGAGCCCCTCGGTCCGGTAGACATACTTGGCGCAATCGAACATGGACCGGTACATCTTGTTCGAGTTCTTGATCTGCATCCTCTGCTTAATGACTGTGATTGAGTTGTCAGCAGCGTCGCTACCAGCCCCACGGAGCGACTGCGTGAGGTCACCATAAGGATTTTAGCTCGTACCGTCAAAGGGATTCATGAGCGCATCGCTCGCAATTGTTGCGGCGGCTCCACTGGTGGCTATTATGGTCAGCTGCTGGGATATGCCATGCGTTCCGTGCTGGGCTCTAACCTGCGGCCAAAGGATGGTGCACGCCAGCCTTGTTCCCGCCCATGACGTGTTTGACAGCTTCGTAGGTTGCGAAGTATACGGCATGTGCCGGCCCTGCGCCGACAACGACGCTCGACATTCCTCGCCACAAACTCAGAATCCCCTCGCCGGTGGCCATCTTGTATGTCCCCTGTATAACACCGTTGTAGACAGCGGTGGGAGACGGATTCAGGACTTGCATTCGAGTCTGCGGCGCACGGTGGGTTAGGCGGAATGGTCGACCAAAGGGCTGCGTGGAGGGAGCCCCCGCGAGGGCGGACGAACCTTGATGGCGTCGATGGGGTACATGACTGTGTGCTCCTGTTGCTGCGGTCAGAGTCTCGATTCACCGCAGGAAGTAGCGAGAGGGCAAAGAATGATGCGGCTGTACGTACGGCTATGCCGGCGAAAGCACCGGCAACCATGTTCTGGAACAGGCTGAAGTTGGGCGGTAGTGATTCATAGCTACAGGGCGGCCGAGGGCCAGGTCAGCACGCGTGCAGTGGGATGCGATACATGTGGACGGCGGGACTCCCGATAGAGCTTGTCAACCCATGGAGGAAGAGGAAGCTATGTGAGGTGCTGAGGAGCCAAGAACAACTCACTCGTAGTCCTCATGGTCCTCGACGGGCTCGGCATTGGGCTGGGCCATCTGGGCCGCAGCGGCAGATGCTTCGCCGAAGGACTTCTGGAAATCCAGGTTGATGATGATGCAGGATCAGGGGCCTTTCGTAGGCGACGGCCGAAGCAGAAGGGACCGCGGGACCGGGGGGCCGAGGCAGGACGCTGGATGTTCCTAGAGACTCGCGCACAGTTCAGCTCGACGTGTCGCGAGGCAGATGGCCAGCAGTTGAAGGAGAGCAGGGCGCTCGCCTTCCAGATGGAGCTCGACCCGGGCTGGTGACGCAATGCAAAAAGGATGGGGTGCACGCAGAAGCACAGGACAGCTGGCGCAACACAGGGAGGGGGGAGGGGAGAGGACGAGGCTTGATGGTGCCGGTGCCAATGGCGGTGGTGGTGAATGGTGATGATGCCCGGGGAAGAGGATTTCTCTTGCCCAATGCGCAAGGTTTACGCAGAGGCAGACGGGACGTACAAAGTACCGCGCAGTGCCTAGCTCGTGGGCGGGCGGGCAGGCAGGCAAGTCCAGGCCGGAGCAGACGGGAACAGGTAAATTTCTCAAACGGCCAGCCCAGCACAGCAGTGGCGAGTCAAACCCCGGATTCTCAGCTCGGGCGGGCACTCGGGCACCTGGGCAATCTGATTGACTACCGTTTGTACCGTGCAGCAGGCGTCGGGTGGTCCTGGGGGCGCGGAGATGGTCAGATCTGTCGAGGACTGACTGTGCAGGACCGCGGCATTGATGTATCCCACACTCCAATGGAGATCTTGCCGCGCCCGTGATAAAAACTGAGCTGGGGGCGAGCTAAAGGGTTCCTTAGTCGGAGCACCGCAGCCAGGGGGCAGGGCGAGTACGTACCCCAGAAACGGGGCCCAGGCTGGAAACGGACCCTCTCTTTTCTCGGATCTGATAAGGATTCTCCTCGGGCAGCCGCGAGCATGACATGGCACCCTACATGGTACCTGTCGACCTGGGGACCATGTGGACCCCAACCACCGATGTATAGATGGTAAAGTACATGCGCTCGCGGTACATGTGAACACGCGCACCAGCAGCAGGTGTTCGGCCCTCCGATCGGCCTCGGTCCTTTCGCATTTGTCTTCCAAATTCGGTCGGCCAGCCAAACGGTAGCAGCCAGCGCCGTCCACTACCACAGCCACCTGGGCCGCATGGTCACCGTCGCACATGACCAGGCCCTCTCATCGTGTGCCGTCCAAAAGAGACCTGGATACATAGTATATGCAAATATAGATAGATTTGTCTGATACCTTTATCCGTCGAGACTCCCAAGACTCCAAGACCCCAAACACTCCAGGCCTGCCTTGCGTGACATGCATGATCTGAGCACGTTGCAGACGTCCCAAGCCGCTGAAATACGTCCATGCCCGCAAAAGAGTAATCATGGTAGGATGCACCTGGTCCATTATCTCTACTCCAACAAACGCCAGTGTCCATTCCTACCACTATAACCACACTGTATCACCGCAGGCCCCCTGGCATATGCTGCAGCTCTCGTTGGAATTGGTACATCATCCCAAACACCCCGTCTTCCCTGTCACCTTCGTTCGTCGCGCTGTTGTCACGACCAAGTGCTTGTCCCGGCGATGCCTGCCACGCAGACTCGTCCAGTCCGTGCCCACTCTCGTACGCATCATCCTCGTCTCGTCGCCTCGTATCGCCCTCGATATTCTCGCCCTCAAATCCTTCCTCGATGATATCTTCCCTGTGCCTGCCCTGCCGCGGTCGGTGCATGCTCCGGCCCAGTGTCGAAACCGGTGGCTGATGGTGCGGGTCCAGCAGGATCGAAGCCATCGGCGAGAGCGTTGGTGGCGCCGCCATTCCGTGTCTAGGCGTCCTGCCAGCGTGGGAGGGTCCCCCGGGCCCCCGGCTTCTAGCCCGGCCCAATTCACTGCGGCCCATCCGCGATGCCGCCATGTCTGCCGCTAGAGTCGGGGACTGCAAGCTGGGGAATGCCGGCGGCGGCTGGAATTGGTTCCGCGCCCCCGGTGGAAGGTGGCCCGGGATCCCCGTCCTGGGGTTGATCACGTAGTTGTCTAGGAACCCGTAGTACGATGCCGCCATCTTGCCATGCTTGGTCGCGTAATAGTCCTCGCGGGTGTCCGCGTCTGGCTTCGGCTTCCCAACGCCCTTCTTGAAGTCGAACTCGGCGAACGAGCAGATATACCCCAGGCCGTCGACGTGGATGGTGAACTCCCGAAAGAAGTCGACAATCTGATCGCTCGACCGTGGCAGGCTGACGGAGAGGATAAGAGGTGCAATCAGGATGCCCACAATCTCCTCCAGAAAAATCACCAGTTTGTTCTTGTACAGCGCCGAAAACTCATCCTTGACTGCGGAGCTGTGTAGTCCTAGCCCCTGCCAACGGTCCGGCTCATAGTGGGTGTATTCAATGACTTGCCTCAAGGCGTACTCGGGCTCAAAAACCGTGTTCTCCTCGGGTACCATGCCTCTGGCAAAAGCCCACGCACCTGCGAAGATGGGGAAGTAGAACAGTACCGTTCGGTCCGGTGTGATCTCAAAACCCAGGTCGGTGTCTACCATCGTCACGATCGCTAGAACAGTAGCCAAGGCCCCGGCTATGAAGGATACCGTCCTGGCCATGCGCGCCGTCATCTCCTTGGGGAACTGGTCCAGGTATCGTGTAGCAAACGGATATGACATATTCAGGCGTTCTTGGAAGATGTGGGGAAGCTCATTGAATTCTCGGAACTTCCACTCGGCCAACGGCGTGTACGCTCGCGTGCCCAAAGCCGAGGGGTTCTTGCGATATTCCTACACAACAAGTCATTAGCTTTAACAGACCGGGCGAAACTGGGCCGGGCGAGGGTACCAAGGCTCACATGAAAGTAAGTCAGGAAATGCATGATAAAGAGGTAGCCAGCCATGAAAGGAGCAACCATGAGGGTCATAACTCCAGCGAACAAGAATCTCGCCCGCAATTTCTGGCTTAGCTGGCCTCTGCGATCTGACTTGAGAAACTCTTGGTTCACCTGGCCACGTTCGTCAAAGACATAGTCCATGATGCCGAAATTCAAGGTCCACTCGAGGAGACGAGAAAGATACTGACGCCCGCTCAAGAACGGCAGCGGGATGGTGAGGTCCAGAATATCCTTGTTGATCAAGGCTATGAGAAAGTTCTCCCTTCGCATGAGGCGGTTGGCAATGTCATGCGCATCGAGCCTCTCCTTGGACTGACTACCGAGCCACTTCCGCTGGCGGGCCGTCAAGTGACCCGCCGTTTTGGGGTTCTGATCCCGGAGGGCCATGATACGGACGACAACGTCCTGCCACGAGATAGTCTGCATATCATGTTCGGGAATGCCAAGCAGGTGGGAGTAGAAGTCCCGGAGGTGTAAAAGGCGCCGAATGTCGAGAGGAATCTGGATAGCTTTCCATATGAAATAGAAGACAAATATCCACAGGCCAAAGTTCCAAAGCCCAGACATTTTCTTTGTACACTGGGATATAAGCACCTGGTTCATGGACTTGCTGTGGGGGAACTTGGAGTAGTCGATGCACTGTGTTAAGAAGGTGAGGAATGCGACGATGAAGCCAACCTCCACCAGGTGAAGGACACGGTCCAGGAGGATGCACCACAGGCCATTGCCCCTGTAGTAGTCGTATACGTCCTGCATGAAGATGTCGAGGTTTGTGACGTTAACCCATCTCCACATAGCCTTCTGCTCGGCCGTTCCAGTGACGACGCTGCCCACCACTCGATTTGAGCGCGCTCTAGTGTATGGCAGGGCGGCTGGAGGATGTTCGTCTTGGTGGAGCCTCTGCTGATGTTGTGTCGTCTCCCACTGGGCCCGAAGCCTCCTGGTCGAGGGCTCGGGGGCACCATGTGGTCGTGGGGGCGTTGCTGTCCTTCCGTGGCGTTTCGACCTACTGGGAGGATCTGTAGCATTTTTCTCGACCAGGAGCGAGGCAGGCACATCATTATCTCCTTCTTCATCTGGATGTGGCCACGTAGTCTCGTGTTGTTGGGGTGAAGGCCTCGTGTTGCGTCGGCGGTCCGGCCTAGGATCACTGGCTTGTGTCATCCTGCTGTGTTCGATAGCGAGGGTTTCGGGATCCAAGTCATCTTCCTGGAAGCTATGGTTCAGGTTCTCGTCGTCCAGGGCAAAGCCGGCGCGGTCCTCAACGTCGAGATCATCGTTGCGGGAGCGCAGTTCCTCGTAGAAAGACCTCTGCTGGCTTGCAGGAGCGAGCCTCGAGAAGAAGTTGGACGTCATATTCGAGGCATGCGGTCTTCGCTATGTTTGGTCGAACGGTGTTTGTTGGGGGGTCATGATAGCATGACGGGGGCAGAGGCGGTCGGCGGCTTGTTTACTCTGCGCTTCTTGTGGATGGGCGAGGAACGGAAGAATGACGCATCTGAAGGTGCAGTAGTCTATATGGGAGTGCGAGCAGGAGGGAGAGAGGTCGCCTCTCCTCCAAAGTGCAGCAGCAGGTGTATAGGCCACTAGTAGTTTGCGGTCCAAATGCTGCCTGGGTCAGGTGGGCTCTGGGTGTTCTATCACAAGGACGGCAAATGCGTGGAGACGGCTTCGCACATCACTGTCCGGGGACCTTGCCAAGCAAACAAGTGACCGCACCTGTCCCCTCATGTCCATGGGGTCTGATGACGCCAGCACCGGGAACGGTAGGCGGTCAGAGGCGCCCCATGCCTACCACACCCCACCCAGCCCGCTGGAACCTGGGAGCTCAAGCTTCCCTTACCCATGCAGCCCCCCTGACAGCTGGCCATCAAGCTGGCGGCATGGGGGGAGGTCAACACTCATTTGTCCGTCCAGCCTGTCCACTCCATTTCGGCTTATATCCAAGCCAGGCAGGCCTTCGATATCCACCCCCATGCTCCGGCTCCCCTACGTCGGAAACAGACGTTTGCGTGGGTGTTGTCGTTCCCAGGCGGGACAAGGCATGAAATGATGACTTCGGAACACTCCCTTCCCTTGGGCTCTGTGCCACAGACGCCTACCACAGCGTCGGCCTTCAACTTCAAGGGACCCAACCCGTTCTCGTCAAAGGTCACCACCGTCCTGGCCACCTCCTACGCCGACTCCGAATTCCGCGGTGCTCTTTCACTCATAGACGGCCGCGGACTCACCAATTCTGCTGCAACACGGCGCCAGGTCCGGTTGCAGCTCCAGAAGGATGTCATCGACAGCAATGGTAACATCATTGTGGAGTTTGGGAGAGTTGCCGATGTGAGAGCCACCCGCCAACCTTGATTGCCTCTGCACCAGCCCTGGGCAGCTCCTAACCAGCCAGTCGTGTCTAGCAACTGCGCCGCATAGGTGCGACTATTGCCAAACTGAACAAGAGTTACGATGACATGAAGACGCACATCTCCGCCGCCCATGGCGCAACTGCTTCTGTCACACACGACGCTTCGTCTCTGATGACCCAGCGGCGGCAGGTTGAGACCAAGCAAGAGGTCCTCGCATCTTTCAACAAGCATTTCTTGCTTTCAGAAGATGAGTTGTCGGCCCTGACATCGACTGCAGAGCCTGTCGACGACGTCTTCTTCACTGTCCTTGCCAAGGCCAAGGGAATACGCGAGGACTGCGAAGTCCTGCTTGGCTTTGAGAACCAAGCACTCGGGCTTGAAATCATGGAGAACACGTCAAAGAACCTGAATCTGGCCTTTCAAAAGCTATACCGTTGGATTCAACGTGAGTTCAAGACCCTAAACCTTGAAAACCCCCAGATGGGCTCCCCGATACGGCGTGCCTTGCGCGTGCTGGCAGAACGCCCATCCCTTTTCCAAAATTGCCTGGATCTATTTGCCGAGACCCGAGAACAGCTGCTGTCGGATTCTTTCCACACGGCGCTCACGGGGTCCTCCGCGTCTGGTGTCGAAGACCGATCAGTGAAGCCCATTGAGCTGGCTGCCCATGATTCACTGCGTTACGTGGGAGACATGCTCGCGTGGATGCACTCCGCAGCCGTCAGCGAACGAGAGGCACTGGAGATACTATTTGTCTCCGAAGGAGATGAGATCGCCAAGGGAATCCAGGCCGGCCGCGAGAACGAAGCATGGCATCTACTGGAGGACGGCGAAGACGGCGAGAGTGCTGTTTTCGACCCCGTGAAGGCTCTAAATGAGCTGGTAGATCGGGACATGTCTGGCGCTGCCAGGATTTTGCGGCAGCGAGTGGAGCAAGTCATACAGACGAACGAGGACGTCATCCTGGCATACAAGCTGGCCAACCTACTGAATTTCTACCGCGTCACCTTTGCCAAACTACTCAGTACCGCGTCGGTCTTGGTGGAATGCCTTCAGGGTCTCGAGTCTGAAGCATTGCGCCTGTTCCGGTCGCTCATGAGAGACTACGTGGGCAACCTGCAAGGAGAATTCCGGCAGACGCCTTCAGGCCTCGAGCCTCCCGACGTTTTCCGCGAAGCGCTCGAGCAACTTTCAGCAGTCATGAAGACGTACGACACGTCTCTGACGGCCTCGGACAGGCGGGAAGCAGATTTCCAACCAATCCTAGCCGAAGCTCTGGACCCTTTCGTTTCCGGTTGTGAAGGCATGGCCCAAAGACTTGAAGATCCCTCACAATCCATATTCTCCATCAACTGCGCACAGGCCGCCATTGAGACGCTTTCGAGATTCGACTTTGCTGAAGGGCGCGTGGAGAGTTTGCACAAGGAAGTCGACCAACGTTCTCAGACGCTGGTCGATAGCCAATACCTATTCTTCAGGAGAGAGTCAGGCCTGGATGTAATACTGACTGCTGTCGAGTCTATGGACGAAAGCCCGGAGGACATCGAACGCCTGCGGGCACTCGAGCCTTTCCAACCGGCCTCACTGGAGCTTACGGGCAGAACACTTGACAACTTCCTCGCGTCAGCTCTCATGGACGCCATGGAGGGCATCCAGAAGCTGCAGGACTCCCGCCTTGCCAGGGAGATCACCGAAGAGGCCGCAGAGAGGTTCCTTGCGGACTTTGGGCGCCTGGAGAACATGCTCATGTCTGCAGACGAAGCTGCCGAGCGGCAAGGTAGCCCAAGCGGCGCGGATCAGGACATGGAGAGCCTCCGCATAGCCTTCCCCAGGACGGCTGACGAGATCCGCATGCTGCTTTCATGATGGCCCTGGGTGGGACCCTGGACTTGTAAAACGGGGCTATCTGTCACGGCTTTATGCGCGAACAAGTAGTAGACAATGCAGGACAGCGCAGAAGGATAGATACAGGCCAATTGCAGAGGACGCTGGCCGTGCATGAGTCCCGTGTTTGTGTTGCCCATCTCATTTTCGAATATTCTGTGGCTGTCATCCCGAAATAGGTGTCGTAGGAGTAAACCATGGGCCCTCGGCGGCTGCATCTGGGGTCTGTCTCCATAAAATGGCTATTCTGGTGTGCTCAGGGTGACCCCAGCAGACACCAAGGCACCGCGGCGGCACGGTACCAAGAGGTTGGTCGTCAAAGGGCAATTGGGACCTCAGCTTCGGGTCGGGGGCTGCCTACCTAGGTACGTCACTTTGCTAGTGGTCACCCAACGGCCCAGGGCAGTCAGCGGTCAGCTTTGGGTACTAGTCCAGGTACTTCAGCCGGCAGCCAGCCCAGGTGAATTACCTGGTCCCGAGTAGACTACGTGCCTGGCCTGCAAGTACCTACTTCGGTACAAAGGTGGTAGACAATGCGGGTTGGTGGTCCATTCCTGGACGGGCCCAGCCAACTCCACTCCGTAGACTCTTTCGTCCCGCAACGCGAACCACATGCGCAACCGCCTGCATTTATGCACACGACACGCACGCTCCTGGGCACACCCATATATGCTTGCCGGATACATATGACAACAGACCACTGCCGCATGCAAACCGCCAAAAGGCACAACCTCCAGGATCTTCGAACCGGCACCAGGCCAGCAGACGGCACCCTTTCTGTCCCCGGTTAAAGAGTCGCGTAACTCCTCCATCCACAACGTGCCTGTTCCTGCGGCGTGCTGTGCGCATGCCCACCCCATGAGTTACGACCAAGGCCCGGCATGGTCTGGACGGCGGCACAATGCTTCGAAACAAGGCCACACTGCCTGCGCTGCAGAAAACCTACGATGAGAGCTACTTGACCTGTTCTACCGCTGTGTACTATGAGGGCCAGGTAAGCGTACCCCTCCCCCCAGGGCTCTCTGCTCCCCGCCCGGACTCCTGGTTCCCCGGGCTTCTAGTACGTGAGGCTGTGAGATTGGCTGACAGACATCGATTCAGGGCAACGAGAAAGAGGCGATGCGCTGCTGGAAATCAGCTCTCAGCAATATATATGATCACAATGCCAATAAGGTGCCAGCCACCTACGACCCCAGATCCGAGACCGAGAGGGCGCTGGTCGAGAGCCTGAAGAAGCTCGAGTTACAGTGCAAAGAGCGCATCGATCTTCTGGAAGCCCTGAGAGTGTCCCGTCAAGAAGACGCCATCAATACCCCGAGAACACCATCGAACGGAAAATTAGTTGAATACATAGAGCCTTCGGACCTGGAACCGCGTAAAAGCACTCCAGGAAAGGGATGGATAGGCGACGGAACGATCCCGGCTATCACCTATCCCGAGCTATCACGGCCAGCTTTGCCGCCGCGACCGAGCCTGAACACTAGGACGTCCTCTGAACAGGCCGTAGTGGGAGGCAGGCGTACCAGCACTGAGGTTGGGGGCTCGTCCTCGGTGTCGCGGCCGTCAGGCCGTTACACTCCCTCTTCCAGCAGGAGGGCCTCACGTTCACCGAGCCCCGAGAAGTACACAATGAGGACCACACTGCGCTCAAACAAGTCTGGTGAGAGATCGGCCAAGTCTTCCCGTCGCCCGTTGCCCAAGACTACCGATGAACCTGGGGCGAGCAGGGCTGCCACACTTGCCTGGGGCGCTCTCGGCACACGAAACAAATCCTCTCTTGGGCGCGACGCGGACACCTCTGCGGGTCAGAGCACGAGTCTCCCGCCCTTAGACGCCACTGCGCATAGCTCGAGGAGACCAGACACGACTTCGCCGACCCGGCAATGGGACAGCCACTCTCGGAGACTAGTTAGACACAAGGACGAAGAGGCCGGGGCGGCAGGGAAGAGACGTAGCACCGAGCTGTTGGACACGGCGCCTTTCTCGGAAGACCTAGTCGGTTTCGAGCCGTCCGCTCTCTCCGTCAACGCAGCGTCGAGTGCCCTGAATGGGTCGCCTGGGCCCGAATATCGCGAGCATGAGCGATCATCGCGGCATAGACTGGATCGGACAGCGAGATTGCAGGCCAAACTGTTACGAGGCGATCAGGATCACACACAAAGCCGGTCTCACAGCAAGAACGGGAGCAGTGCAAGCCTCCCCACGCGTCCTAAAGCGGGCCATGCAGAAAGAGAGCGCGTTTCCAGCTCTAGCTGGGCGACCAGTGCAAAGGCCGCCTCGATCCGGAAGTCAGCATCCGACTCGAGCCTAGAAGGTAGTGATTCTGGGTTCGCGTCCTCGCGTCCGAAAAGACGAGTGTCGCAAAAGGAACGAGCCCTGACTGCTAACTCCAGAAGTCATTCGCGGTCGAATTCAAGGTCGAATTCTAGAAACAACTCGGGGGAATCAGGCGGGGACGATGCCGCGCCAGAGAGGTCATGGAAGAAGAGGAAGGCGGAAGTGATGAAGAACCTGCCTCCGGGGGTGGACAAGACTGCTGCTAAACAGATATTGAACGAGATCGTGGTGCGCGGGGACGAGGTGCACTGGAGTGATATTGCTGGGCTTGAAGTGGCAAAGAGCGCGCTGCGCGAAGCTGTTGTATACCCTTTCTTGCGGCCGGATCTCTTTATGGGGCTTCGGGAACCCGCAAGAGGCATGCTGTTGTTCGGGCCTCCTGGGACGGGGAAGACGATGCTTGCGCGGGCCGTTGCTACAGAGTCCAGGTCGACCTTCTTCTCCATCTCGGCGAGCAGTCTGACGAGCAAGTACCTGGGAGAGTCAGAGAAGCTGGTCCGGGCCCTGTTCGGGCTGGCCAAGGTCCTGGCGCCCAGCATAATCTTTGTCGACGAGATCGACTCGCTGCTCTCGCAGCGGTCGGGCTCCGGGGAGCACGAGGCGACAAGGAGGATCAAGACCGAGTTTCTGATACAATGGAGCGACCTGCAGCGGGCCGCAGCCGGTCGGGACTCTGGGGATAAGGAGCGTGGCGATGCGAACCGGGTCCTAGTGCTTGCAGCGACAAACCTCCCTTGGGCCATCGACGAAGCTGCACGCCGGAGATTCGTCAGGCGGCAGTACATTCCTCTGCCCGAGTCGGAGACCAGAGCCATCCAGTTGAAGACCTTGCTAGGGCAGCAGAAACACAGCCTGACAGACGAGGACTTCGTGAAGCTCGTCGAGCTGACTGATGGTGAGTAACTCACGGCCAAGTGCTGGCGTGCGTAAACCCGGCAAGATCATGTTTTGCTAACCTGTGCCCTCCTCCATAGGCTATTCGGGATCTGACATTACTGCGCTGGCCAAGGACGCTGCTATGGGCCCCTTGAGATCCCTTGGCGAAGCATTGCTGCACATGACCATGGATGAAATACGACACATCGCGTTGGAAGATTTTGTTTCTAGCCTCGCAAACATACGGCCCAGTGTGAGCAAAGCTGGCCTCAAGGAGCACGAGGACTGGGCGACAGAGTTTGGGGAGCGAGGGGGTTGAAGCCATTCATAGTAGGGAAAATGCATATCGTTTAAGCGGCCTGGATAGTAACAAAGTGTCGGTGTGCTTCACGGCGTTGATTGCAGAGAAAGTTTGCGGGCGCTCCGGTCAATGTTCCATGGCTAGATTCAACCCTTTGGGTCTATAGAGCAAGTCATGCCTGTACAGCCCGTATGATACATACACACAAGTATGTGGTTTGCATGTGTGACTTAACATTGTCCCTTCCATCCTCAGGCGCATCAGTCCTTGCCTGGCCTATTGCCCTCCCCCATCTATCCTTGCCTCGACGGTCAAATACCCGCCTCTACCCTTTCCTCCCAAGGCGGCCGTTGAGCCGATAGACACAAAGCTCGGCCCCGCTTCCCGGCCGCGACCCTTCCGCCCACAATCCTGTCTCCTGGCTCCTACGGACGGGACGAGCCTTACGACGCGCGGTAGCCAAGCTCCCCTCCCAGGCGCGCGATCTCCGCCGTCGCCCTCTGGGCCTTGGCGACGGCCCTCTCCATGGCCTCGGCGCGCTGCCTGAGCTGCTTGCGCGCCACCTTCTTGGCCCGGTCGGCGGCGTGCGCGGCCTCCCTCTCGGTGGGCGTCGGCACGGGGGGCCTCTCGTCGATGGGTGGGCCCCAGGGCGCTATTATTCGGTTGACCACGTGCCGCTTCGTCTTGGACGTCCGCCAGCCCGAGCTTATGCTCACGATGTCCCCCTTCCGTAGCGAGTCATTTGGGTCGTGGACCAGGTGGCGCTCGAAGTGTTGGAAATTCTACGGTGAAGAGAGGATAGTGAGCGATTATTATGTTAACTGTTTGGGCTGGGTGCTGGGTGCTGGGTGGAGGGTGCAGGGGCGGGCAGAGAGGGCAGGTGCCTGCTTACCTTTTTTACTTTCTTGTTCCAGTCCTCCTTTGCTACTTGCACCTTGACCGTGTTCCGTGCCAGCCCCGCCGAGACGACTATCCCGCTCATCTCCCTGGAGATCACCCCCGAGGACGTCTTCGTCACGGTCTTTGCCGCCGCCGCGACGGCTGGCGCCACAGCTCTGGCAGACATTGCGGGCTGCGGACCGCCAGTGGTGATATGGGTGGTGTCGTAAGATCTCGCCTGGCGCCACTTGGTTATATTCCACGGCAAGCTTTGGTCGGAAAAGACAGCAGTTGTGAGGCCCGGGGGGGGGGGGGTTCTTGGTCGTTGACCAGCATGCCGTGGTGTCGCGTGGAGGCGGCTGCGTCCAAAATTCAACCGCCTTGCGCCGGCTCGGCACCGGTGCAGACCCTGACCCTCAACAGGCCCGGGGGAGCATATAGTATCCCAGGGGTGGGGGTTTTTGCTAGAATCCTACTTCAATAAAGGAAGCCCTTTCACCTTTTTACGGATCTTAAAACAAGTTGCAGGTGAATAATTAGTTTGCCAATAATGGTTGCGATCTGTCTGAAAATGCTCATAAACAACATTCGCCCATGTCAATGCTACACGTTCATCCATTGGTCGTTTTTCCTTTTGATTTTCATTCACACCCGCTATATACGCGCTGGGTGACAGACCAGCTCAACAACTCATGATTTCTGCGATGCCTCCTTGGTCGCCTCGAGGGCGGTCCGGAATATAGAGACCAGCTGGTCCGTCTCCTCCAGCCCGAGGCTGATGCGGATCAGGTCAGGGTCAACCCCGAGGCTCGCCGCCCACTCCTGCTCGGCATAATGCGCAAGGAGGACATACGGCGAGGTCAGCGTGAAGTTGGTCCCCAGGCTCGGCCCCTTGGCCGTCTCTATGCTGTCGTAAAAGCCCATGGCGTCCGCCTTGCGGTGGAAGACGACAGAGAGGAGGCCGCCGTACCCCTTGTCCGGCAGCTTGCACGCGTCGTAGTTGGCCCTGTCCTTGTTGTACTTGGGGTAGTGCACCGTCTTGACCAGGTCGTTGGAAAGCAGCACCTCGCAGATGGCCTCGGCGTTGGCGTTGACGCGGTCGATGCGCGTGGCAAAGTCGCGGCTGTTGCGCTCCAGGAAGATGGCGTCCTCGGGCCAGTACGTGTCCTGATACTCGCGCCGCGCCGCCGCCGTGAGCTCGGCGTAGTAGCGGCCCTTGGGGTTCAGCACCGCGCTGCCGCCCATGACGTTGCAGTCGCCCGAGAAGATCTTGGTCAGGCTGCTGACCACCACGTCGGCATACTGCAGCACGTTGATGTTCGCGAAGGTCCCGATGGTCTCGTCCACCACCACCGCGAAGTCGTACTGGTCCGCCAGGGCGCGGATTCGCCCAAGGTTCGGGCAGCTTAGCAGCGGGTTGCCTGGGAACTCGCAAAAGAGGCCGAGGAATTTCTCGCCTGACTTGAGCCTCTGCTCCAGGTCGTCCAGATCCTCCTCAGACGCGCGGCCGTAGAATAGACAGCCGGGGCCAAACTTCTGCAGGATTTTGAGGGTGTCGACGTATGGGAAGCCAAAGTTGATGCTCTTCTGGCTCCCGCGGGCCTTTGACAGGAGACGATGCGTGTTGAATATGGCGTTCATGCCACATGGGAACAGGTAGATGTCACGTTCTGTTAGGCCCTTGACACCTCTGTTGCTGGGCTCTGCTTGGGGCAGTGGGTGATTCTTAACATCCACGTCGTGTGTCAAAGTACCAGCGATGCGTCGCCTGATGGCCGTTTTCGCTCGCTCCACGAGGGATATGTCCAGGTTCCTACCAAATCGCTCCTCGACAAACCGAGACGATTCTTCCGAGTCTGGCGCGGGACCGTTGCCATTGCCATTGCCATTGCTGTTGCCGTTGCCGTTCTTTGGCGGTGACACTGTCTCGTCGACAGACATGGGTCGCTGGTAGCGCCTCGGACCCTTACAAGGCATTTTCCGCACAGGCGAGGTCGGCGGTTTGGGCGAATCATCCGGCACGAGCAAGCCCTGGTCAAGGAGGCTGCTGCAGAACTCGGCACGCCGGCTGGAGATACCATCGCCACTGTGCTGCCAGTATTGTTTCGCGAAGGGAAATGCCTCGGGGACGAACAGCACGGCTGACACTGTGGGGCCGATGGGCTTCAGAGGCGCAGCAGCAGGATTCGACGAGTCCAGGACCAGGTGAACGGTGTCAAGTTGCTCCTGCGCCGAAACAGGCGCCTTCTCCTTGATGAAGTCGACACACCTCGAAGCGATGGTCTCGTTGGGGAACAGCATGGCCGACTGTCCAGGGCGACCGAACTTGTCCGCGATTTCCTGGGCAAAAGAGGCTATACTCCGGTGGATAAAGAACCTGGGGTAGCCGGTGGTCATGCTGTTTACAACCCATTTCTCGCCCTCTTCGTAGCCAACATTGGCTTTCCACGTAGGCAACGACACGCTCACAGCCTTTGAGGCGGGACATTGTTGTCAGCAAGGGAATACCACTCTGATCCGCGTCTTGGGCATTGAGTACATACGTGAGCTGTGTCCGGGGGAATAGACTCCCCTAATTTGAGGTGTGGCATCGCGCCGCCGAGTCCGATGGACTGGAGAGGCAGAATTGGGCGACCGTTGGTGATGTGACGCAGTCACCACAGAATATTATACCAGGCAAGTATCCAGTGGTTCAGCGAGAGTGAGCATCAAGCCGTGTCTCCTCAACTGCGGCCGTTTGGTGTGTTGAAGAGGGGTGTATGACTGGGCGTGACGGAAAGAAATGAGTCAACGGGAGATGGCTGACGGGTAGGCAGGTGGTCACGTAGTCGGGCACAATCGTGTGTAGTCTGTCGCGGGGTTCGGAGGCAGAGAGAAGAGCGGCGGACCCATATGTTCACTGGAGACTCATCCTTCCTCGCCCGAGATGCACTGCAGTTGGTTGATCCGCGGCAGATGGGCATTTCTCACTCAGGTCCATCCCGGACCGGGGCCGTTGCGTTCCCGCAACGGAGCTAGAACATGGGCCGGCCGACAATCGGAGCCACAACTTGGGTGGTGGCAAAACTTCGGGAGACAAAGCAGCAACTGCAATTCATCTTCTTGCCGTCGCACAACGCGCGACCCCCACCCTCCTGATAAACTTCGTCACCTTTGGAGCGCGGCAGTACAGTAGTTAGAATCGGGCACGCTTGTCGGCACTCACAGTTTGCGCGTATGGGCGGTAGCGTCGATTCCTGATGCCGAGATACCCACGAAGGCAATCGAGGTGTACAAGTCAATGCTACGAGAGATGCATCTAATGGCAGGCTTATGTGGAATTCATGTACCACCCCATTACGTCGCTATCGATCATATCACGCCGTCCATGCCCACGCCTTTCAGATGCGAATAGTCTCATGCAGCAGATCGCTCTGCGTCGGATGGTGTACGAGATGTTAGAACCCTCAAGAGCATTGCTGTCGTCATAATCGTTTTCGTCCTGTAAGCCGAATTTACTAGTACCGACCCGGTCACCGGGGGGGGGGGGGAGACAAAAATGGGGAACGGAAACCAGAAACCAAACGCAGAAAGACGAAGGGTCAGTAAGCATAATCCTTTGTTGCGCGAGCCCAATCCTCACGAACTCCTTGTTTGACCCATCAAGCATTGTTACCCAGGTCTTATTCATTGGTACGGCCTTTCACTCCTCCGACTGCCCACACAACTGATGCTGTCACTCGGGGCAAGACTTTCAAGGTCATCGTCCACATAGCTGCTCCCCACACCACTCGCAGGCAGGGGGACGCGTCTCGCTGAGACGTAGCTCTCAGCCCTCCCTGACGGCCATGCCGTTACCGCGGACCCTCGACTGCTCGCTGGGCCCGTCGCCTTGGACTGTGCCTTGGACGGCGCCTTGGACGGCGCCTTGGACAGCGGCCGGGACACGTTCTGGGGCTGCGGTGCTGGCGGCGGGCGAATAGTGCTCTGTGTGCGATAGCTGCCCGCCGAGACACAGCTGTAGCTGTCGACCACGGGGCCGTCGTAGGTACTGCTGCGACGGACTGAGGGAGGGTGCTTGGACGACCTGGATGCCGTGCTGTATCGCGAGCTAGTGGGCCTGGGATTGCCTGGCCCCAAGCTGTCTTCCATCTCGGCTGTCCTGGCACTAGACCTGGAGCTTGCGTGGCTGCGGCTTTCAACATCCGTCAGCATGAGCGGTTTACGGCTGGTTGATAACTCGCTGCGCGTGCGGACACTGGGTGTACCAGCCGGTCTTGAGCGTGAGGAGTGCCGGCTCCGGGCGTCGTCATAATCAACGCCGGCATCTCTATTCCCGGCCGATGGCGCCTGGGAATATGAGTGCCTGGTCAACAAGGTAGGAGGCGGTCGGCGGTCGGCTACCGACGCACCGCCATCACGCCGGCTGCGCGAGTCTGAATACTGGCGTGGAAACGTCGATCGACGCTGAGCCATCTGAGCCATCGGTGGTTCAAAGTCCTGAGAGCCCCTCACTACGGAATATGTGATACCAGCACCGAGCGCCGCGCCAGCCGCAACCCCCATGAGAGCTGCACCAACAGCGCTAAGACCGTGGGAGCTCTGTGATGGCGACTGTGATGACGACTCCGCCGGGTCCGTCGGTTCAAGCAAGGTGGTTGTGGTGGTGACACTGCGGCGGAGGAGGGAAGGACGCTCCTCGTAGCGGCCGGGCTGCCTGGGTGACACCAAGCTTGGCGAGGCCGGCGCGAAGGGTGCGAACGACATGCTGGCGGCGGAATCTGCGGCAACGTCGTAGTTCCAGTGAAGGATGCGACTGGCCTCGCTCTGGGTTGATTGGGTCTTCCTGACGGTCGGACCATCGTACCATTCCGGATAGTCCTGCACCGGAGGCACGTACACGACCTCCATCTTGATGATGTTGCCGTCGAGATCCGTCTCGGCAGGACCGGGGCAGCCGTTGGACTGCTGCACAAGCTCTGCCCCAAATGCCTGTTCCTCAAGCTCAGGGTGGTCGCCGAACCCTATGGCGCCCGAGTCCACTCCCTTGATCCTCTGGACCAGCGCCCGGAAGTCCCGGACAGCTCCCGGAGAGGACGCGGAAAAGACAACGCGTGAGAGCCTAAGAGGCCGGTCGGCAGTTGGCCTCACCTGACGCAGCTCGAATATCGGCACCGGGGGCGAGGTGGCTATGCCGTAGACGATGGATGGAGAGCCCAACAGGTCGGGGGAAGGACTAGCTACAGAGATGTACCGCAGGCCCAGCGGGTGGGTGACTGTAGAATAAAAGGAGGACGAGGCAGCAAGATTGCTCACCTCAAGAAAGGGAAGCATCGAAGACATGTGCGAGGCGGTGCCGGCCAGGGGAGGGGGGGTTGGCTTTTCAAGTACGGGGAGAAGTGGGAGGGTGGTGGAGGGGAAAGTCGCGCCCAGACCGGGACAGCCTCGCACAGCGCAGGTACACTGCAGTATGCAGGCGAGGCAAGAGGAGGCGAGGCGAGACCCCGGGCTTGTGGTTTGGGTGTGGTTGAAGCCGAAGGCAGCAATGTCTTGGAGGTTCCAGCCTGCCGTACACGAAGGGAACCTAGGGTAGGAAACCTAGGGACAGGGAGGGCGTGACAGAGGGCACGTCGACAACCACTCGGGAGAGGAGGAGGCGGGCGTGGTACTGTATGCGCGTTGCCGCCTTGAACGCGCCTGTTTGTGCTAGGATGTGCTCTGACAGAGGAAGACCAAAGATGCAGGAATGGCCAAATGCGGAACAGCAGGAAGGTTGTGGGCTACATGGTAGAGATATATATGTGTCAAGACATGGCGGGCGAATGGTATGGTGGACGGAGATGGAGGAGGAGGAGTAGTAGTAGTAGAAGAGGTGGCAGGTTGCGCATGCCGTACACGGCACAGCACTGTGCTTGGACGGATGCCGTGTCCCACTTGGTCGTCATGCTTGAGGCGGCTGTTGACACCGACATTTGACGGGCAACATGGACAGGAAGAGGAAGACGACAGGAAGACAGACAGTCTACGTAGTCCGTGGCCCATAGTTCAGCCAAGGAGTGTCCAAAGACGTCGGGAGCAGACGAGATGTGCTGAGCAGTAAGTGATACGAGTCGGGTCGAGTTGCTGGCGACACCTCAATGGACGGCCGGACGGCACTCAAGAGATATTCTCCACCCATTCCTCTGACACTGGTCACCCATGTGGCAGAGCCCTTGGCCTTTTAGACTCTTCAAGCCCTGGCGCCCCCGGCGGAGCTGACGGCCGTGGCGGCTCGACTGCCTGGTGTGGGATGGTGATGTTGATCTAGGGGGAGGAGCCGGTCGAATTGGATCGCAGCACCTGCAACGAGGCGGACGGCGCCCGCGCTTGCCCGTCGAAGCAGATGGTGCCCTGGTGCCCAACTACTGCTGCGACGGTCGACCGGACTGCACACAGTATGCCGGGGCTCTGCAACAGATTTCTGCAGGGAGGGGTTGCGTGGGGAGCGAGTCGATGAGAGGTGGTGGGTGGTGGGGACGCACGCCCTGGGGAGGGCAGGGGGAGGTTGGACTGCGATGTGCATACGGCGGGTGATCTGGCCTGGAGCGATGGAAGAGCTGCATGCTGCAGGGAGCCACTCAGCAGGTCACTCGCCTCACTGGGCGCCCAACCCGCCAACTACCACACACCTACCTGTTTCGGTATGTAGTCTACATCACAAATCACATTCAGAGATTGGGCACTCAGGGCGCCTAGTTGGTGCTGATATCTAGATAGAAAACCGGCCATTCACAACTGGCGCAGAACATGTACGCATATGCGTACACGCGCAAGCCCCCGTACATCCGCCACGACCCGCCGTCTGGAAACTTTGCACCGATGAATGAGCCCCAGGCCGTGCGGACACCGTCGGTCGAGTGGTGATGCTGTGGGTTGACTGGCCGACTGATTGACAGACAGTATGAGCAGCATCGCCACCTGCACGTCTGATTGATCCGTCTTGGGTCACCGTTGAGCAGCAAGACCCGCTCCTGCAAACTCCGGTGGCTGGCTGGCTGGCTACTCAAGCCCGTGTTCCGAGGGCAGCCTCTGAACTCTCGGGCGGAACAGTTGAGCGGAACGTCGGCAAATGGGGCTCTGCGGCATCTCGTAGGACTGCTGCTGTCGTGCCTTGACTGGTCGGGGAGCGGGAAGTACATAAATGCAGGGTTATGGAGGTGCTCTCTTTTGGCCGATGTTGCCTCGATCTTGCGACTAACTTTGTGTGTATGAGTCCACCCGCAAGCAGTCATCGTCCCACGCTCTTCTACGTCACGTCGCATTACCTCATGAACCTCATGAACCACAAGTGGGCCCGCAAATGAACTTCCCCTCTCGTGCCATCTTTGACCAGGTACAGCCCACGTCTTAAACCGCGCGCCCATTCGTCTCGGCATCAAGCTTGTCCTCCGGCACCTACCTTGCTATATCTCTGTCTCCTGCCTCTCGTGTCACAGGGACTGTCACCACATGTGGAAACGTAGTGTAAGCCACCGCTAGAGGAAAGGGGCATAAGCTTTGTCTCAATGCCTAGCTCATCACAGGCTTCTGGTATTCTTGCTTGTCTTGGTCCTGTCTGGCTCCACCTCTGCCCTCCTCCGCACTCCATCCCAAACTCCTCTCCTTTAGCCACACCCCCCCGCATCGAAGCTGGTCCCTGTTCGGACTCGGCCTGCAGGAGCGTGCGCTCACCATACCTTTCCAGCTTTCGACCAATTTAGACTTCACTGGCTGCAAGCCTCGAGTAGATGTATTTGTAAGCCACATCGTCCCCAGGCACTTGTCCGGGAGTGTTGCTCAAGACCATTGCGGCAGTACTCTACCTTGAATGAGGGGCAACCGAGCAGAGGAATACCAAAATAGAAAACAGGGGTAGAGACGTCTGACCAAGTTGAAGTGGTCTAGACAAGCATTGGAGAATGCTCCTGGATCCGGTGTTGAACGCACTTGTTTTGGTTGTAAAAACAGCGACAGTGTAAACACAGACGACCCAAGTTACGAGGCGCATGCCCCGCCGTCATCGCCATGTTGTGATAGCTAGTACGGGAGGGCAGCCCTTTCCCTGCCTCCGAGGTCCTCTTCCCTCAATCCGTTTCCCCTCTGGGCGGGCATCTGGATCGACGGCTCACGGCCTCCTGGTTTGACCCGGGCCCTGCCTACACGTGCAGGAGGCGCCCCGGGGCGTTGAAGTTGTTCAGAGCACGTCCCAAGCGTCCTCGGCGGCGTGACAAAACTTGCTGCAGGCGACACTGGCAGACAAGCTGAAGTTGCTGATAGAGATCTTCTCGTCCACGTATGCGTCGGCAAAGTTGTCAGGGCCCTTGGCCATGGCGCCAACGAAGACGCAAATGCTCTCGTCCGAATCAAGCCCGTCGATGTAGCTTCTGACGTGTGTCACAGGAGCGTCAAAACTGAGGGTAACCTTGCGGCACTTAGGGGGGAGATGCTCAGTGATGGGGTTGTTGATGACGCGGAGCAGTTTCTCCTGGGAGTTGGTTGACCTGATAGATAAGCGGTGCAGCAGCTGGACCATGAGACCGGCAAACCGTTTGAAAGTGCGGGGGATGCGGACCGATGGCGAGACCTCTATCAGGACGCCTTTGGCGGTGGATATGTAGATCTGCAGCCTGCCTGCCTTGTTGATTGGAGAGTCCAGGAGGGTGAGCAGACACTGAAGACGACAGAAAGAAGATTAGTACATGGCCAGCATGTTGAATGCAGCGGGTCAAAGACAGATCGGGTTCGTGTTGAACGTCAAATCCCCAGTGAAGTACTGTGGGTGGTGGGTGCGGGGAAAAGAAGAGGTCGAACCTGGTGTGTAATGTCGGGTCTTGCTTCGGAGATGTCGCGGTTCATCTTGCGCATGATGCCGATGTGCTCGTCGCTGTTGAGCAGAGAGTACTTGTCCTCGCGCTGGACGCCCATATGACCAGGTCGCGAGTGTGACGACTTGTAGGTCTCGAGCGAGGCATGCGACAGGACGACGATCAGTCGCTTCGAGTCCTTGTCGGTGGGCGGGATAGCGACATGTTGCTCGGCGACCAGCTGAGGAAGCTCGGGCGGAGGTAGTGACTGGGTTCCTGACATGGCAAACGAAAGAGGTTAGGTCCTGTGTATAAGAACAAGGTCGGCGGGAAAGTGTGAAAAAAGCCGATGTGTATCGCTCTGGGTGTGGTTTGGTTGGAGTGAACATTGCCTAGGGCGTACGGTAGACAGATGGCATGTTGTGGGCCAGCGACCTGACACGCGCAAGGCAGGTGGGGGAAAGAAGGTTGATTTTGGGCGGGGAGCGGTGACAGAAGGCAGCCCAACAAGTTCAACGGCCTTCGCAGTCCGACTCCGGCTCCAACCTCAGCTGTCTTCCTGATTCGGAATGCGAAAGCAAGGGAGCAGGTCAATTGATTGATTGCGAGTGCTGAGTGGAGGGCTGGTGTGCAGGGAAAGAAAGACTCGCGTAGCACAGCAAGGCCTGGGAGACAAGATGGTCGGTCTGGTTCCGCGCATCACATCGCGTCACCTTTGCCGGCGACCGCCACTCACTACTGCCCGTCCATGGCTACACAGACTGCGGTATTTGTAGTTTGAGACGGTGACGCATCAAGATGTCACCGAGGGCGGGGCCTGACGCCGAGTGACGATGACGGACATGGACGGGGACTGCCCGGGGGAGGGAGTGAAGGGTAGCGAGCGGAGAGACTTACGAGGGCGTTTGGCACGTCGGTTCGGGGGTGGTGAGGCAGACATTGTGGGCGAGCTCTGGCAACGAGTGGGCGGGTGGCTGACAGAAGCTGGATGGTGCTGTACTTCAAGGAAGAGAAGGTATTAGGAGGGCGATTGTGATTAAAAGGCAACGTCTGCAATGCTCGAAGGGATGGGAGCCGACGGTGAGGAGTCAGAAAATCTGAACGACGGACGTAGGCGGGGAAGAAGCAAGGGACGAGGAAGTGCATCAACTAGACCGGAGTTTAGGTTTAATCCAGCTTGTGCTGACACGGCTCGGGTTGGTACTCGGGGCCTGATCCGAGCCGATTGATGACTCGGGCAACTAACCGCTCCGATTAGTCGGACTTGCAACTAACAAATTGTTAGAGTAGCGCGAGCGCAGACTACCAAGACTAGACTCCTCAGAGGCTGCCAAGGCATTTCGGCCCCCCGAATCTGACCATCCAGGCGTACTTCCAACTGGCAACCAGAAACCCACCGAATCCTCCGGGTCATCCTCAAGCAGGCCAGCATACCTTTCACGGCCACCCCCTCACAACTCCATGTGAGAGATTGGCTGCCGCGTGGTGCAAGCCGGAACCAAGAGACCCATCGGCCTATTCTCCTCTTTACATTGCATCTGACTCGGGCGGGACGAGTGATGGGGACGAGGACGCCACCGCCCTCGTTCACTCGGGGCCAACTCAGGTCCAGCTTGATCGTGCGCTCTCCCATACGCCATACTACACCTTGCACCATACACAGCATGTCATAGACTGGCACAGCATGCCAGAAATTGAAGGCCAAGATTTCATCAGCAATATTGCAACATCTTGTATGGCAAGGGCTCAGCCGGCGCTGGCAGGGTGCGGCAACAGATGGGCGATGATACAGCTCACCCGAAACCGACATCCGTCCGGGCACCGGCGCGGCACTTGACCCACCGGGCAGATCGCCCACCTGGGAAGAATTGATTACTGACATTGATGACTGGCCGGCCAACTGACACGCTGACTGACTCCGGCGTTTGTCCCTCTCAGAGGCAGAAGTGCGAGGGAGACAGGAAGAGCCAGAGAGACAGAGACAGAGGCTGACCCACTTTAATATTGCTTTCGATATTATCGTCTAGGGACCCCGCCGTACTGCATTCAGGTCCGTCCGCCTGTCAGGTCCGCCTGTGACTCTGTCCCTGCTCTGGCAAGAATAAGATGTTGTGAGTGCACGCGCAGCATGACAATAGTAAGCGCAGCCTGACCTTGTTTTGGGGTGCAGTGAGGTCAGCTCGGACGGGCCCGCCCTGCTGTGGCTGTTTTGATCGACGTTTCGTTCTCGTCGCATCTTGGCGACGACCAATCCGCGGCCCACAGCCGTTGTTCAGACGGAGTTTTCTCGTGCCGTGGCTTGGTATGGGACCCCCGATCCCCTCCCATTTCATTTAAACTTCTGCAGCCTTGTCGTACCCGTGGCCCAGCCCGACAGTACGTATGTCTGTGAGCTATCAGTCTCAAGTCCGGAATATTCGCCGCCGACTAGACAGCCTGGCCTGGACACGGCCTCACCTGACCAGGCACGGAGACTAGCCTTGCCATCGGCATTTCTCAGGCGGTTCCATCTTGCCAATTTCATTGCTCCGCCGAAAAGGGCCCGTCGCGAAGAGGCTGCTGACAGCTGCCATCTCGTCCTTATTCCCGCAGTGTTCATTGTTTGGATGTTTCAGACGTGGCGCCCGCGCCTACAGCCTCGCAGGCGCGTGCACGTACCCTGCGGTGCTATACTTTGCACCAAGCGGTGTGCACTTTCTGGTTCCCTCTCTCACCAGAACCAGGGTGTGAGAGCCTGGGGCTACGGGTTTCCATGCAAGACATGGAGGCGAGAACGAAGTTTTTCCGAAGACATGTGCGGCTTCGAAAATCAATGAATCAAAGACCCTCAGCAAGGCAGTGATTTAGTCAAGGCTGTGCGTAGCCGAAGAGAAAATAGCGGTGCGTGGCGCCCCTCGATGTGATCGTTTCGCCAAGACGAAACCATGGCGTTGTTTTGGGCAGCCGGTCTGGGGACGGCGCGTGCCAGCATGCTTGGGCTGGATGGTAGGGGCATTAAGGCATGGGTTGCGATCCTGATGTGGTGTTTCCCGTGTGTGCGTGTCGATTCGGCACCTGGGGCATTCGAGATTCCAGTGTAGTAGGTATGAATCGTGTCTTGGGCTCTGGGGGCGAAACGATGGGTAGTGGATACTGCTGGTGGGTACTTTGGACGGCAGTCCCAAAGGCGTGGGCAAACACCCAAGCAGAGTGGGTATGCTTATTTGAAATTGGCTTGCATTTTCCAAAAGCTGGGCGTGATGCCAGGCGTGACCGACGTTCAGGCCTGAGTGCTTCATCCGAATCGAGGCTCCAGCTTGCACTTGGCAGCCTTGCGTGTGCGAGGATGGAAGGGAAAAGGGATGACGGCCCGGCATCATGGATGCAGTTGAGACGGGAGTTGTGGCGGTGGCCGACGACATGACTGGACTGTCCAGAGGACACAGGGAGCGCAAGGGGCGGGATCATCAGGATGACGCTGGGGCTGGGAGGGAGGCAGGAATGGCTGGAAGGGTTTGGAAGGGTGGAAGGGAGGGCGAGGGAAAGGGCAGCCCTGCAGCGTGGGGTCGCAACTTCTCTAACAGATGCCGTTTCGGCGGCCCACGATCAGCTAGATGGTGTAACTCGCCGGCCTCTGAGCCAGTAAGCTGGGGAGACCCAAAGATAGCGGCCTCGAGTCAGCCTGGAGAGAGCCAGCCCTCGAAACTTGAAATGCCCAAGTCGCCGCGGGGTTTTGGAATGCTCATTCACGTCGTCGTACTCGGAGCCTCGTCTCATGGTATGATGAGCGGGCAGGAAGGCGATCAATAGCTGGGTAGTAGTCTACATGCGTTCAAGACAGATCTCGACATTGGATAGCAAATCCCGCAGCAGGGGTGCTACCTGGAGATACCAAGTGACAGCCTACCTCATCTTGTCGCGTCTTGTATTGGACGGTATAATAAATATGGTATAGCAGAGCAGAGTGAGAACAGATGATGAGATGAGATGGTCAGGACGAGAAAGGGCAGCCGACACGTCCAACGTCTCTCGATCCGATGGCAGCCCGGGCCATGCCAAGCTGCCAGCGTGTACATGCCTCGCGGGTGCCAGGCGGTGGGGGACGCAAGTACCCGCGCGAACAGGTACTTAGCAGGCATGGGGGGGTACCCGCTTTTGATTAGAGCCTCTTCAGACACCGGACGTCACCTCGACCTTTCAGCCTCTGGAACATCCAAACTCGAGGTCCGGCCGGCGCCTGTCTACCCCATAGTCCACTATTCTGGTCGGTTCGAGTGGGTACTGCATTGGGCCCCATCTCGCATCGCATCTCTCTCATCTCATTGTCCCATCAATCAATCGTCTCGGCATGGGCGATGTGGGGGGCAATGTTTGCCGTTCCCTTGGGAGAGAAACCCCGTCACTGTCAGCATTGCCAGTCAGTCATCTGCCTTTCGCACCAGCAGCCGGAGCCGCATTGCAATCTCTCACATCGCTGCATCTGTGACGCGGGCCTTGTTCATCCAACCTTAACTGCGCCAAGCTTTGGGCCCCATGCGCGGCCTCATTGGCTCCTTCCTACCTCTCTGTTGGTGCTGCTGGCTGCTGGTACCCAGGCAGTCGGCCGGCCCTCCACTTCACACACACGTTCCAAATTCGTGATAGTTTTCCACCAACAATCTTCAGACGGTGTGACTCCTAACATCACAACTATTATGTGTGGCTTTCTCCTTGCCTCCTGCCTGGTGAGGAAGTCTCTGCGCTTCAGTCGATGTGTTACCTAGTAGACTGCCTAGCGATGGTTGCATCTCGCCTCTTGCATCCCTTCTGGCACCAGGCCGATGCAGGACAGCTGGGTAGTGATCGAACTGCGCTCACTCGCCTCTCTCTCTCTCCCCCATCCGGCACTTGGGTATACTCCAGGATTCTGATTACATACTGACCCTCGGACGTCTGGGCACCTTCCAAACCAGCAGGGCCTCATCGGCCTCGCACACGGCCGGGCACCTGTCCACGGGTCAGGTACGGTACCTGTGCCGTCCCCCCCACCCCCTGCCCGCACCCCTGCCGGCGGCCGGCTTGGCTCCTGCGACGACATCTTCGTCGCATAAGGTTTCACCTCGAACGGGATCTTCTTACCCTGCCATCACTTTGTTGAATCTCCTTTCGACAGCCCGCCATGTCCATGTCCGACATGGTGTTCGTCTCTGGGCCTTCCCGGCCGTGCCAAGCACTTTGAGCCGCCGCCTGCATCCCATATATCAGCTTTCATCCTCAGACGGCCCTTCAGACGATTTCTCCCCCCTCCTGCCGCTACTTTGACTGACGCAAACTTCTTTTCGCTCTCTATATTGAAGTTCTTGCAAGTCGAGACTACCGACTCACGTTGATCGTGGTCCAACATACCTAGTACTTCGTAATTGTCGTTTGCTTCGCGTCGACTGGTCTTCGCGTTGACTAGTCCTTCCATTCTTTGTCTCGTCCTCCCTTATTCCCACGCTCCCTCACGGTACCCGAGAAACAATGGTCTCCAAGACATTCCTTAGCGCTGCGGCGCTCTTCACCCTGGCCTTGGCGCAGCAAAGGAACGGCGGTGGCGGCGGTGGCGGCGGTGGCAACAACAACGGTGGAAACCAGGGCAACCAGAACCAGGGTGGAAACCAGGGCGGTGGTAACGACGCCGACTCGACGACCCTGAGCGAGAACGCGATCCAGACCGGTTCCTTCTCAGACGGCTCCCAGGGCCTTGGTGCTGAGGATGGACAGGCCGCCTCTCAGACCTCGCAGAACAACTTCATCAACGAGTGCGCCGGAAAGACCCTCACCAACGGTCTCCAAATCACCGAGGGCTCGTGTAACGGTATCCGTAAGTACAGGTCCCCCCGGGTCCAACTCTCACGTCTGGCTGACCGACCCCACAGCCATGGGAAACATCCCCGCCAAGAACAACATGATCTCGTCCATCATCACCTTCCCCCAGAACGGTGATGAGGTCCAGGAGCAGCAGGACTTCACCATCAGCGTCCAGACTCAGAACCTCGAGGCTGGCTCCTTCACCAACGCTGATGCGACCTACTACGCCGCCCCTCAGACCCTCAACGGTCAGGGACAAGTCATTGGCCATACTCACGTTACCGTCCAGGACTTGGGCAACTCTCTGAACCCAAGCCAGCCCCCAGACCCGACCCAGTTCGCTTTCTTCAAGGGTATCAACGATGCTGGTAACGGACAGGGTCTTCTCTCAGCCGACGTGGCTGGCGGTCTCCCTGCCGGAAACTACCGCCTTTGCACCATGACCTCAGCCTCCAACCATCAGCCCGTTCTCATGCCTGTCGCCCAGCGTGGATCTCAGGACGATTGCACCAAGTTCACTGTCTCGGCGAACGGTGGCGGCAACAACAACAACAACAACAACAATGGCGGCAACAACGGACAGCAGGGCCAGAACGGTCAGCAGGGCCAGCAAGGACAGCAGGGCCAGAACGGTCAGCAGGGCCAGCAAGGACAGCAGGGCCAGCAAGGACAGCAGGGCCAGCAAGGACAGCAGGGCCAGCAAGGACAGCAGGGCCAGCAAGGACAGCAGGGCCAGCAAGGACAGCAGGGCCAGAATGGTCGCCGCAGACTGGCCAGCGACAAGCGCAGCCGGCTCGCCCGCATCGCCACCCGTGACTTCGTCGCCTGAACGCGACAGGAGCAGGGGCTAGTTCTATGAAGCGCCGTGTCGAGAGGACATGGGTCCTGTACGACATGACTGAGTCTTGTCCGTCCACTCGGCTTTGGGGTTGTTGTTTGCTTGGATTTGGGGTGTTCTCTCAAAGAGGGCGGCGGTGGCTTGGGGTTGGTTTGTACCGTGCTAGACGCGAAACGAGACTGATAATGGTGTACATAGAGCTGGCAAGAGAGAGGTGTCCGGCAGCTATTTCACACTTGGGACGGCTGCTTATTCTACGATGATTATTTCCTTATACTCTTCTTAAACTAATTCATGAATACGTTGGTGTCTACGTTCGCTGCGCTCTGTGCATAGCTAGCCCGGAGGTCTTCCGACCAAATCATGCCAAGACCACGACAACACAATACTCCGGAGGACACTGAGAAAAAAGAGAACATAAACCGGACAACCGCTGGTGTCTCCCACCTCCCGCCTCCCCACCCCCCATGCGCAACCAAGCGCCTGAACAAGCAACCAAGTGAATGACAAGGCGTAGAGTTATGGCAATGCCGACCAATTGAATGATCAGCGAGCCATGAGACGGGCAGCTGACCAGGCCGGATCCATGGACTACTCGACGAGAACCTGAGACACAGATCGACGACAAGAAACGCCCACGCACGTCGGGTGATCCGCCGTCCGAAAAACAATCCACGTCAACGCCTGCCTTAATCTTTTTCTCTCTATTCCCCAGATACCTTGCGTTCTTCAATCAATCGTTCTTTTCTTGTCATGTCCCGCGTCACAACTAGATGAACACGAGAATCACTTCTGGGCGCTTAATGCAGCCTGGGTGGAATCGTGGGTGATCGTCTCGACAATCGACTGTGCAACAGCAGCAGTACGTCACCTGGGGGTTCCGGTTTATGTCAGGTACCGTCGGCTGCTCGGAGAGCTAGGGGGTTGTGGATGACACCGTCTAACATTAGCGTACCTGGGTAGGAAGAGTATCTACCTTTTCAGTGGTTGTAAGTGCGGCTCTCAGACCTCCCGACACAATTTTTCTTGGCGCGCCCACTATTAGTGCACGCACCAAAACTACCATATACTGCTTAACAACAGCCCCCCTTTCAGCTAAAAAGGCCATAACTTTAAATCGCCCTCCTCCCTAGGAATAATAAATAAACCGCCATTAATACTAGCAAGGGCTTTATAATTTTAAAATATAAATATTAACGTTTTTATATATTCCTTTAAGTTAATTATACTTAATAATTTATAATATATAAAGTAAATAAAGGTTTTAAATATTAAGGCCTTATTAAGAATTAAATGTAAGGAAAAAGTTATTGCTTTTATTAAAATTATTAAAAAGGCTTTTACTTTATAATTAAATAAAATAATTTAATAAGTTATAATTAAAAAAAGTTTTAAAAGCTTTAAAATATAATTTAAATATATTTATAATTTCTTTTATAAAAGCTTATAAAAATATTATTATATAAAAGCTTAAATAATAATTAATATTATGCTTATTTATTTAAATATTTAAAGATTTTTTATTAATAATAATAAAATATATATATTATTATATATTATATTAAACTTAATTAATATTATTTAATTAATAAAAAAGTTTTTTAAATAAATATTATTAAGGCTTTTATAAATAAAATTAATAATAATATTTAATATATTTTAAAATAATAAATTATTAATTAATATAATAATTTAAGCTTAATAATTTTTAACTTACTTATTTTAACTTTAATATAATTAAAAAAGTTAAATATAAATTATAATAATTTAAGAATTAAAGAAAATCTTTAAATCTTCTATTTATTATAAAATAAAGATATAAAATATAAGTTAATGCTTAAATAAAAAGCTTTTACTTTTAAAGCTTAAATTTATTAAGTTTTAAATTTTAAGTTAATAAATATTTTAAATCTTAATAATATTAAAATAAAATATATTATTTAATTAATAATAAAAATTATTTAAAATAAACTTATAACTTTAAAGATAAAAAGTAAAATTATATAATTAACGTAGTTTATTAATAAATAATAAATATTAATAAGTAGCGGATTTTTATAACTTTACTTAACTTTAATTAATATTAATACCATCTTAAGGCTAATAAGTAAATAAAAAGTTAATATTAATTAATATTAATTGCTTTTAATTTCTTATTTTTAATTAAGGATAATTATATTAAAGTTTAAAGTAATTAATTTTTAATAAAAGAGTTTTATTTTAATGCTAATTATATCTTAATTTTTTATATTAATTTTGCTTTAATTTACTTATTTAAATATTTAATATATTGAAAATTAATAATTATTAATATATCTTTTATTTAAAAAAGATAAAATCCTTTTAATTATTTAAGTAATTTAAAAATTTAAAAAAAATAATATAAAACCTTTATTTATAATTTAAGCTATTAAAATCTTTTATATCCTTAAAATTATACTTTATTATAAAATAAATTAATAATGTTTTTATAAAAGATTATATATTAATATATATAAACTTAATTAAATTAAAGAATAAATACTTATTTAATATATTATTAAGTAAAATATTTAAAAATTTCTTTTATAACTTTTTAATATAAAAAATATAATTAACTTTTTATTAATATTATATAATGCTAAACTTATTAATAAGCATTAAGCTTAATACTTTAAAAACTTATAATTTACCCTTAAAATTAAGTTTAATTATTTTTATAATTATTAAAAAGCTCTTTATAAAGATTTAAAGATTATTAAGAATTAATTTAAATTACTTTATAATATAATAATTAAATATAAAATTATAAATAATAATTTTTATAATTTTAATAAAATTAACTTTATAATAAACATAATTATTATATTAATAATAATTATATATATTAATAAATATAAAAAAGCTAAATTAATTTAACTTAATAATTAAAAATAAGCTATACTTATTAAATATATTAATATAAAAAGTTAATATATTTTATTATTTATAATTATTTAAGGTATTTATTACCTTATAAGTTAAGCTATAAAGTTAAGTTTTTTAAATAATTAAGTTATTAAATTTATTTTAAATAAATAAATAAATAATAAAATTAATTTAAAATAAATTTAGCATTTTAATAAGTATATTTGTTATGGGCTAACCTTAAACTCGCAGAATAAAGGTGCCTAAATGGAGTTAATATTTAAAGTGCAAAGGAGAAAGTTTACTCCCCGTTTACACCCATGCCAAAGCCTATTTTTATAAGGCCAAAGCCCGCTAACTAATCACTATAAGCATAAGCTTAAATCATAACATATCCCCTTTCCCTAGGTTAAAGCCGCAAAGAAGCCTTCCTAAAGGATTAATTATATAATAAAAAATAAAGGAGGCACTGCTTTAATTGCGAATTAAACATTACCTTTTACCTAGCCATTTAATTAACCCATAACGCTTTAACTATATTACTAAGCCAGCCCATATTATATATATATTTTTATCCTTTCCATACCTTATAATTCAATATGCTAGCTAAAGCAAGCCAATAAAAAACAATCATTTAAGCGTAAGTTAGCGGCTAAGTTAACGGCATTTTTAAAATCCTTCAATCCATGCCTTTTACATAAGCTCCCTTACCCAAAGCCTTAAGGCCGCGAACTTATTATATAACCTATAATTAATTAATATTTAATTATAGATAATCTGCTTTATTAGCGGAAAGTTCCTAGGCCTTAAAAGTTCCATAGCGCCAAACTAGCTAGCATTAACTAGCCCGCTTTAAGCCTAAGCTGGCATTAAGCCGGCATCGCTTTAAGCCCCACCCTATAGAAAAAAAATTTATATGCTAAAAATAACCTTAATTAAGCGCCTCCCCCTTATTAAGCCTAATTAATAATAATTATATATAGGTTTTCCCGCAATAGTTTAAGTAATTATACTTATAATAACTAAGCTAATTATAAGTATAATACTTAACTTTCCCTATTAAAATTACTATAATATTAATATTTATTGCTTCGCTATTTTAAGGTTAAATATTATCCTTCGCTATTATAGCACTAAAAACGCCCTTATATTACTATAAGGCAAAATAAAATGCCTTAAATATTTCTAGCTACTCCTTATAATTAAATCTTAACCTTGCTAAGGCGGTAAGTTTATTAGTTATAAATAGTATTTTATAATTATTTAGCTAAGCTTAGGCCCTAGCTATATAAGAAAGCTAATTAAAGTAAATAAGAAAATCTACCATCCCCTCCTTACGGCATTGCCATAACGCAACTAAGCTAAGCCTAACATGCCTTTGCTTAAAAGAATCCTTAAGCACAAAGTAAACCCTTTTTAAGAAGCTCTTTAGCTACCCCTTAAATATCTTTATAAAATTAATATAAGATAAAAATTAATTACGGAAAGTTCCCAATCAGCTAAATATATAAAAAAATTAAGCCCCTTTAATGCTAATTACCTCCTTATTTATTATAAACTTAGCTCTTATCTTTATTAACTAAGTTACTAAACTTTCCTAAAATAAAAGCTCCTTAGGATGGAAAAGGGCTTAGTAAGCTATTATTATTCCTTTTAAGTCTTATTATATTAAATTTTATATAATTATATTATAAATCTATAATGCAAGAGGACTTTAAATATATATTATGGGCTAACCTTAAACTTATAAAATAAAAATGCCTAAATAAAGTTAATATTTAAAATACAAAGGAGAAGGTTTACTCCTTATCTGCATCTACGCTAAAGCCTATTCTTATAGGGCCAAAGCCTACTAACTAATTACTATGGGCATAAGCTTAAACCATAACAATATTAAATAATAAATAAAAGGCATATATTAAATATTAATATTAAATAATTATAAAAGTTATATATTAATTAAGTTTAATTAATATTATAAAAATAATAATAATATTTTTATTAATATATTATTATATTCTTTTTATTTACTTTAATTATTAAATATTATATTATATTTATCTTTAAAATATATATATAATAATTAAATTAATTTCTTAATTTAA